TTTATTTGGTCGTGGTTTGAAATTGATTTGAAATAAAATATTGATTTACATTTTTGTTTAAATGGTATTTTATGTGTTACGAGAAAAAATAATATATTTTTATTAAAAATTGTACATTAAATATTATTGATATTAATTTAAAATCACAAAAACTCTTTAATTTGTATAGTTAAAATATAGTTTAAATATAATAGACGTATATTTTCTTCCAATTTTTTTTTTATAATAATTTTTCATAATTAGTTTCAGTAAAAATATGCATATTTTTTTATACAAAATATTACATCCAATAATTATTTTATTTAAAAAAAAAAAGCTGGATTCGTTAAATAAATAAATAAAACAGAGTAAAGTTTTGACTTAAGTTTGTGGCTTGAGATCAGTAAAAAATTGAGTTAAAATAATATAATATTATATATGTGGGTATTTGATATGGCAATTGAAATAAAAATAATGGAAAAAATTATTTTTTGTGTCAATATAATCAAAATTAATAAATTTTGATTATAATATAAAAATCTTATCAATTTAGGTTTTAATATAATTAAACCTTATATTTTTTGTTTCAATATAACCAAAACTTATCATTTTTTGTCCCAATATAAAATTTTTATCAATTTTAGTCTCAATATAACCAAAACTCATCATTTTCTGTCCCAATAGAATCAAACATTATCTTTTTTTGTCTCATCGTCAACAAATCGACGGAAAATGCTGCAAGATTGTGCAATTTCTGCAAATATAAATATAAGATTTGATTTCTTTTCACGTCAGCATTTTCCGTCAGTTTGTTGACGGTGTGAGACCAAGAAAGATAAAGTTTGATTATATTGGGACAAAAAAGTGATGAGTTTTGGTTATATTGAGACTAAAATTGATAAAAAAAAAAATTATATTATGACAAAAAAATGATGAGTTTTAGTTATATTAGAACCAAAATTGATAAAATTTTTATATTGAGACCAAATTTAATGAATTTTGATTATATTAGGACAAAAAATAATTTTTTCCCTAAAAATAATAAAACGTTTTGGTAATACATAAAAAATATATATTTTTTATTTGATAGATTTAAATTAAATATTTTTTGATAAATGGTGCAAGATTAGATGAGACCTTACAAACCCAATTCAATATTTTGCACATTTAGTTCTGCAATTATTCAAAGCCCAAATAGTTCAAAGTTAGAAATTTATTAAGCCCAAGTTCTTTAATAAACAAAGTCCAAAATAAATCATTTTATTTCAGTCATATATATGTCAATATAATTGACTTATTTTATTAACCATACAATATTTAAAATAATAAGTAATATTTAATTAGTTAATAATAATTATTATTTATAATATTATTTTATTATTTTTATATGATAATTATATTAATAGTTTAAGAATAAAGTTAATATATATAATTATAAAATAAAATATGTATTTTAATATTTTAAAATTATATTGCAATAAAAAAATATATTTCATATAAATATTATTTGTAGGTAATAAAATTTTCTATGATAAAAGTAAGTAGAAAAATATATTTGTTTATTTATAATTAATATAAATTATTTTTATAAAAAAAAAGTGAAATTGTAAATATATAAAAATATTTTATCTTTTCTTATGAAATATATAAATAAAAAATTTTTGAATGAGTCCTACGTGATATTATATATTATATAGTTAATTAAATTAATTTATATTTATTAAATACGTTTTGATTTAATAAATTTATCTAAAATAAAAAAATATCAATTTATATTATGCACAAACAAAAATAGAAAAGTAGAAAAATTCATTTATATTTTACTATAAATGCACAAAAAAAATTTATTTTATTTGTTGTGTTAAATCTCTTGCAGAATGTGTTTGTTTCGAGGATTTTGGAAGACTCCTATTTATACAAAAGAAATTTTTTAAAAATATCAAATTAAACATTTATTTTTTATATTATACTAAAAATTAATTTTTCATTTAAAATATCACATCATTACATACATCGTACAAATATTTCAATTCAATTTTTTTATTATTCAAATTTCGAACCCAAAATTCAAACCTCAAACAAACACACCCTTAGTAAGCATTGTGCTACAATATATTACAAATATTTTAAACCTTATATATATTATATTAATGTTATTGTTTCATGTTAAAATATTAAAAAAATAAATAATTTTTATGTATACAAAAACATTTGATACTTCTGTTCCATTAAAATATTGTCATTTTTTATTTTATTTCAATTTTAAAACAATGTTATTATTTCCTAATTTAGTAATCTACTATCTACTAACATAATAAATACACTTTTAAGTTATATTATATTTCCTTCGTCTCAATACAATAGTCTTGTTTACTATTTGTGTCCGTCCCAAAATATTTTACACTAATACACTCACAAGGACAAAAATATATTTTACCTATGTTGTTTATCCATTATCAATATAATATTAATATTCCTTAAATCTCATGTCCAACACAACCAAGACTATAGTTCCGGAACGGAATGAGTATTATACAAATATCATTACTTTTATATTACACAATACTAATATAAGTATTTTGTCTTTTTCACTACAATTCGATATAATAGTAATATAAAAAAAATTTACTATACAGGTGTCACTTTGCATCCTTTTTTATGCATACATTAAGCAAAATATATAGAAATAGATGTGTTATTTTTACTACTCCTTATGTCCCGGTGAAAGAGTGGCGTTTGTTTTTTGCACGTAAATTTTTTAATAATATAATTATATTAGATTGTAGTAAAAAAGACAAATATACCCCTATACTTAGTATAGTGTAATATAAAATTAATGACATTTGTGTAATATATTGTAAGTTGGAAGGGTATTTATTATGTTAGGTAAGTAGTACAATTACTAAATTAGAAAATGATAACTTTGTTTTGGGACGGACAAAAATGAAAAATAACAACCTTTCAATAAGACGAATGGAGTATTTAATTTTTATTCTTTTAAATATCAAATAAAATAATTATTATTATTTTTATACTATTATATTAAAAATTAATTTTATATTAAAATTATTTCACCAATATTTATGTATATTATATTAAATAACTATTCGAATTAAAAATTTTAATACTCAAAAATTTCAAACTCAAAAATCAAATCCACAAACAAACACACTCTCTATTGTACATGGCCTATTAATAGATTCTTTTGCATTGAAATGGTCACTTATACGAGTATTTTAATTTAAAATATTTTATACATAAAATATAGAAAATTATGTCTAAAATAAATATATATTTAGAAGAGTGTTTGAAAAAGAATAAATCAAATAAAGTATAACCCCATACTCACGGTTAAAAAAATTCAAACTTAAAAATCAAATTCACAGACAAACACACCTAATATTATACATTGGCTATAAATAGACTCTTTTGCATTGAAATGGTCACTTCTACAAATAATTTAATTTAAAATATTTTTTATATAAAATATAAAAAATTATGTATTATAAGATAAATATATATGTTGAGAATCTTGTTTTTTAAAAAAATAAAGCATATACCCCACACCTCAGAGTTCATGCACCTTAATAATCTATCAATTTTTCCATTTTAATTCGTTCCATAACAAAGTATTTATTTATTTTTTTTAAGTAATTGTACCATCTACCTAAATATCATTACATTTATATCATACAATAATACTAATAGGGCTAATTTAATCTTTTTAAAATTTTGTACAAAAAAACAAATAAATATATAGATATGGTAAGTAGGGAGTAGATATGTATAAGAATTATCTATTTTACGAAAGGGGATAATTAATTTAATTTTCTATCAATTTTATTTTTTACCATTATTTCTCAATAATTCTATTTCGGTACCAAACAAACTTTCGTAGTATTTTATGTAAATAAACATTGAACGATATTAATAATTAAATTAATTTTTTGCTTATTTAAATATAATATTTTATTCGTTTCAGTTAAATTGTTTCATTTAAATTAGGCATAGAATTTTAGGTATTATGTAATTAGTAAATAATTAAGAAATATATTAGTGAAAAAAATTATGATTTAATAAATATAATTATAAATTAAGATTAAAATAATTAAATAGTTTAATTAAAATAAATAAAATTATATATTATGAATTTTAAAATATGATTAATGTGTATAATTATATTTCAAAAAAAAAGATAAATTACATGGGACGTACGAAAATATAAATAGTGGACAAATTAAGTGAAAAATTAAATTTAACAAGACTACAAACATAAAAATAAATTTTGTTGATTGGTATTTTATGTAAATAAATATTGAATGAGTTAATTTTCAAATATTATTCTCTCAGTTTGGTTTTAATAGCTATATTTACTTGTTAGAATATTTGAATATTAATTAAAATAATTTTAGATTTTATAATAATACTATAATCACATTTATATAAAATATTATATAATTTTTTAACATTATTAATACGCAAAAGATAAATGTAACATTAAAAATATATAGTAATTTTTTTTACTTAGTCAAATATAATAATAAAATAAATTAACAAAAGAAATTACTGGTGTGTATGTTTGAGAATTTTTGTCAAAAATTCACTATTTATCTAAATTTTTTTTGCAAAAATATCACATCAAACACTTTGCAAAAAAATCACTATTTATCCAAAAAATTTCGTACAAATATCACATTAAACACTTATTTACATCAATACGTATTTATATCATATTATACAATTATTTAAATTTAAAACTTTTACTATTCAAACTCAAAATCCAATCAACAAAACAAACAGATCCTACAAAAATAAAAATAAATTTGGAAAGAGTATTTACTCCTATTTTGTAGAATAAAATACTTCCAAAAAGGCTTACGTACCGTTCTAGAAACGGTTTCAACGCGGCAATGGCGGTCAATCCAGAAGCTTCCAGAACTCTCCACAGCCTTCGTTTTTGACTGGCTGGCGATTGCCTTACGCTCATCAACAATCACATTTCCTCCCCAATAAATAGCAGCTCCATTCGGCTCCATTTCTCATCAAGAATCACAATTCTTTCGTGCTCTCATAGTCTCCTTAATCTTTAATCTCTTCTTGTGCCAAATCTCCTTTCAAGCTTTCTTTCAACGCTCCTCAAGATGCAGATCTTTGTGAAAACCCTAACCGGCAAAACCATCACGCTCGAAGTCGAGAGCTCCGACACGATCGACAATGTTAAAGCGAAGATCCAGGATAAGGAAGGCATTCCGCCGGATCAGCAGCGCCTTATCTTCGCCGGAAAGCAGCTCGAAGACGGCCGGACGCTTGCCGATTACAATATCCAGAAGGAATCTACGCTCCACCTCGTCCTCCGTCTTCGCGGCGGAATGCAGATTTTCGTCAAAACGCTAACGGGGAAGACGATCACGCTCGAGGTTGAGAGCTCCGACACCATTGATAACGTCAAGGCTAAGATTCAAGACAAGGAGGGAATTCCGCCGGATCAACAGCGTCTGATTTTCGCCGGTAAGCAGCTCGAAGACGGCCGAACCCTAGCCGATTACAACATTCAAAAGGAATCCACGCTCCACCTTGTCCTTCGTCTCCGCGGCGGGATGCAGATTTTCGTGAAAACTCTGACGGGCAAAACGATCACTCTCGAGGTGGAAAGCTCCGACACAATCGATAACGTCAAGGCCAAAATTCAAGACAAGGAAGGAATCCCTCCGGATCAACAGCGTCTAATTTTCGCCGGAAAGCAGCTCGAAGACGGTAGAACCCTAGCCGATTACAACATACAGAAGGAATCGACTCTCCATCTCGTCCTCCGTCTGCGTGGTGGAATGCAAATTTTCGTCAAAACCCTCACCGGCAAAACGATCACCCTCGAAGTCGAGAGCTCTGACACAATCGACAACGTGAAGGCGAAAATTCAGGACAAGGAGGGAATTCCACCAGATCAGCAGAGGCTCATCTTCGCTGGGAAGCAACTTGAAGACGGTCGGACTCTGGCGGATTACAACATCCAGAAGGAATCGACATTGCATTTGGTACTGAGGCTGCGCGGTGGGATGCAGATCTTTGTCAAGACATTGACAGGAAAGACCATAACACTGGAGGTGGAGAGTTCCGACACCATTGACAACGTCAAGGCCAAGATTCAGGATAAAGAAGGCATCCCACCCGACCAACAGAGGCTGATTTTCGCTGGCAAGCAGCTTGAAGATGGTAGGACTTTGGCTGATTACAACATTCAGAAAGAGTCTACTCTGCATTTGGTTCTCCGCCTTCGTGGTGGCTATGGAGCTTGAATTTGAGGATATGGCTTCTCATCTATCAGGGGAATTATCTTCCAGTTTCTTCAGTCCTTATATTTGTTTGTTCCTGGGAGTTGTAATGTCTCTGTTTTATCTTGAATCTACTATCTAAATAAACATATGGTGCTTGCTATATAGAAAGTGTTTCTGATCTTTTGAAGTTTGAAGTTACTACAATCTAAGCTACATGAAGTGATTTTGCTGTTCTCTTGATTTTTGATGGAAATAATGCAGTTTCTTGGAGTGTCGTTCATTGCTATGCATAGTACTCTTTATCTTGTGTACTTGGTTTAAGTTTAGGTTATCTTATATCCAAGATATATCGTGGTTTCTTAATATTTTTGTGGCTTATATGAGTTTGATCTTGATGCTGTGGTCCTGATTGAATTAATCAAAATTTCTGTGGATTGGTTCTGCTGCAGAGAGGTATGTTTTATGTTATCTGCTATCTAAGATATATAGTTGACCATCCATAGTTAATCCTTGATCTTGATATTGAAGTCCTGATTGAATTAATCAAAATCTCTGTGGATTGGTTCTGCTGCTAGAGGTATGTTGATATCTAAACTATATAGTTGATCATCATATATAATACTTTATGAATATTTTTGTGCCTTAATCAGCTTGATCTTGATGTTGTAGTCTGAATTAATCAAAATCTCTTAGGATTGGTTCTGCTGCAGAGGTATGTTTTGCCACCTCATTGGGCCTTAGCCTGAAATTTTCCATGGTTTATATAGTCTGTGAATTTGCACTATAGTTTTAATCAAGAAAGTGTTTTGATGCAGAGCAAGGGATGAATTCATAATGCATTAGAATAAAATCTCCTGGGAACTGGTCGAATTTTGGCTTGTACTCGAGTATTTTTATTAGCAGCAAGCACCCTCCAAACATGAGAGCCATGCTGGTAATCTATGAACTTCCAATGTTCTGATGCCTGTATGTAATCTAAGCTTTTGAATTCTTGTTGAAGGAGAAATCTGGCGGCGCATTGATCTCAAGATGCAGCTGACCGGTCTGGAAATCTACATGACTTGAACTTTCTTGTGCATCATTCTCATCTTCAACTTGTTCGAAGTTTCTGTGCTGAGACAGTGAGTCGTAGTCTGGTTCTGCTGGCCATTGTTCAGTTACATAACTGCAATTCCTCGTGAAAGTCTTCAATGTCTCGACCTCAGTTGTGTAGGAAGAAGGCAACAAGCTCGGAGGTGGTGATGAGATGTGACGTGGAGTGCTTGGAATGCTTGACATTGGCGTCCCAATCCCTAATCCCTGTTGCCGATTCTTCTTTATCTGCTTCCTTGCTGTTTGGTGCCATGATTGAAGAGCTTTTGCTACTCTTTCGTTAAATATGGTTGGTTTCATGTTCGATCCCATCTTTTAAATACGGAAGCATGTTAGAACTAATCCAGCATTCTGTGAATCTTTGATTTTCATTGTCTCATTACCTGTGTGACTAATGCATAGAGTGGAAGTGTAACATAGCTGCAGAGTATTTGTACGAGAACCCTGCCATGGCATAAAAGCTTCCACTGAAACAGGTATTTTGTTTGCGATTTATACTAAATTCAGGTTATCATAAAATCTTGTACTGACCCCATGGATATTCTGATGACCACATCTTCTGTTCTTTGATGGAAGCAGGATCGCCTCCCGAATTGCAGCTGCACGTTTATGGAAGGAATTGTATCATTTTGAAATCTGGTAAAAATTGCAGTGGTGATAATCGAAAAGATGATATGCTGAAAAGCACTTACCCACGCCCAAGTAAAGAAGGCAAGCTGAAATGCATTCTACAAACCGAAAAAAGAACACACGGTTACATTTCTTGTATTACAATATTTATAAGCCTGTTGAGTATGTTGATGTATCTTGAGTTTTACAGGTACCTACCTGAAAGAAAACAAACTGGATTAGGTAAAGGAGGAGCCGGGGACGGTTGAACCAAAACAGATTGTCGCCGGGTTGGACTACTGGGGCTCCTTTAACTATCTCGCCTCTTTTTTGAAATCTTAATCCCATCATCGTGATGATGACTTGAAGTTTTGTTCCCACCAACAATATAATCTGTGGAGTGATCATAAAAGTTTGTATTTTGAAGATTTCCATTAAACTGCAAAACTTAGAAAGGTAAGAGTATGCTTACAATAAGAGGGATAAATGGCAGCCACAGATAGGATCTCCAACCTGTTTCCATCCCGAAATCAGGTAAAGTGTTGAGTTGAACTTATTGCTTACACATACACGCGCGTGCATTTATTGGGTTTGTATTTTTCTCTATTGCAGGATTGTAACAACAATATAAAGACATAATCTGAGAATGAGATCGCGAGTTGTTTCAGTTACCATGGGTGTTGAACAGCAAGAATAGTACTGCAAATAACCATATCGGTGGACTGCGCAAAAGAAGTAAGTGCATTAGCTTGACTACTTCTAGAACTTGTTTGATTTAATTTTTATTTTTAAAATTTCTAGTCCTTTGCACTTAAGCTAGTGTTTCCTAACCTGATGCCTACTACAACTTTGAAATCTTCTTCGAGTGTTCTTTTTATGTAGTTCTGGAAATCGAAGTTAGTTTGACTCTGTGGTGCCAAATGAGCCTGCCAATTTGATACAATAGTAAAAAGGAAAACTAGATGAATATACTGTCAATAGATCATAAAACTGAACTGTATTTAACTTGATGGACTCACAATGATGAATCCATGCCGCAGAGTCAAATAATCCACCTTTGGAACAGATCTTACGAACTGTCGTAAGAAACATACCTGAAATTTGTTCAATGTTTAAAACATATATAGTTAGCTAAAAATAAATTAAACTAGGAAATCATATGATCTTTAGATACTTACCACCCAAAGTAGGATAGGGGATTGACTCCAAAAACTCATATGTCTTCGCCCGAATGAGGTGTCCCTAGCAAACCTAAATCTTTCTGGATCTGAAACACATTGCAGTTTTATTCCGTCTTCTTATAATATCCGCAAAAAATTGGAAATATTTGCCCGAAGTCTGATATAGGACAGGGCATTCATACCGTGTTCATATTGATACTCTGCTGTTTTTGTGTCTTCCTCCCATGCTTTCCATTTCCTCATCTAGAAAAATCAATTAGGTAAGTTAATCGATAGGATATTAATCTTTGCCCGGGAGGAGAAACATTGTAGATTTAGACACACCTTTAATCTTCCTAGAGCCAAAGTGATCAAACAGCAAATCACATGAAAAACAGCTAACACGAAGATGAATATATGCAATTGGTGGATTCCATCTGATGAGATTAGAGGGACTTGTCCCTGAAAAAATGTAAACTCTAAACATCACATAACAGTTCTATAATAGAGACTTAAGTAGATAACCCGTTATACCTTGTCTGCGCATACGTCTTTTCCTCCGCCAGCCAGAACCCGTCTCTGTACCCAACTAGTATCCATATATTGATTATATTCTAGCAGCAGCCTTCTCCTGTGTTCACCATCATCATAATCCTTTCCCTTCCCGTGGTCATATTTGTGCTTTTCTTGGTCCTTATTACATGGATGCCAAGAATTTCCGATCTTGTTAGATACACATATTTTAGATATAGGCCCTTGTCCTACTGTTAACAGCAGTGATAGGAATCCAAGCAGCATGAGCTCTGCATAGGAAAGAATCGACCCCCTGAAATACATTTATGACAACAAAATATAACCTGTTCTTACAAGATGACGGTAGAGCCCACCTGATTTGATCTTCTCCAGTGCTTCGTATAGAGCCTTCTTGTTTCTCATAGACAGCCACTGTAAAAGATTCAAAATTAGATTCTATACAATCTTGATGGATACTTGGTAAGATTGATTACCTTTCCTAAAAGATGGAGAATGTGCTCGATGATAATTGAAATCGCCACGAGCACAAAACACACTACTGCAACTGCCCATGTCGGTGTTTCCTCAAGAGATCGACCACCCTTTCCTGCCATCCCTTCTTGAGCAAAAAGGAACCTTAGAAAAGCTATAGAAGGTTGAAGATAGAAAATCTGAAAGCCAACCACAATTGTATCTGTATGCAGCTACCATATATGCATATATGTATATATATATATATGTATATTTGTGTATCTATCTGTGTTTATATGCAACTCCTCTAGAGTTTGATGATATATAGGTGCATAGGGTTGCTTAGTAATACATACCAACATGGTAAGTCTTGTTCCTACTTGCAAGAATTCCATGCACAGTGAAGTAATGGAAGGAAAGAAAGTCAAGGGGGATATAAAATGGGATATTTATACACACTTTGACTTCTGACTAGTTAGAAGAAAACAGCAAGATAACTACAACAAATGCCTCATTTTGATCCCTGCATTTATGGCTGCCTGCTCTTCCAACATGTACTGTTAATATGGACATCAAATTATCATATATCATCTTTTTAAGATTATTTGTTCCACTTTTGAGAAGAAAAATGAGTGAACAAGAGCTGATTATCAATTTATCATTTAAATTAAATGAGTGAAAACAATTCTCTATGGTTGGTTTGTGTTAGCCTTTTATTATATAAGATATTGATCATATTGAATACTTTCTCCTTTGGATATTGAATACTTTCACCTAAAAGCTTAGGTGAGAGTTATTTATTTTATCATAGCCTTAGGTCTCGCGTTCCAAGTTCCACCGTTTCCCGTTTGTCGTTGTTCACGTGTAAATTTTGTTTGGTGACATTTATTTCTCTTGGTAGACTCCTGTTTGTAAATAAATGATATGTATTTTAACATTTTAAGCTTTTAGGTGAAACGATATCTACTTCATCTAACACTTTGCAAAGAAAATGAGGGTCATTGTGGTAATTTTGGATGAGAGGTTAGAGAATTTTATTGTTTGTGTGGGGTTAGAAGATAGATATATTGATTCCGAATAACTTAAAATGACAAAATGAATACATTAGTATGTAACGGATGGAATGGCTGGTTAGAAACTTAGTTATGTGACTTTAAATGTATGAGAAGACAACAATTGTCAAAACAACATATCTTATATTTGAATTCAATTTATTTAACTAAAAAAACAACATACTGAATTCAGCACCTTGGTTTCTTTTTTTTGCATACTTGAATATTCTCATTTATTGAATGTAGATATATTTGTGTTTCTACGTTAATTAAAAAACAATAATAATAGTTTATATTTGGTAAATAGAGTACAAGTGTGTCAAGACTAAACTACCCTTAATTTGTCCACACAGCTAGTAAGTAATGTATATTGAAATGTGCATTTTGGTATATGTACGTAAAATAACAAGATATTTTATTTATAGTGTGTATTGTTTGTGTAAGTCGTAGATAGCTAATATTGTCTATTATTATTGGCTGGTTTTGTGTTTAATTTTAGGATAAAGAAACATTGAACAATGTTTATTTTATACTTTAATTGTGTGTTGAAGTATTTGGGTATGATTTTTAATAAAATGAATAATAATTGATATTTTTTACTTTTTATAATAAAAAAGTATAAAATAATTATGCATTTTTTTACTAAAAAGAAAAACAAGAACATATTTTTATGATAATTAGAAAAAAGTGAATATAAATTTGAATGACCGAGAAAAAAGTACACAAATTCATAATTGAACCTTTGAATTTTGTCTCGGTTGTAAATAGTTCAAAACAATATTTAATAAATAAAGAATTGAAATTCAGGTACTTAGCCAAACCCTCTTTTTTATTCCAGTACCACTCTATATTTAGGTTATTACAATGTAGATTACGTTTCGTCTTACCTGTGTAGTCTGACCCCACTGCATGTATTAATGGAGTTCTCATTCTGATGCATATATATCTCATTATGTGTCTGTTATAAATATTGATGTTTTATTGCGATGAAATTTGCAGAGCACGAAAAGAACTTTGTAAATTAAATGATTTAGCAAAAAGTGCACACTGCTAAACCCTTGGCCGAATTTATGAATTCATATAAACTTGGAATTGAATCAATAATTTATTCTTATTATTACTTGTTAAGATCTATTTTGTGTATTTGTTCGGTGAGCCACTGAAAGAGCCTAATTTCTGTTTGGATTAGTTCCGAATTATTTGATAATAATTTAGGAATATATTTTATTACCACAAGTACTCTCAATTGAAATAGTTGGTTTGGCTTTGTGTGTGTTTCTTTGGTTATATATATATATGAACTTGAATTTAGTTTAAATAATAGTTTGATGTTGAATTTTGTAAGAAAAAAATGTATATTTATTAGTGAATCTAAAGATTGAATAATTAAAAGCTAAACAAAAATGTGTAAAAAGTGTGAATAGTTGAAAGTGTGTGATTATTGGTTAGAGAATTGGATTTAAAGTTTTGAATAATGAAAAGATTAAATTAGAATAGTTGTTTAACTTGATATTTTTGGATATATTTTTAATGTAAAATTAATTTTTAAAATAATATAAAAAAAGTAATAATATGACCAAATAGATAGTTTGGAGTTTGGTTTTACTTACATTTGATGTTTGATGAAAATATATATATATATATATATATAGGAAATTGTCGTGAAACTAAACTTCAAAATCACGAGTTCTCTGATGGATTAGAAGCATAATGCAGATTTGGCCAAGTTAGTAATTAACACAAAACAATTGACAGGTAGTCACAAAATAGATGATATAGTACATTAACTTAAAATAATTAGTATTTTATAAAACATATGACATATTGTATTGCTAAATATCATATTAATATTTGCTATTTTTTATACATATGTGTTGATTGGATCAAATTACTATTATGTTAAGTCAGAATTTTTGTTGAAATTAGAATATATTTTGTTGTATACAATTATATAATATATTATTAAAATATGTGTAATATTATATGAATATTTGTTACTTTTTTTTTGTGAATATTTATTGATCAAGTATAGTAACCAGAGCATTTTATTTCAATACGTAATATATAATAATAATAATTATTATTATTATTAGCATTGTTATCTGAAAGTAATTTTCAATGTCCAAATCTCACATTAATTCCGAATCTTCCTCGCTAGTTCGTAATGAATAGGAAAAAAAAGACCCATTTGACTTGCTCACATCTTCACATTAAATACCTGTTTTTGTTTTTAAGCAGAAAACCACCCAAATCAAGAAGATAACTCTCCCTCTCTCTCTCTCTCTCTCTCTCTCTCTCTACATCATTTTCCATCTTCTTAATTTCTTCCCAAACATCCTTCCATTTCATCCATTTCTAAAACCCCATGTGAATCCATGAATGAACAACAGCTCTGGTCCACACTCTCCACAGTTTTAGATACATATATATATATACACATATATATAGAGAGAGAGAGAGAGAGAGATGATGTGAATTCATCAAGAATCAAAGTTTATGTACACATACTTATTATGTGTTCTAATCCTTACATATAACCTAACGTGTGCATTCTGGAATCTGCTCTCAAGTCTCAATCTCTGTTTCACCAAAAAAAGTCGTGTCCTTTTTAATGATCTCTTGGGACACAAATACACTGTATGCTACTAAAGTGTCTGGTTCCTAGACATAGTAATAATCAAGAAGGAAGGCTATGGCCGCCGGAAACTCCGGCTCGACCTCCCTCGAACACACCCCGACATGGGCTCTCGCTACTGTCTGCTTGTGTATTGTCTCCATCTCTATGGTCCTCGAGCATTCGATCCACCTTCTTAGCAATGTCAGCTCAAGTTCTTAGTTTGCTTAAATACTGTTTATATGTTTATGATAGCGAAATGAAATTAGCTGTTTGTCTGTATGTATATGTTATTACAGTTGCTCAAGAAACATAGGAAGACTGCCTTGAACGAAGCTGTCTTGAGCCTTAAATCCGGTAGTTCAACAATTTCGACAGTTCTTTCTTCAATGATTTTTAAGTGTGTAGGATTTTTATTGATTTTTATGTTTTTTTTTTTTTTTTTTGCAGTGCTTATGTTTCTGGGATTCATGTCCCTGCTACTAGCAGTGACTCAGGATTACGTTACAAAGATTTGCATACCGATCAAAGCAGCCAACACGATGCTCCCGTGTCGCGGCCATGTAATGAAGCCCGGGCGCGAATCCTTTGTAATGAACACGGATATCGTTAATGGATCATCTCCGCCGTATTCCTCGGCATTTTCTAATGGATCGGAATTCAATAACGACGATGATGATGCTAATGCCACCGACTCTTGCGCCTCGAAAGTTCGGTTAATTTCAAGACTTACACCTTTCGATTCGATTTACTTCATCTGTTCTTATTTATGAATTCTTCTTTGGGAGATTGTAGGGGACGGTTTCGTTGATGACGAAGAAAGGAATACAGCAGCTGCAGGTGTTCATCTTCATCATCGCCGTTACGCAGATTGTGTACAGCGTCTTCACTTTGGCTTTAGGAAGGCTTAAGGTCATTAAAGAATGCAAATTTCTCGAATTTTTTAAAACTGAGCTTTGATTCGATCGATGTCTTGAGGATTTTGTTTTTTTTTTTTTATTTTATGTAATCGTCGTTTGTTCAGATGAGGCGTTGGACGGCTTGGGAGAAGGAAACTCAGACATTAGAGTACCAGGTTGCTCACGGTACATCGTTTATTTATCATCTAACAATAAATTACTTCGAAAAAAAATAAATGTACAGAAATTCATGTTTCATTGCATGAAATGAGTTCTATCTGATTCAGATCCAAACAGATTTCGATTCACTAGAGCTACGACGTTCGGGAGGCGCCACGAGGCTTGTACGGAAACAGCCCTTCAGCTTTGGACCGTAAGTACTTTTAGTCGGTTCGACTTTATCTTACATCATATTCATGTCGATGTGCTGCGTGACTGTTTCTGGAAGCAGAAATCCTTTTTCAGGCAATTCTTTAATTCTGTCGCGAAAGTCGACTACCTGACTCTGAGACACGGATTCATCAATGTAATCTTGTCCGTACCTTACTACCTTATTTTCGATCTTTTTTTAAGGTCGAAACTGAGCATTTTTTTCTTTTTGTGTTTCATGTGTTCTTTAGGCTCATTTGTCTGACAGGTTCCATGACTTCAACTTCCAAAAGTACATAGAGAGCTCCCTCGACGAAGATTTCAAAGTCGTGGTCAGCATAAGGTTTGTTTACGCGTCGCAATTTTTGTTCTTGCAGTCATTTAATTAAGCTGTCCTAATCTTTCGATTTGTGTTCTTGCAGCCCTTTCTTGTGGTTTCTTGTTGTCCTTTTCATGCTGATAGACGTCTACGGTAAGTTCCGAATTTGTCCCTTTATGCTTGTCGATCTTTGCAGCGTAATCAATATCGCGCTAACCAATTGTCAATCAGGCTGGCATTCGTATCTCTGGCTATCGTATGTTCCTCTGCTGGTGAGTAGTCCTTGTTCCATTATCGAACTTGTCTCCCTGTCTGGCGCAAATCATCGTCATTTTCTCTACTTACATTTTCAGATAATCTTAATCCTCGGAACTAAGCTGGAAGTCATTGTGGCGAAGATGGCCGTCCAACTCAAAAGTCTCAACAATGTCACCATGGGCGCGCCCTTAGTACAACCGAACAACGATCTTTTTTGGTTCGGACAGCCAAGATTCGTGCTACATCTCTTGCACTTGACACTTTTTGTGGTAAGTACATTTAGTAAGCCGTCATCTTGCATTGCATATGAGCATAATATATATATATATATACTCACTCGAACGGTGCTATGCTGCAGAATGCTTTCGAGTTCTCCTTTTTCCTTTGGGTAATCGTAAGTATCTCTTAATCCATCGAGACAAATTGCGCACTCGGCTCATTTTTCCTTTTGACGACTCTCCGAAGCCACTTCTTTATACAGATACAGTTCGGATACCATTCTTGTCACCACGAGCACACGGCGATCACCATAACAAGAATCGTCTTTGCGTAAGAACCTTCTTTAAATTAAAAACGCAAACTTTCTTCGAGATCCCATCATTACTTAGCTTATGCTCGCGTGCATTTTTCTTTTCTTTTCTTTTCTTGTTTCTTCTTGGCAGTGTGTCGGTCCAAGTCCTCTGCAGCTACATCACTCTGCCGCTCTACGCTCTCGTGACGCAGATGGGCTCGGAATTCAGAGGCGAACTAATCAACGAGCACGTCGTGCAAGTGTTGAAGCAGTGGCATGCCGAGGTTCGGGACAAGAGGAAGAAACAAGCACATGTTGTCGCGCCTAGCGTTGTTCTGTCATCCGATGGAGGTGGCGGCGGCGGCAGCCCCGACTCGGAGGTTGCGCCGCCGACGCGGCGAGACCTGCCGTGCCTGATTAAGCAGATCACGTGCGGAGCGGCACGTGTGAGCGAGATCACTGAAGAAGAAGAAGGAGATGGATGAAGGTTGTGGTTAACATGTACTGTTCGGCTAATATTTTGTTGTATTAAAGGGAATGTAAATTTTAGAGTAAATGGAGATTAGGGAACTTAGTTTGGTGTAAATGTAAGAAACTTAGAACTAACTCTAATAAAACGATGTTCATTTAGGCCTAAAATATAATAATAATAATAATAATAATAATAATAATAGTGCACATAAAAATTAACATGATATAATATATGGTAATAGTTTATATAATAGTGTATGTGGTATGATACTAACATTAAAATAGATATGCCGAAAATTCAATGTATGGAAACATTGTATTTACCTTTAAAAGATAGGCCTAGATTTTTAATTTGAATAATTGTATGATGTGATATAAATAAGTGTTGATGTGATGTTTTGAATGTAAAATTGATTTTTAGTATAATATAAAAAATGAAAATTAGGTGCTTGATTTGATGTTTTTGGGGGAAAAAAATTGAATGAATAGTGTAAATCCAATCCAATCTCCTAAACAAATTGTATTCTTTAGATGAATGTGATATCGAGGTTCAAATATGCTATATTATTGTGTTTTAAGTATGAAATGAATATGAGTTTCTTTTTGCAAATACCATCATGGGGCTCAATTCCGATCACTTCTTGAGGAATATAACTCTAATGGATGGGATTCCATATTCATGAAATGCTAGTTTTGAACCATATTTTGGAACCAAGACAAGAATCTTTAATAATAATAATAATAATAATAATAATAATAATACGAATGTCCCGTAAATGATGGTTTGTTTGGTGGTGTAGATGTTAGATTTGTGACTGTCACGTCTCAGGTCACCTGTCACGCAAATCCTGCATTAATATGACGGCCAATAATATTGTATTTTCAATATAGTGCTCATTGTAGCCGCTGCCATCCTTCATTTTTATTTTATTTTTTTATGACGGAGAAATATGTAGTTGCTATTTTTCAAAAAAAAAAATTGATAAAATTCTAACAAAATGACTTTACCATCACCAATCATACATTGTATCATATATTCTTCTTCTTGTTATAATTCACATGTTATGTTGTGTAACTTCACCTTTACTTCTTCAAGACTCATTCATATACAAAATTCAACCCACCAAATAATATTAGCCACACATAATGCCTTCACCCCACCCCCACTTCCCAAATATTTCAACACTAATTGTCAGTGTGAGTGTGTAATTATTATTATTATTATTATTATTATTATTATTATACCTAAAAAACCACCCAAGAAGCATTCCCTGAAGTCAAATTTGTGTGGCCAAGTGGACAACCCTCTAATATATATACTCACTCCGTTCCAAACATCTTATAATATTTGTGGTTTCCAGTGTGGCATTAAATATGATAATTTAAAATAATTTAGATATTAAATGATTTAATCAGAGAAAGAAATAATTATTTTTTTTTTATTTGAGTGATGTGATGGGATAAAATAAAGTGTATTCTAAAATATATTTATAAATATTATTAATTAATTCTAAATTTAAAAATATTGCAGTGAATTTAAAAATATATATATATATATTGCAAAGTGTTTGGGATTGAAGGTAATGGAGTATATACTAATTGCCACTACTTACAAATCCACAATCTTCTTTGTATCTATCTATATATATATATATATATATATATATATGCATGTATATAAATATGTTGGTTGTGATATATGATTTGGTGCAACAAATTCCACAAAATAAAAAACAACTATGTCATCAAAATCCCTAACCCTTCTCTTATTACTACTGCTACTCTTCTTCTTCTTCTTCTACTCTGGTAAGTAGTAACTTCTAACAAGTTAGTTGTCATCATCATCAATTGTGGGTGCTTTTTAAATTTATTTTTCTTTTTAGAAAAAAAAAAAAAAAAAAAAAAAAAAAACTTAAATAGTAATTTGAATATAATCTTTTATTATAAAAATAATATATTTTTATAAAGAATGACGAGAATTAATTAAAATATACGTATATAATCATTTCTAGTTTCTCTTAAAATATTATATTTTAAATAATAAATGCAGTTAGTCTTTTTTGTACTTAAAATTGTTTTGCTTTTGACATGTAAATTAATGTGATAATATAATATTTGACTAAATAAATATAAATTTGAATATATATATATATATGTGTATTGTATTTTGAGTTTATACTTTACAAAGTAAAATTGGCATTGTATTGAAGGACTAAAAATAACAAAATAGATACCCTAATAATTATTTTGAATTGATTCAATTAATTAAGGTAAGAGCGACGTCGAATTAAACTACTATTCCGAGAAATGCCCGAAAGCAGAAGAGATAGTGAAGGAAGAAGTGACGAAATTGTACCATAAACATGGCAACACAGCTGTTTCTTGGCTTAGAAACCTCTTCCATGACTGCTTTGTCAAGGTAAATTTTTTTATTTCTAATTATTTACGGATTTTTTTACATTGGTTATTGAAAATTATAAAAATGTTGAAGAACTATAGTGTTCTATCATTATTATTTTTAAAAATACTTTGTAAATATATATATATTGATTATGAAATAAAAATAAAAAATAAAAGAACAAACTCTGTATATAATTTTTTTAATTAGTTTTACTAAATAATTAATTTTAAGCATGCAGTCTTGCGATGCATCCCTTCTTCTCGACGGGGTCCAATCGGAGAAAACTTCTCCAAAAAGTTTTGGAATGAGGAATTTTAAGTACATAAACACAATCAAGAAAGCCCTCGAGGACGAATGCCCCATGACGGTTTCTTGCGCTGACATTGTCGCCCTCGCCGCAAGGGACGGCGCCGTTTTGGTAATAACCTTACCTTGCTATTTTATGATTAGTAGAAAATGAATCGTACGACGATGATTGTTAAAATATTGTATAGTTTTATAATTATATAGTTGAACGATTTAAAAATTATATTGAAATATGGACAAGAATTAAAGATTTGATAACTAATCAGCATATAATATATATATTATTTATTTTCATAAACTATCATAGCAAATATTATTTATATAAAAAAATTAATTAAAATTTTAATTACAAATAACAAATCTAAATATTTTGAATATAGATTAGTGTAATATATTTAATAATATAATAAGTGAACAGTAACTAGTAATAATAGTAATAATAATATTATTATTATTATTATGAAACAATTATGTAATAGGTCTCACATATTGCAGGTGTTGGTTTAGCATATCGTGTATAAATATTCAATCTATTATTTTCGTGTAGTTAAAAAGTATACAATTATTTTATAATTTTGAATAATAATTATTATATGAAAATATATAATATAAATTAAGATAAAAAAAATACATGTATTTTAGTCTCTTATAATACAAATACAATTATATTTACGAAGTAAATTATATAAATATATATACTATTTTTTAATAAAAATATTTCATTCAATTACTATAAACTTAGTAGTTGGGAGGCCCGTATATAGCGATGAAGACCGGTCGAAGGGATAGCAGAGAAAGCCATTGGTCCGAAGTCGAAAGCTCCATCCCTAATCACAATGACACCATGCCTAAAATCCTTTTGGCATTTCAATCTATCGGTATCGACACGGAAGGCGCCGTCGCCTTACTCGGTAACTCTTCCTTAACTTTTTGATACAAATTACTATTAAAAATAGGTATATCTATAAAAGTCAAGTCATTTTGATGCAGAAGACACCAAGTCAAAGTTGCTACCAATTTTAATATATTGACGAATTAATTTCGTTCGGCTCTAAGGGTCTTATTTACTTTTTGCGTGTTGATCTTTGAATATTAATTATTATATAAAAACGTAGTACTAAGAAAAAATGAAAAAAAATATTTTTATACAAATATATAGATATTTTTAATATTAAGGATACAAAATGTAGTTTTTATGTCAATCAAAATTATTGTACGAAATTCAGTATTAATGTACTAAAATTAATACTAAATTGACACAATATCTTTCATTTCAAAATAACTTTTATAGAGTAACGATCCTCTAAAAACTTATTGCGAGTCACTTTCACCGTAACTTACGTACACTTCTATGTGTCGATATCCTCGGAAAGGCGCACACTCGGTGGGACGGGTTCATTGCACCAACATAGTTCATCGACTCTATCCGACCGTCGATTCAACGTTGGACCCTAATTACGCGGAATATCTCAAGGTGCGCTGCCCCTCGCCCGAACCGGACCCTAAGGCCGTCGAGTACGCAAGAAACGACCGTGCAACGCCGATGGTACTTGACAACATGTATTACAAGAATATTTTGAACAACAAAGGACTGATGATCGTCGATCAACAACTGGTTTCTGAGCCCACAACTTATCCATTTGTGAAGAAGATGGCTGATGATAATGAATACTTCCATGAACAATTCTCAAGGGCTTTGATCATTTTGTCTGAAAATAATCCACTTGATGAAGAACATGGAGACATAAGAAAAGATTGTAGGTTTTTGAATAACCTTTGATGAAATGAAGTTTTGGGATATTTGTAAGAAAGTTGTGAAATGGGCTTTCTATTAATGTTGGAGAATTTGGGCCTAAACTTGTGTTTGTTTTCAGGTTTGGATTTTGAGTTGGGATTTGAATAGTAAAAATTTTGAATTTGAATAGTTGTATTATGTTATATAAATAGGTGTTGATGTGATGTTTTTAATGTAAAATTGATTTTTAGTATAATATAAAAAATGAAAAATAAGTGTTTGATTTGATATTTTTGGGAGAAAAAATGGGATGAACAGTGGAAATCTAATTCAATCTTCCAAACAAACACACCCTTAAATGTTGTTTTTGTATATTATCTCTCTATAAATTAAAATATTTATTTTTTAACTATCTATATATCAATTTTCAAATTTAATCAATATTTTTTCTGTCTACTAAAATTATGTATGTTTGTTTGAATACAAAAATTAAAAAATAATTATATTTTAATATTAAAGTAAAATATGTAAAAAGTAAAGTCGGGATATTATGAGCAATCTATTACATGACCGATAAAAAATATAGTGAAGTAAGTAGGAAAAGTAGTAAAAATTTTATCATTATTTGTTAGATTAGGAGTAATAAAATTATAGATAGATATAATTGTTTACTATAAATAAATTATATATAAATTTAACGTACAATTAAAAAATAATAATTATATAATTTTAGCGGACAATAGAGTATAATATACATATAATAATAATAATTCTCTTATATTTAATCTAAAATTATATGCATAATGCTAATTGTGAAACTAATTTATACATATTTGTAATTTTTTCATTTTGATTCAATTTTTCGACAAATTGAAACCGACAATTAAGGGTGTATCGTTTAGCTAATTTTACTTTATTTCTACTATTTATATAAAATAAAAAGCAATATATCTAAAAATATTAATCAAATATCTATTTACTAAGTAATATAAGTAAATTAATTTATTAATATATTCTTTTATTTATGAAATGAAACCATGTGTATATTAATAATTTCAAGACCTTTGTTTATACAATATTTCTGGAGATTTTGTTTAGTAATGAGCATAACGGTCCTATTGTTCCTTTTTTGTCATTATGTAATTTTTATAAAATATTATATTAATATATTTTTTTATAAAATATTCTATCAATATTAAATTTTTATTATTTTCAAATTTTCAATTTTCACTTTTAAATACACATGGTTTCATTTCATTAGGGAAGATAATAAGGCGGTTTTAGATTTGATTCTAATTTAGGGTGTGTTTGCTTTAAGGTTTGGAGTTTAAGTTGGGATTTGAATAGTAAAAATTTTGAATTTGAATAGTTGTATGATGTGATATAAATAGATGTTGATGTGATGTTTTGAATGTAAAATTGATTTTTAGTATAATATAAAAAATGAAAAATAGGTGTTTTATTTGATATTTTTGAGGAAAAAAATTGAATGAATAGTATAAATCCAATCTAATCCCCAAACAAACACACTTGGTCAAAAAAAAAAAAAATGGGCTTTCATTTGATTGGGCCTAATTTTTAAAAAATGGACTAGCCAAACTGAATATTTATTATTTGCAATACTGGGTCAATTCATAAATATTGAAACTATGAAGGACCAAATTGGAATGTTTCGGAGAGTGACAATTTTTTCTCATTTGGAGGCACCGACCAAATTCTTTTATGTGATTTCAGTTCTCCGATTGCGATTGAGCGATGGATCACCAAGGAGATTTTGAAGATCAACAGTCCACGTCGTTTGATGGAATGGTGAACTTTTTCTATGTTTAATTTCAATTTGTTTGGCTTGGATCTGCTCTGAATGTAATTAGTTTCGATTTTTTCCTCGGTATTCTGTGGTCCCGTATGTTCGGAACAAATTATCTCACATTTTGCGAAGTTGTTTCAGTGAGAATATGAAGATGAATTGATTTGGATATTGATTAGGGTAGATTTTTTTCCAATTTTGCGGATTCTTATAGAAATGTTCTTGTTCTTGAATGTCAATTATGTTCGTTCAACTCATCATGTACTAGAGCTTCACTAATCTTAAAAATTCTGAATATATAACAGATATAATTCCACAAATTAGGTTGTATTTACCCATGTTTTTGAAGTGATTGGGAGTATTTGAAGAATCTTCTTAAGAATAGTAAAAAGTAGGTTTTTGAGAACATTGATTTTTTCTATAGAAAATAAACAATTTTAATGTACTAGCTCAACTGAAAATTAAGTATTTGATGTGAATTTTTTCTTAGAAAAACATTGTTGATGAGGAACTTCAAAATTGATTTGAAAACATATCATGACTACATAATCATACCGAAATGTATGCATTGATCATTGCTATGTGAAATTGTTTTTTCAGTTTCATTTACCTACCAGAAGTTCTGCAAGATTCATGTTAATGTCTTCAGTTCTACATGAGTTGGTCTTTAATCATATTGAAAGGCTGTATTTGAATCCATTTTCAATCCTTTACAAAAACTAGTTTATCTAATCATTCATTTTCTAATTTATTTCGAACAATACACTTTCATAATAGCTTCATGATAAACTTGGCTTTGTAAAAACAAACTTTAGCCATTTTTGCTTAGTATTCGTTGGATCAACAGAAAAATGTTGCTCGGGATGTGGAAGCCAAAGGGTTCAACCCGGGGTTGATCGTATTGCTTCTTGTGGGAGGGCTGCTACTTCTTTTCCTTGTCGGGAATTATGCAATGTACGTTTTCGCCCAAAAGTTCCTTCCCCTAAAGAAAAAGAAGCCCGTCTCGAAGAAAGTTGAAACGGGAAAGACTGAAGCAAGGCGTGTCAACTCCCGGGGAGTAGATCAAAACTTAATCTGGTTTGTTCCTTTTACAATACCTTCTACGAGGTTTTAAATCGTGTATTTATTGTGCGAATCGACTAAAGGAAACCTCATTGTTTAATAAATGATTGCATAGTAAAAAAAAAAAAAAATTGAAATCGAACTCCAAACAATACAGTAGTGGGTGTGTTTGTTTGGGGTTTGAAAGGAAACCTCATTGTTTAATAAATGATTGCATAGTAAAAAAAAAAAAAAATTGAAATCGAACTCCAAACAATACAGTAGTGGGTGTGTTTGTTTGGGGTTTGAATTTTGAGTTGGGATTTGAATAGTAAAAATTTTGAATTTGAATGGTTGTCTGGTAAAATTGATTTTTTAGTATAATATAAAAAATAAAAATTAAGTATTTGATTTGATATTTTTGGGGGAAAAAAATAAGAATGAATAGTGTATTTAAAATTCAATCCGAACAAACACACCCTAAATTATATCAACAGCAAAGTAAAATTTTAATGTTAAAAGATCTAAACCCCAATTCCTCTAACACCTTGCAAGGGATTTTTGACATGACTCACATATTTTTGGAACTTTTAAACTTTTTAAAAATGTTATATCAAATGCAATTTCTTTTTTCCTTTCTTACGAATCATCAGATAAAATACTAATTTTTTTACTATTTTTAAATGTTTTCTTTGTAAACTGGAAACACCAATGCATGTATCTTGAAATGATGTGAACTAACTATATTATTTGTTTGTACCATTTCTCTAACAATTTTTTTCAAAATAAAATATTTTTTTATTGAAAATATAGTATTAAAATATGTAAAATATAAAAACAAAGTCTCTATTGCTGGGAAAATCGGAAAGCTGGCTTAACTCATACTATTATTGTATTCAACACAAATTTATTCATATAATACACCCGATAATATATAAACAATTGACACATAAAAATCACATAATACACAGGTAATATAAACTATTGGCACATAAAAATTATATACTGACAGACCATATTTTATACTCCCTCCGTTTACAAACTAATATCCTACTTTTCTATTTGGGACGTCCAACAACTACTGTCCTATTTCATTTTTTAAACACAAATTTTACATTTTTATCCTTTTTTTTATTTATTACTTTTAATATCTACCATAGACAAATTTGTCCATTCGTAACAAAAAGACAATCACCTAGAAAATCGTACAAATATACTTTAGGACAATAAAAATTGGACGGATGAAGTATATTGATTTAATTCGCAATAAACATTCTAACAATTTCCATCAACAATAATGTTTTAAAACATCAAGATCAAGTATTTCAAGAAAATAAAATAAAATTTCATAAGAACAAACATACGTTTAAAATATCAAGATCAAGTAACTTTATTGATCGGTGGAGTCCGAAATCCTATTACTTCAACTTGAATTATCTTTAAAATGTCATATAAAAAAGATGGGCAATCAAATTTAGATATTGTCAATAATACACAGCATATATAGTTAGTTTGGGAGGAACCATCCAACAAAAAAGATTTTTCCATCCTATGAGTTTAAAGTGCAAGAAGTTTCATATTTAATTTTCATTTTGTAACACTATTAAATAAAATTTCCAAAATTTCATAAAAACAAACATATTTAATAAAATTAAAACAAGAAATTAAACATAGCTTCAAATCGCAGTATATTTCCCTTTCCGGACACAATACAAAATCTAACAAAATTTTCAATACTACAACATGGTAAAATAATTGATAAAATCTTTAAAATTCTTCCATTTCTTATTTTTTAAAAAAATAAAAATAAATATTTTTATTTATATTTAAATTTTTATATTTTTTAATAAAATTAATTTACATTATAAATAAATTTTAATTAAGATACAAAAATAGAAAGAATATAAGTTTTAAAAACACATAAACAAAATAAATAAATAAACAAACATTAAAAAAGTCGCAAAAAAAAAATCCAAAATGACAAAGCAAAATAACAATATATAAAAAAAAAATTAAAAACTAAAAATTGTTGGGGAGTTCCCAAAAAGGAAACCACCCTCCAAAAATAGGCGTATGCCGCTTGAATGTGACAAGCACACGGTATTCTTTAGTAAAAGGCGAAAGAATAGTTCGCTTTGTGCTTATCACGCGGCTGCGTGCTTTTTCATTGGAAATGGGCATCTGTATTTATAGCTGCTTCTGACCTCCGCTCTGGCTTCTCAACCGATGTGGGATAAAAGATTTATGCTCTATTCTAATAGAGTAGAGAATCAATTAAGCGCTACATGGACTGTTGTGTAAAGGCCCAGGCCCAGGCCCAGGCCCAGGCCCACCTCAAAACAATTCAATTTTTTTTAATTATCTATATATGTATAATATGTACTGTATTATTTATTTTATCCATAAAATCTAGGGTTTGTCTGGTTGTTATTTGATTTTGAATTTTTTTTTTTTAATATAATATTACATAAAAATATAAAATTTTAAATTTCAAACAACAACCTAATAAACCCATTCATTGTTTAAACTTTAATGGAGTAATAATAGTTTTGTAAATAAATATATATATATTAAATATTTGAATGTTTATAAAAATAATAAAATTTGAAACTCCAATTTAAATGATAAATACTTTGAGTGTGTTTGGTTATTTTTTGATAAATATATCTCTTTTATTGAAAATCATATTGATCGAATAAAAAGTTATTTATAAAATTTAAATAGTGTATACATCGTTAGTGATATTGTATTTAAGAGAATATAGTTTATTAAGTTAGACAATAGGTTATAATATTATTTTATTATTCTTATATGAGTGGTGTTTGTTTTTCTAAAATAAAACTAATATATATGCATGATTAAAAGAATTTTAAAATATGTATATCATTTTAAATATTATTTTCTTAATAAAATATATTCATATATGAATATCATTTTGTAAAAAATAAATTCATGTATAATACAATTAAGTAAAAATATATTTTTATTTATTTATGAACATAAACTAATTTTTTTAAAAAGTAAATATATATATAGATAAAAGTATTTTGTTTATTAAAAAGTGATACAAATAAATAAATTTTAAATGGGACGTAAGATGTTAAATTTTAAGATCAATAGTGATCTTAATCAATTAATTTTTTTCACTTTTAATTTCATTCAAAAATAATAATCAAAACTAATTTCATTAAAAAAATTAATAATAATAAATTATCATTTGTGATCCTACAAACAGTCAAATATATTGTTTTATACTTCCTCAGTTCAGGCAGGATGACTTCTTTTTCAGGGACACTGTATTTTAGACAACTTTATTAATAATAAATTATGATATTATTTTATTATTTTCTATATGAGTATTATTGTTGATATTTTAAATATTTTTATATCTATATCTCATAATATATGCCATATAGATATCATTTTGTAAATAATAAAATTTTATATAATACAAATAAATAAATAAAAAATTGTTTGTTTATTTATAAATAATTTAAAATTAATTTTATAATAAATAAAAAGTTTTGAATATAAATAAAAATAGTTGTTTATCGATTAAAGAGATAAAAATAAACGAATTTAAAATTAAATTTAATTAAATTAAATTTTATTTGTTAAATATCTTACTTAAAAAAATAGAAAAATGTCATCTCGGACGGACAATTGATTTTAAATATGCCCATGAATGTTCAAACGCAGTCTTCAAAACACTGCAGATAAATGGGACTAAAAGTTAATAAGGGGGTGAGATTTATAAACAACTGTTTATTTCATTCTCTGTAATATTTGAATTAGAACTGACAAAAACTAATCCGATATGATAATCTGATAGGATCCGACATGAAATAATTGAGTTTGAGTCAAAGATTTCAACCCGATTATGTATAGGGTTGACACGAACCCGACACGATAGTAAACGGGTCGGGTTATGGTATATCGTGTCGGGTTCGTATCGACTCGAACCCGACACGACAACCCGATTATAATTTATTAATATTGATTAATATATTTATTATATATGTAAAATATTCATAATTTAATAATTTTCTCATATATTCATTTAAACTAAGTTCAATTTTAAACAATTCAACTTAATTTAGTCTCAAACCAATAAAAACTAACCTAACACGACAATATAACAAAAAATTATTTAATTTGAATGAAGAAATTCGACTTAATTATGTATACGGATCAACACGAGTCAACCCGAACCCGAAACGATCATGAACGGGTCAACACGAACCCGACACGGTCATAAACGGATCGGATTAAAGTTGAGTCTTAACCCGTTTAAAATATTCAACCCGACACGTATCGATATTACCAGCTCTAATTTGAATGTCGTGATTTAAAAATAATAATAATAATAATTATAAGTTTTAAAACGGGGTGTATTTTTTCTTATTGTTTTTCCAAGTTCTTGACTGGGCAACAAAATACTTTAGAAACAAAATTCAGAATACAAGAAAGAATTGATTCGACAGTTAAATACTGACGTTCTATTCATATCACAGTCCTTAGATTTTCACAACACTGATAAATTAACATTCCAATTTAGGTAACAATTTTATTGTGCAGATGAGCAAATGAAAACAGAGTCCCAATTTGCACATCCCTACATCAAACTTACACACACACACACACGCATACAGATACAGATACATACATCTTCCTAAAAAAGTGCATTTAGGTACAAGTTTTGCATATAGAACAGCACGACAATATGATCTTCATGAAACAAAAACACCAAAAAAAAAAATCCACAAAACAAAACATCGAATCGAAGCGACGACAGAACAGAACAGAACATTAAGATACAACTGACTAACACAAACCTTTCGATGAGCAGATACACCACAAGTCATTAAGCTGCTCGGCCCATGGTCTGTCCGCCGGGCGGAATCATTAGAACGACGGGTGGCTGGGCGCCGAAACCCGGGTGAGGAAGCCTACGACGAACTTCTCGACCCTCCTGGCAGAGGGCACAGGCATGGCAGAAGACATGGGTGGCAAAATCGCAGGCGGTTTCGCACTGCTCGCGTTGGACTTCATCTTCGATGCAGCGGCCGCAGCACCCGCAGGTTCTTGTAAGCGCCTCGCAGCTTCCCTGTTTACATAAAAATATATTGTGAATAATTCGAGCAGTCGCTTGAAATTGAACCACGAAGTGCGATAAAAGTAGGATAATTTCATTCCCGGGCGTTGAGACAAAAGGGGTGTTTGTTTCCGAATGTCCTGAATTTGTAAGAAACCATAGGCACCGACTAAGAGCATCAAATTATTGTTTTTTTTGGGTTAGTAGCAATATCCACTGATAGTTTAATATAAGGGGTTTTCAAGTAAGTAATGCCTTTTATTTTATACTTTCATCAGTCTTAATTTTTATTTTATTTTTTTATATTATACTTCCTCCGTCCCAATTCAAAATATCATTTTTCTGTCTTACTTCAAAATATCATTTTCCGTATTTTAGAAAAATTAGTCATACATTGATACAAAAATACTCCTAACTTTTATTTAAATTACATATATATCATTACACATACAATTACTTTAAATACAAAGTAAAGGACAAAAATGTAAAAAACTCTTACACACTTCCACTGACCATTAAAATGTTATTATTTCTTAATCTATTACAAAACTCCAAAATGCTCCATTGAATTGGGACGGAGGGAGTATCTAATTTGGGATATTCTAAAATTATTGAAACTTTTTATTTACAGGTGCATGTTTTTCCTCTTTCACCTTTCTAAACACAATTTATAAAACCATTACAAATAAAAAAAGTAAGGGCAAATTAATAAAAAAACTTATCAAAATTGTATCATCACCTAAAATACCGTGTCAAAAATAAAAGTAGCAAACAAAATGAGACGAAGGTAGTATATTATCAATAGGTAAGAGCCCCCAGAGGGTAAGAAATTGATATCTCAAAGACTCAAACCTAAAATACTAGAATGCTCATAACATAGCATGATCAAATAAATCATACTCCCTCCATCCTAGATAATTTGGGCCTATTTGTAGATACGAGAATTAAAGTAAAGTATAATTAGTAAGCAATTAAAAGTACATTGATAAAAATAATTATTGTATAGTAAAAATAATAATAGATTAAGATATCTAAATAGTTTAATTAAGATTTAAAAAATTATAAAATTTAAAATTTATGACATAATTAAAGTGTATAATCATATTTCAAAAAAAAAGAAAAGACAAATTATGTGGAATCGGACGAAAATAGAAAATAAAAACAAATTATGTGGAACTAAGAGAGATATTATTCAGAAAGATTTCTATGTACACAGTAAATAGTCGGATATCAGTATCTACGATGCACCAAAATTTTCACATTAAGCATAATCAACAATCACAGTTTCGATCACCTATCTCAAAGTCTAAGAGAAATGACTACAGAGCTTCGACAAAAAAATAAAAATCAGAAAATACAAAAATACACTGACCTCCAGGTTGAACTTGCGGCGAATGGCTGTTCGTATAGGATAAGAAAACCAGGGAGCAAGGCAGTTCCAGCCAAAAAATGTGTTCCCAAACAAGTAAAGACCCGTGTAGGGCATGCAGTGATTAGCAAAGGTACCCGGAGAAGATCCAAGCCTCTCTACATTGGTTCCATAGAGCACACAAGGGGCCATGCTTCCCAGCAAACCTGACCACCATTAGAACACCATCAAATAACAACCCAAAGAAAGAGCAATAATGTGCCGACACCGAAACATGTCGAATATAAATTAGGTAAAAAGAATTTGCACATGTGTGGCTTGGAAAGTCTGAACCTCTCATGATTTAGAAATTACGTGTTTTTGTTTTATGTTTTCAGAAATACGAGAGAATCTCATGCAATTTTTAAAAGGTTTTTTGTGAAATATCTTCTAAATACAAGTTCTAAATCATGAAAGAAGAATATGTGCAAACTTTCAAACCACAAAATCCATTTTTTTAGGAGATTTTGTATAATATTTTTTAAAATACGATGAAGTATCATGTAATTTTCAGAGTATTTTATGCAGTCTTTTCGAAAATGCGAATTCTAAATCATGGGGGAAAGAATATATGCAAACTCTCAAAACACAAAATCCTCATGCAATCTTTTCAATAATACAAGGAATCTCACAGAATTTCTAGGGGGTGTTCTTTTGAGAGATTTTCTCAAATTTACACTATTCACCAAATTTTTTCCCTCAAAAAATATCAAATCAAATACTTCATTTTTCTTTTTTATATTATATTAAAAATCAATTTTACATTCAAAACATCACATCAATACCTATTTATATAACACATCATACCACTATTCCAATTCAAAATTTTTAATATTTAAATCCCAACTCAAAATCTAAACCCCCAAACAAACACACCCAAACTCATGCAGTTTCTAATTCAGAAATGAGTATTTTGCAACCTTCAAAACTGCAGGCAATTTTGCCTATAAATTAAGATAACCAGAAACTTCAAATCTATCTATATCAAGGCATAGTCCATTATAACAATCATGTTGAATCAAATCAACTTTCGCCATGTCACAAAATCTATAACTATTAATCATCATGATCAGATACAAATGCAAACCAAAACGCCAAAATTTAGATTAACAATGATTTATGGAACAATCATCATTCAACTTTCCTGGTGATCTTCCAATTCACTTATTATTATAAAGGATCGCTTTAGAATTTAGATCTCATATTCCAAATTACAATTACCGGTAAGAATCAAGAGTACCAATCAATATAAACACAATTTTTTAGATATACTCAACATGGCGTTTCTCGTTTTCGGTTTTTTGCAAGATCAATTGCAAGGATGAAAATATGATTTAAGACTAAGAAAACAACACAGATCAAATTGCAAGCTAGATCACCAATTTCACGACACAATTTAATTCTAATACGCAAAATCATCAAATCTACGTATCAGAAACCCTAGATTGGTCGCAGAAGCGCAGAAAAGAGGGGAAACACTCACAAACTTCTAGATCACTGCTGCAGAACTCATCGGTCCTTCCGAGGCACGAGAAGATTCCAGAATTCCACTGAGTCCTCTCCATCTGACCGACCGGCAGCCCATCGGCCGTCCATCCAATCGGAATCGCCGCCCGAGGTTGATCCCCGCCGGCGAAGACCTTCTTCTCGTCCTTGATTCCTGCTTCTTGCTCCTGATTCGGTAAAAGGGGGCTGGAATCATCAGATTTGGCCATCTTGGAATGCAAAGAGAGAACGAGAGAGCAGAAGAAAATGGAGTCGTCGGTGAAGGGAGTCTGGGATATACTTTGCCCCGATTCGGCTGATTGATTGCAATTAATTCTCTCTGTATTTTTAGTTAAGAAAAAATACGTTGAAGTATTTGTCGCATAGCCGCGTGGCGTGTAGGCTTCAAGAGAAATTCATTACTAGTAATAAAATATTTTTAGTAATATGCGCTTTATTTAATATTTCATATATAGAAGGCGAATTATTTTTATATTAAATTATAAATTAATTTAATAATTTTTATTTATATTTTTGTTATTTATTATTTTGATAAATTTAAATTGTATTAAATTATTTATTATTCTAATAATTTTGAATTATTTATTTAAATTTAATATTTAGAAAAATGAAATAAAACTTCTTAACTATGAGAACGGTGAAATTATGATGTTTTGTGAATATACTCATTAAGTTAGTGTATTAATTCAAAATAATTAATAATTTATCATAAAATATATAATTATATTTATTAGTTATATAAAAATATATATTATATGGGTTATATATTGTCAAATTAAATGTTGAGTCAAGTAATTATTATTTTATACATATTAATTTAATTTATTTTTTTTCAAAAAAAATATACTTTAATGTATTTAAACAAAAAGATTTCAATAATAATAATAATAAATTTTAAATCATATAAATGTCATTTAAAAATACAATTATATGAATGTAATAATTACTTGATTTTGGTTTGAATTTAAGATTTTGATTTAAAATTTTACTTAAATAATATTTTAGTTTAATATTTTATGAGAAACAATATTGTATTCTTAATATAAAAAAAAATAAAAAATTATGTGTTAAATAGTATGACTTTGATTTTAAAATAAAAACAACCAAAGTCAAAATATTTAAAAAATAATAATAATGAAAATGACTTCCCTCAAATACTATTATCGTAGAAGTAATTTCCAAAATTATTTTTACAATTTACATTTAAGTTTTAAATTAAATATTATGATGTTATATTATTATATAAAATATATATATTTTATTGACAATTATGTGAACTGTTATTTTGGATTTGAAAACTCAAATAAAAATGTAATAAAATACATTAATAAAAGAACACATTTATAGCACCAATTTTTCTCCATTTAATTATAGGTGGTATTAATAGTCATGAACACCCTATAACTAATAATCTTTCAAATATTTAGGTGGAAAATTGTGTTTGTTAGGATTTATAATTGATAATATTTTTATTGTGAAATTAGAGAACTATAAAAATATATAGAAAATAATATTATATTTATATTTGTATGTAAAATGATGTGGGGTGAATAAGCTCGTGTTGTTAACAAATACGTTCATTAAAAAATAAATATATAAATAGAATAGTATATATATAAAAATTAAAAATAAAATTAAATATCATATACATCCAAACGAGCTCGGACGAGTCTAAATGTGTTTATTTGAGTCGAATAATAAAATTATTTAACAAGCCGAACTCAAACAATATGAACAAACTTGAATATTAAAAGCTTTACTATATAAATAAAATGTTACATATATGAATTAAAATATAAAATAATATATATATATTCAAACGAATTCGAACAAATTCAAATGAATTTATTCGAGCTTAACAATAAAATTGTCTAATAAACTGAGTTTAAATGATACGAATAAATTTAAATATTTAAATTTCCACTGTCGCACATTGTTTACTTAAATGTGCAATATTTCAATTTTTTTTAAATTTTCCAGCCGTAATTATTAATACAATTATTATATTTTAAAAATATTTTTAAATAATTAAGAAAACAGTGCAATTTTAAGTAAAATATTTGGTAGGCCTTTTCCATGCAATTCTCACTAAAGTCGGAGTCAGGATTATGATGAACTAAAGGGATCCCAAGTCCAGGAAAACAAGGTCTGAGAAAATCAGGGAGCGGGAGTCCCAACCGTAAAATATAAATAAAAAAGGTTCCGTTGCCGGGAATCGAACCCGGGTCTCCTGGGTGAAAGCCAGATATCCTAACCGCTGGACGACAACGGAAGCTTGTTGACAGATCATTCAAAATATTTATATATAGTGAATCTCTAGGGTTTGATTGAAACCCTAAATTTGATCCCTCACGAATTCTCTGGTTCAAATTTGGAATCGCTCTCCGGCAATCTCAACGGTTAGCCAATCTCGGAGTGCGGAAAATCTTCTAAGTCGTCGTCGATTGAACTGCGGAGAATCGATAGTGAAGATGAGGAGCTCACGGCGTAGGCCGAAGGAGATTGATTCCTTACAGACGGTGCCAAATTTCCGAATCGTGTGAATCGATCGTGTACGTCGCAAATCTTGTGCGATTCGTGGCTGATTCCGATTCCGACGGTAGGTATTTTGCTAGTAGTTTGATTTCTGTGTGGAATGGAATGAAGCGTCGATCGAGAATCGCTGTCGATTCCTGTTGCTTGCTTGTTATTCGTTTTCATTTCGGGGCGGCTGAGCGTCGATCCTACGGGACCGATTTCGATAAATTTGATGTTCTGGAGGAAATTTTGAAGTCGGTGGAAAGAATTAGGGTTGATTGCGTGGTTGAAGGAAGACAAATTAGGGTTCGTATTGACATTGCAGCAGGGAGTTAATGATGCATGAAAGATGAATAAAGAATGAGTTCAAAACTCAAATGAGCAGATGAAGAGCAGCCATTCAGTTCCTGATTCAAATCCAAATTCCCATACTTCAATAAATTTTAAAGATTAAATATATTTATATTTATACTTATACTATAGAAATTTGTAAAAAAAATAATCAATAGATCTTAATATAATCAAAATATATCCTCAATTATAAAACTCATTAAATTTAATCTAATTATTAATAATTTTAATAAATTTTGATTCTACGATTTAAAAACTAACAAAAATTTGGTTATTTTTTTGTTTTAATATAAAATTTTATTACGATGGTTATATTCTTTTCAAAAATATATATATGTTTTAATTTAAAATATTCAATACCGTACTTGCAATTTTCAATATTATATTAAAAAATTTTGTTTTTAAATTTTAAATTTTATATAAAATATTATATACTCTCTTTATATCAGATATTATATCATACATGTCATATCACATCGTCACACATGTCATATCATTTTTTTTTTTTAAATAATTATATATTTTAATTATATTTTAAATTTTATAATTTTTTTAATTACACTGATTAATATTTTAATTTTAATTTATAATTATTTTTATCCTATTATAATTATTTTTATTAATATATTTTTTTATTTAGTAATAACCATGCCATAATATCCTGTACGGATTAAGTAATTTTCATGTTAAAATACAAAGCAACCAACCCATGCATGACTACCAAAATTAGTAGGAGCAAGAAAACTTAACAATACTAACCTCACCAATTCATTCATTTCATCTGTAGCCTTTCCTCGGCCGCCGGCTGTTCAAAATCCGTCCAAAAGTCACCACAGCATCCGAAAACTTCCTAATCTTCACGTACCCCATTATCATAACAACCTCATTCTCCGCAAACCTCATCTCCCCCATCGCCTTCTTCATCAGCTCCACAAGCGTTTCCTCCATATTCAGAGCACAAAGCCCCTCCGCCAGCATCCCGAACGACGAAAACTCCGGCGGATGCCCTTTTCCGATCATCTCGAACGCGAAATCGACCGCTTCTTTAATCGACCCGCCTCCGCTGCAAAGCCCCCGGAACACGATCTTGTACGAAATCGCGTCCGGCGCTTCGCCGTTTGCCTCCATCTCCCGAAACAGCCGCACCGCTTCCTTGACCCTTTTCCGTTTCAACAGCGCCTGAATTACGGGATTATACGCCCGCGGCGTTAAAATCATTCCTTTCATTTGGACACTTCGCAGCAGCCTCGTCGCGACCTCGACCCGCCCTGCCTTGCACAGGCCCTGGACGAGCGTCCCGTACGTAACGATGTCGGGATCGCACCCGCTCGATGTCATCGTCTGGACGACGTCGGCGGCTTTTTGAATGTCGCCGCGCCGGCAGAAGTGGGTGAGGAGGGAATTGTATGTGTACTTGTCAGGTTTCAATCCTTCCATGATCATCTGGTCGATGAGCTCCGACGCGTCCTCGACTCGGTCGCATTTGCAAAGCCCGTCGATTAGAGTGTTGTAGGTGACGTGATTCCGCGACACGCCTTGTAGTTCCATCTGATCGAAAATCTCCTCGGCTTCGCCGATTTTCTGGGTCTTGCAGAACCCGTCAATCAGCGTGTTGTACGTGATCACGCTTCTTGCGCAGCCGCTCGACTCCATGTCCTTGAGGAGATTCAGAGCCTCGTCGAGCTTTCCTTTCGTGCACAGGCAGTCGATTAATATGTTGTAAGTGAACTCGTCCGGCTGGCATCCTTTCGATTTCATCTCGACGAATATATCCGTCGCGATACCGAAGTTCCCGGATAAGCACAACCCCTGGATGAGGGAATTAAACGTCGTCACGTCGGGAAGAATGCCGTTGCTCGTCAGAGCACGAGCAAGCTCCGTCGCTTCCCGTACTTGGTTGTCCTTACACAAAGTGCCGATAATCGTATTATATGTTACGGCATTCGGCGAGCAGTCTCGACACATCATCTGATTAAGAACTTCAATAGCCTCGTCGACTTTTCCCGCTTTACACATCCCCGAAATCACGGCGTTGTAAGAGAAGACGTCGGGATCGAAACCCTCCTGCAGCATTAAATCCAAGATTTCCGAAGCATGCTTAACGTGCCCCGCTTTGCACAGCCCGTTAATCAGCGTATTGAACGTGTAACGATCCGGGCAGAACCCTTCCTCGACCATTTCTTGCACAAACGCCAGCGCATCCTCGATCCTGCCGTTACGGCAGAAGCCGTTGATCAAAACATTGATCGTCACATTGCTCCACGGGCATTCCGCCACCGCCATTTGCTCCTTAACCCTCAATGCTGCATCGAGATTACCCTCCTCGATGTAACCCTGCATTACCGTAGTGTACGTCTTCTCGTCCGGCGATAATCCGTGCTTGTACTGCATTTCCTCCATCAACAAAATCGCGGGCCTGATTTGATGCACTTTACACAATGCCTTTATCAGTATATTAAATGTCGAAACATCCGGTTTCGCGCCACAGCTAAGCATCCTACCATGAACATCCTCGACTAAAGCCAACTTGTTACCATCGACTAAGATATTCAACAAGAAATTATACGAATGTGTACCCGGGATCACGTCAAATTCCTTCTCCATCATCTCAAGAACTCCTACAGCTTCATCATATAACCCTAATTTCGCATAACAATCGATCAAGATAAAGAAAATACCTTCACCAAATTCAACCTCGGAGCCCTTCAAATCAGCTAGAACTTCCTTTGCCGAATCAAATTCTCCGACATTCCCAAGCTTCTGCAGAATCTCTTCATATACAGCCAAAGTAGGCCTAAAATTTGACTGTTTCGACGCCCATTTATAGACTCGAAAAGCTGAATTTCCATCATCAACATGACGTAAAGTGTCTAAAAGCTCCTTAGGTGAGAAGTCCTGAGAAAGTGAAATACTTGAAACAGCAGAGGACACGGAAAAGCAGAGCGTCGGATAACGAATTCGAGGAAGTGAAAGTAAGTTAGGTTTTGAGTGTTCTGAAGTGTAGTGAGGAAGAAGAAGTTGGGGGTTGGGATTGGGAAGAGTCGTCAAAGTGTGGCACTTCAGACAAGATGAGAAAGCCATTGAAGCATTTAGGCAAATATCTTGTGTGCAATAGAGCTTACCAGTTTACTCCTGGATCCGAGAATGGGAGCAACTAGGAACTGACCTCGACAAATTATGTAGCTATCGGAAAATCTCGATTTGCGCGACGGCGCCGCCGCAACGGCGGAAGAGAAGGATAAGCCCGCCGGTTCCCAACGTCGCCGGCCAGTGCAATAATCTACAAGATAACGTACACACAGAAAATGGGTTAAAAGGTGAAAAAATAGAAAGCCCTAATTTGTTGGCTGTGAATTGACAATTATACCCAAATACAGATTTTACCCCAACCTCACCTGAAATCGATGTGTTCACACGTGTCCCCTAGCATAAAAAACCAGCTGTACACGAACTCGTTCATTCCACGTCAATTCCTCCGGTGCTCTTCGAAATCGTTCAACAATGGCAGATTGGCTGTTTAACCGACGTCGGCGCCATTCGCCGCCATCAAATTACTCGGAGATCACAAGCAGCAGTCCACTCGACTCACCGTATTCGCAAAGCTCGCGATCTCCGGCACAATTTTGGTTTTTTTCTCAGCGATCTAACCCTAACCGCAACGATTCTCGAACCTATTTCTTTCGTTCCGCTGATTCTAATCTCCAGACCGATCTGAATACCTCTCAGCATTCTGATTTCACCTCCGTCATCTTCTTAGCGACGGTTTTTTTATTCTGTCGCTGCGGCGGCAGCAATATCCTCGATCCATAGTTAATCTAAAAGGTAAAATCTACAAGGTGTGTAATTCTATAGCTAAAGGTGCTCTTCCGAAATCGATTCGATTTAGCGAATTTAAGCCTAAATTTGCATAATCAGTGTTTTTTTGGGCACATTACCTATAAACGTTTATCGAACTGTGTTCTATAGCTGCAAAACTCCTATACTGAAATCCAGCATAATTTCTACGGAAAAATAGGTACAGAAGAGAACCAATCGAACAAAACGAAATTAGGTTAATAAGAAGACAGACTATCAAAGATAAATTGAAATTTCATAAGCAACAGCTTCGCAGAAGATACAGAACACTGAACAAAAACATAAGATTGGAGATCAGAATAGGCATTAATTTCTAGATCCTAAAGCTAAACCATAATTTCAATCGCTACACCTTACATACTGTCAAATATTAAGTTATCAACCACCAAATCCGTAGAGAGTTCGCCCCTGCCTCTTGAGAGCATAAACAACATCCATTGCAGTAACCGTTTTCCGGCGAGCGTGCTCCGTGTAAGTGACGGCGTCGCGAATCACATTCTCCAGGAAGATCTTAAGAACGCCGCGCGTCTCCTCGTAGATGAGTCCGCTGATGCGCTTGACACCTCCCCTGCGAGCTAACCGCCGAATAGCTGGCTTCGTGATTCCTTGGATGTTGTCTCTCAACACTTTCCGGTGCCTCTTGGCGCCGCCCTTCCCCAAGCCTTTTCCGCCCTTGCCTCGGCCAGACATTTCAGAGATTTTTTGATATGTGATGACTAATAAAGACGGCAAAGACGGTTGGTGAGGTGAACTAGTACTGCTGGGGCGGATTATATAGCAGAGCTTGAGGGGGTGGGGAAACGATCCTGTCCGTCGGATTTAAGGCTTAATCGACGGTTAGAGATGGCGATCCGCCTCGAGCATCTGTACCGTTGATAAGGAATGAATCGACGGCGGATAGGTGTTGATTTTAGAATGGCGCGGATTGTGGAATTTTTGTGAGAGGACGGAAAACGAAAAGTGAAGGCGCGTATATTTTGATCAAAAGGCCTGGTTCCAATTTATTTTATCTAAGGTTGTTCGCGTTTGTTTGTTGGGTTTAGATTTTTTATTTGGATTTGAATAAAAATGATTTGTTTGAAATAATTTTATAATATAATATAAATTGACGTTGATATTTGATTTGATATTTTATATGTAAAATTAATTTTTAATATAATATAAAAAGAAAAAAATACTCTTTCATTTTTAAATAAGGTGCAATATTTGTTTTGGACACGATTTTTAAGTGGATAGTATTAAGTAGATAATTTATAAATTAGGTGATGTGATAGAAAGAAAAATGTATATATATTTTTTTATTTGGGTGAAGTGATAGAATAAAATGTCTGGTAGAGATTAAGTATAATTAATTATTTTTTATTTTAGAAATGTTGCATGGTGTTTGAGACATACCTAAAATGAAATGTTGCACGGTCTTTGGGACGGAGGGTGATAGCTAGAAATCGCATGCGTTTTATGTTCGTATCATATGCGCATGCGTTTTATGTTCGTATCATATGGGATATTTGAGTTATTTTGATTTAATTCTACCTAATTTGTATGCGTATTATTTATTTGATATGTGCAGAAGGCAAATATTAAATATGACATAATTGGCCCAAAAAAAAAGTAAAAAAAAATTCAGATTTGCACCACTTAGTTAGTCATGGTCATTACTAACTATATCCTCCTGACATGGTAATTTAATTAAAGGCCCGAAAGTCCAACTACAAATAATTATGACAAAAATTAAATAAAAAGAGGAGTCACACGCAGACACAAGAGGAGGAGAACGGCCATAAAAGATATGCACAGTAGCAATAAACTGACAAACTTGTAGATCGTGCAGAAGCAAATCGACAAACAAGATTTTTCCTTCCACTATGACTTTATCTTTCTCTATTGTTATTTGTTATTTTATTATGGAGTAGATATTTTTCTGGTTTGATGGATTATAATGTTTTGGTTTTTTTGTTTTGGATATTCTTAATTTTCTTTATAATTTTTTTTATTATTATTATCAATATTTTTCTAATTCTGATAATAACGTTTGTTAGATTGATTGAATATTTTTGTACTGATATTTGAATTAGTCTGATAATCATCTAAAGTCAATTCAGGTAGGATATCCGTAATTGTATTTGCACTTGAATATGTGGCGACCGGATTGAATAGTTCCTTCCCGGGGTTAGACAATCAAATTCAATTGCTCCTCTTAGATAGTAATTGTTTTGAATTTGATTTTTCTATATTAGAATGCGTTTATGCAATATTACTTATAGACGCACCTAGGTTTATTAGCTTAATTAGAGGTAGTTAATAGACGTACATTAATTACCTACACTGTAAGAAAAAAATGTTGTTAGAGCTTGTTGATAACTATAGCCAATTTATTGATACTTTAGTAAGAACTAATTTTATTGAATTAATGATAAAATACAAACATCATAATTGCATCATCCGTGGAGCCAAGCATCCCATTGATAGCTAATTATCATTTAATTTAATCGTTTTGTTATTTTGTCTTCATTAGATAATAAATGAAAATTTATCTCTTTATTTATTATATTAGAACGCGAAAGAGTGAATCACGTAATTCTTGTGAAGACGATTCATTCTCCTGTATTACATTAAATTGTGATAATAGAATATGTGAATTATTTGCTTAACCCCGCGACAGGTGAGAGAGAGTATATACTTCATATGTCTCATATAAAGAGTAACATTTGTTTTTTGTGCGTATATTTTTTTAATATTAGTATTATATTGTGTTGTAGTAAAAAAGAAGAAAATACCTTTATTAGTATTGTTTAATATAAAGATTGTGACATTTGTCTAATATATTATAAATTTGAAGGATATTTATTAGATTATGTAGGTAATACAATTACTAAATTAAAAAATGATATATTTATTTTGGAACGAACGAAAATAAAAAATAGTACCCTTCTATGGGACGAATAGAGTATTTAATTTGATATTTTTTAACAATAAAAATTTTAGTAAATAGGGGGAAAAAAAAATTGATTTAAACCAGACACCAGTGGTGTCCTTACCCAAATACAAAATTTTTATTGACATTATATTTTTTTTAAAATTAATAATTTATTACAAAATATTATTTTTATATTATCAAAATAATTAAAATTATTGCAAAAGCTCAAAATCACTTATGAACATTATTGGATGTGTGGGTGTTGGAAAAATGATCGCAATGTCATGAGTTCAAATTCCCTTGGATTAGTATTTCATTAGTCAAGTGTAAGAAATTTTAACATTTTTGCTATTTGACTTGTACAAAATAAATTAAGAATATTTTAGTACTAGTGTATGATTGCTTATCTAACATAAAAAAATAGATATTTTTGGTAAAAAATATAATTTGAAATGATACGAAGGAAGTATAAAAATTAATATACTTAAATATTTGGGAATTTTGATTTTGGAGTTTGATTTAAATAGTAAATTTTTAAATTTGAATAATTATTTGATATAATATAAATAAAATTTGATATAATATTTTAAATATAATTTAGTCCACTTCGAAAATTTATATTTGAGAGTTAATATTTAAATATTAATTATTATATCAAAATATAGTACAAATCAAGAAAAAATGACAAAAAAACTTCTATTATGTCTTATAATACGAATACTAATAGAACGACCTTTATAATATCTTGAACGTTAACACAATGATGTAAAATATAAATTAAAACTTATTAAGTAGAGTTAGAATATAATATAGAAAATAAATATTTATATAAAAGGAAATTATGAATAATAAAAACAAAAATCTTAAAAGTTTAGTTGGACAAATAAACCTTTGTTGATTCCCTAATAAAAAAGATTAATTTCAAATTATTATTTAATCAAAAAGATTAATTTCCCAAATTATGAAAGTGTTCGACTGTAAACTAAACAGACCATAAGAAATAGTTCACAACAGAACCTTAAAGAAAGAAACAATTGCAGCAAAGTCGTTCATTCAAAATTCAATATTCAAAACAAATATATAAAAAAAAAAAAAAAAAAAAAAAAAAAAAAAACAGAGAAAAACAATTTTTGCATGTTTTACATCAAACTCTAATTTCACAGCACAAACACCATCATCAATCAGATAAAATTTCTTTCTGTAAAAATTTCTGGAGAAAAAGCATTAAGACAAGTTTTACCTCAACGAAAGCCTCCATCAGTCCATTTGTTATCCACCTTCGTGTTGTTCTTGTGCTCCGCCGGACTTCGGCGGAAGTCGTCGTCGTCATCGGCTTTCGGGTCATCCCAGCCGGCCCAGCCGTCTCCGCTACCTTTCGAGGGCTCTCTCCGGGTTTCTTTAGTGTCCCAGTCGTCCCACGACGACGTGCCCTTAGAAGGCTCGTGTTGTTTAGGGGTCGTGTTGTCCCAGTCGTCCCAAGAGGTCGACTGTTGACGGGTGGAAGAGTTCCATCCGTGCCCGGAGTCGGGATAGTAGCCGTTGGTGTTGGCGTTATTATTATTGACTTCTTTCTGCGGCCAAGTCGAGCCTGAGCCGGAGTTTCCAGAGCCTTCTTTGGTGTACTCTTCGACTTTCTGCGAGGCTAAAGCCATTACGCCTCTCATAATTCCCCATGTCCTTTGTCCGATCTCGGATGTCTTTGCTGTTACCACGTTTACGGTTTCGTTCACTTTGTGATCGTAGCCGCCCTCTTTTACCTGTGGAAAAACAACATGGGATTACTCGAACATTGCTATTGATTACCGGGACATATTCAAAGCTACGTTGTATCATACGTCAGATAATTGTATTTAGAGTTGTTAAACGAACTGAGCCATTCGTAAACTCGGCTCGGTTAAAGCTCGTTCGCGAATATTAACAAGTCGAACCGAACAGCATAAACAGACTCGTTTGGTTAACGAACGAGCTCGAGTTTTGTTCGCGAACGTTCGTTAAAGTAATATATTTATTATAAATATTATATATCCATATAAAGTTATAATTTATAAATAAATAAAATAATTTTAAAATTTCTTTTTAATTTATATATAAATTTGAAAAGTGAGACAAATGAACTCGGACGAGCTTAATCAAGCCGAACACGAACACTAACACAAACTCAAACAATAAAAATCTTTAACGAGCCAAGCTCGAACACTACGAACGAGCTCGGAAGTTTAACGAACAAAAACGAGCCTTGTTCGTTAACATTAACAAACGAACAAAATACTTAAAATTCGGCTCAGCTCGGCTCGTTAACAACTTTAATTGTATTAGCCAAACTCAGTAAGATCCAAGAATCAACATCGTATAATCATCGTCACTGAGGCGAATTTGATAGAACCATGCCCAAAAAGAATTACATACAATAAAACTAAAGAGATGAGCGAGCAGGATCGGAAGGACCTTTTGTAAAAGCAGGAAACGAGTAGTTATCAAAAACCAGAATTCTTCCAACTTAATATCATGCTTTGTGAGGATTTTGAATTTGGAAAAGACTACCAGCGAAATTGAAAATAAAGGTAATGAACTTTGATTTGTAACAAGAACACATTACATCTAACAACACTTCACATTTGCTAAATGGTAACGTAACAAACAAATTAGTCGTCAACAATTAACTTAATTTCGACCCGAAAAGAAATCAGCATAAAGATTGACAGATACTCTCTTTTCAAAGCATTACCTACCTAATTGTCAACACGATTCAGCTATACCGAATGTAACATTAACTTTAACCTTCGAACATAAACACTAGTTTGATCATGCGTTTCAGAGTTGAAATCGATGAAGATAATCGGAAATCCTAAAACCCATACAAAATTGATCCCGAATAACATCACATGTTACTAAGCACAAGCATTGTAAACTTATAATTCGAAAGTGGTCCAAATGTAGATAGAAATTACTTTAAGGTGGAATTACACAAACACAGACTACTCAAAGGCCACAAGAATCATTGAAGTTGGCTTAATATTTAGATCTTAATTGAACACCCGAAAACTACCTTAGAAGTGAATTCCTTGGTCCCAGCTTGAACAACATTTGCAGCCGACTGAGCTGCAGATGCAGCCACCATCGACAACCTGCCAAATCCCTAAAAGCACAAAGAAGAAGACATGAGAAAATCTACAGCAGATCGAACAGAGGCAAGTCAACTCAATAATTGAATGAAAATCAACCTGAGATACAACCGAGAAAACGTCGCCATCAGCAGTATTTCTTGGTGCAGGCGCGGGACTCGATCCGAATCCAACGTATTTCCCGCCTTGGGAAGGAGGAAGGCCCTCAGGTCGCGAATCATTCTCCGCCATTTTCTTTGCAAAGAAGCTTTCCTTATTAGCAGCCGACGCCTCCAATTCAGCACGAGAATAGATGTCCTGTGTCGATTTTGATCGCGGCGGAGGGCTGCCGCCGTTACCAGAACCGCGAAAATCCCCAACCGTGTTGTTTCTCCTAATATTGTTGCTTCCATTATAACCTCCTCCATCATCGTAGTTATCCCAATCATCCCAGCCTGAATTACCCCCAGAATTGCCATTTCTACCGCCGCTGCCGCCGCCGCTCAACGGAGGTTTGCTGCTACTCTTTACAGTATTGTTACCGGAATTCAAATTTTCCTTTACGACAGGAGGATCACGCCATGATTTGCCTTCGGCGAGCGCCTGAATGCGATCGCGGTAGACGGAGGCGGCATTCGTGTTGTATTTCGCAACTATGTCGGTTTCCTTAGGGATTCCGTACTTCGAAAGGAAGCTATTCAACTTCTCGTTCCCTCCTAGCTCCATTTTCTTCAGCTGGATCTCGGACCACGAATCCATGGTAACGGATCGGACGAAGGAGATGTGAACCCCTAGGCCGCGGTGCTTGCCGGAGCACTCGAGGCACATGAACACGCCGTACGAAACCGATGCCCACTGCGGATTCTTCTGCGAACAATCGACGCAGATCTTGTTCCCCGCCTGCGATTGAAGCTCCCGGAGCCGACGCGCGGCCGCCATACCGTTCCGATTCGGCCGAAAACGGTGGGTGAGTGGTTAGGGATCCGGATCGGATCTGCAACTGCAACAATTGAACCAAAAAAAAACAACAGAAAATTGATCAGATCATACCAGGTACGTGAATTTGTGATTTGCAGATTGGCGGAGGAATGTGGAACGCGAGGAGGGAGATCAAATGGCCGACACCCTCAGAATTTGAGGTGTACGATTGACGAAATGTACTGTCCAAATAAAATAAACAGGTAATTTATTTATTTATTAATTAATTAATTAATGGAGACAAATCTGCATATCCCTAATTTTTCTCCATTAATCCATTTTAACGCTGCCTAAGAAATTATTGGGCCGCGTGTCGGGTAATGAATGGCCCAATAATACAGTCTACGGCCCATTTGTTTATATTAAATTATGTTAAAATTTAATTTTATTTAAAAAAAATTATAACAATATATATTTATATTATATTAAATAATTATTTTAATTTAAAAATTTATTTTTCAAAATCTAAAATCAAGAAGAGATGAGAGTGTAATAATACAATTAATAATAATAGTAATTAAAAGAAACCCTACCCCACCGACCTTTCCCAAATTTTTTCCCTTTTTTTTCTTTTTATCTTTCCTTCCTTCAATGTTCGTCGCCTCCTTCTCCTTCTGTTCTTCTTCTTTCTCTTTCCCCTTCCTTCTTCTTCTTCTACGTTGCGATGCCCCGCCTTTCTCCCGGAGACGAAATCCGCCGCCCCCGCCGGAATCGGTGAGTTTATTTTCTTTTCTGCCTTCTATCTTTTCCCTTTTGATTCATCCAAATCGATTTTATTTTGATATTGTTATTTCTTTTCTCAATTTTTCTTTTACATTCCCCAGCTTCTTGATGGTGGTAGGAAAAAAAAAAAAAAAAAAAAAGGTCCAATATAATAAATTTTGGTCAAATATAATGGTACACCAAAGGTGTGTTCGTCCGTGGTTTGGATTTTGAGTAGAGTTAAATAGTAATAATTTTGAATTTGAATAGTTGTATGATGTGATATAAGTATATGTTGATGTGATGTTTTAAATGTAAAATTGATTTTTAGTATAATATAAAAAATAAATAATATGTGTTTGATTTAATATTTTTTGAGAAAAAATGAGATGAATAATGAAAATTTTTACAAATCCTTCGAACAAACACATTCCAAATATACATGGCCATGTGACACTGGTGTATAATTGTACGTGTTATTTGCCGCGTCAACTCTGTAACCATTTTGACTAAAATTAACTGAAGAAAACTAAAATTGATTAAAATATTTTATAAGGAGACTAAAATTAATAAATTTTTTATATTAGTATTAAAATTGAAAATTTTTGAATATATTAAAACTAAAATTGATTTTTTTTTAAAAATAATATTAACAATAATTGTGTAGCCGGTTTAAACCGAAAACAGCCGATTCACGAGTTGAAGAATATAAAAGCCGAAATCGAACAGGATAAAAGACCGTTTCGATTCTGTGTTCGACCCGGTTCGGAATCGATTGGGCCAAAACTAAACAAATCTTAAATTTGATAAACTCTAATCGAAGCCCTTTCCATGGTGGCTTTCACTCGACACAAACAGCTGCTCGCTCCGGCGGGCATTTCGATCCTCTGGCGGCGGCGAAGTCTTAACGAACCTCGCCGTGGAGTGGCTTTTTTCTCCCCTGGCTTTACCTTTCTCGTAATCCTACCCACACGTTCTGGCAGAAAAATAGAAAAGGACTCATAGGAATGCGACATTGATCGGGTTGGATTGCGCTGTTAGAAACCTCAATCGAAAACACGGCTATTCGTTCTCTGCCTCTCTTCTTGTTATTCTTCGTTTCGTACACTGCGGTAAATTGTAAGTTCAGTCCGTGCTTTACTTCAATGCTAAAAAGTAGAAGCAATTGTTGCAATCTTTAAAGAAAACTTGACGTGTATGCTGTTTTGTTATTTCAATTCGATATCGGGGAAGATTCGGAAGATTTTACGAGTTTTTTATTGTTTTTTGGCCGTTTCAGCAAATTTTCTCTGTAAATCGCCTTCTATGGATGCGTCACACGGATTCGTAGACAAAATTGTTGGTAATTTGATTCGGTTGTAGCTCTAGACAATTTATTGTGATTTGCTGTTTTGGTTTTGCGTTGTCCGATCCATGTCTGTCCTGGCCGAATTTGCCAACCATGGCTGCTTATCATTCTTCCTTTTTGGAAAATTATCAAAAATAATACTAGTACATTCTAATTATCAGTTTTTTTTTTTGGTTTATTTAAAATCATTAACCTGCTCGCTCTTAAAACATTGATTGCAAACTCGTATCTTAGTGCTTCATGATGTACCAGATGTTGAATTTTCAGCATGATTTTAGGTTGTCTAAGCAGCTTGGCATGATTTTGATAGCCTTGTTCTTTTTTTTTCCCAGATAATCTGATTTTTCACGATCACTAGGTCTTCGGAATATTTGACTAAATTTGCTCGATGGAAGACCGGCAGGCACGCACAATGGAAGCTCTAGAACGAAGGTTTGCGCAAGCGAAAGCCGAACTTGAAATGCAGCAACAGAAGAGCAAGAAAGGTTCAACTGAAGATAGAAAAAGAGCTCCTTCAAATGTTACACCTTCGCCAACATTTCCAAAATTTAAAAAAATTACATCAGATTTTTCATCCAGGAAAGGCTTGGGTATGTTTCAAGTTCTATAGCTTGTTTGTAGCTTTTACTAGCTATAATAGTTCATCGTCGTCTTTGGTTGCAATCAATTTATACAGATTTATTCCAGTGAATTTACTTTTCCTGCATTTTTTTTTTCAGATGTAGAGCTAAATGAACCAGCATACTTGAAGCTTTCTCACACCGTTGACGAAAATTTGTTTAAGGCTGGAGTCGAGGTCACTCATCCTTTCCTTTGAAAATATGCGCGTTGAATTGCTTGTTATGTATTTAATTAAAAACAGGTGTTAACTACTGTGCCTCCATGTGCACCTCAATACAGGTTTCAGACAGTAGAAGCAAAGTCAATCAGGTATTGCATGATCTTCTCCAACACGGTGATTCAGCTCAAAAGTATATGCAGGGATCGAAAAGCTTGAAAATTGAGAACACAATATTACTTGATTCTCATGTGCAAAAAGGTGGTATGATTAGTGATGGTCATTCTCGGGCATTGCAAAAAGGGTCAAAACGCTCTAAAAAACATATGTCCCTGAAACAGCACAAGAAAGTTGGATTATTTGATTTGCCTACACAGTTCCATAAGTGAGTAGCTTGTTTGTTTCCAGTTTTTTACTGTCATTATTCCCGTTTGAAGTTTCGGTACTTATGTTTGTTTTTATACATTTGAGCCTATAATTTTAATATGTGTAGTCCAAACTCCAAAGTTCTTATCTGCTTATCTTTTTCAGCTTTGAACTCTTCAAGCCAATGCACGAAATGTGGAAATCCTACACAAGCCGACTTCTGAAAAATGTTGGGTAAGTGAGGATGGGTTCACCGTATCCTCCATTTGTTTGATAGATGTGTATTTTTCTTGCTTGTGTTTTTTACGTCACAAAATGCTCTTGCAGGAAAGATCAGTTGGCTCAGTGTTTTCTCAATGCTGACCTACACGGTGCAATAATTTTAGGTTCGATTCTACTTTTCTACAGTTGGTGTTATTATGTGTCAATGCTATAGACGCATTTGTATGTGTAGATTGCAAATCTGAAAATTTCGGCTATTAGTAACAAAATAAGATAATCCTATGCTTTATTCAATATATGCATATGCGGCAATGTGACAATTACTCAATATTATCTAGAATTTCTGTTTTTCTTTTTTTGATAAAGATAATTTGTAGACGCTGATGCATACATCATATTTGATCGTCAATTTTTTTTATTTATTTTTCCATAATGATGAAAAGTGGGTGGAGATTACCGAATCTATTTTCACCGCGAATCATGTTTTTTAAAGTTGCGAATGATCACAAAGCATTATTAAAATAGTAAGAATCTACTATGCATATTTACTATGGAAATATTGTTTTGCAGTTGTCCACTGTAAAATAGTTTCTCACATTGGCATACATGGGATTGTCGTACGAGAAACCAAAGAAGCATTTGGAATCATATCCAAAGATAATAAGTTCCGAGGTGATCACTTACATCATTCAACATATTTATCTTAATAACTTTTTTTCCGAAATTATTTCCTTGCCGTTATAAGTTCTAATGGCTTTTGACTGCAGTTAGAAAATTTTTGCTCACTTTCAAAGAATAGACTATACTGCATGCTTTCTGCTTTATTAAGTATCTATGTGCTTTGATGGTTTTATTCGGTTTTTAATTTTTCATAAATAGTTTTCGCCAACATTTATTTTTTTGACAACGTTTAGGGAGTGTTTGTTTGTGGGATTTTTGGGTTTGGGATTTTTTAATAGTAAAAAGTTGGAATTTGAATAGTTGTTTGATGTGATATAAATAATTGTTAGATGTAATATTTTGAATGTAAAATTGATTTTAGTATAATATAAAAAATGAAAAGTAATTATTCTATGTACTACCTCCGTCCGGCTCTAAGGGTTTCATTTACTTTTTGCATCTTTGAATATTAATTATTATATCAAAACGTAGTACAAAGTAAAAAAAATTGCAAAAATTATTTTTTCATTAGTGTCTTATAATACTAATAGAAGAACATTTGTACAAATATTATATAAATATAAATATATTTTTAATGTTAAACAAAATAAAAATGTGACCCTTAGAGGCGGACGGCGGGAGTAATATTTTTTAAAGAAAAAAAAGTTTGAATAATAAAAATTTGTGAAAAATTCACGGAAGAACGCCAACCATAGGATTTTGTTCACCAACACTTGCCTCTGTAGGTCTTTGTAAGAAAATCTTGAACTTTTTTTTTTTTTTTTTTTTTTTTTTTTTTGCAGTTGTGCCCAAAAAACCTTGTGTGTTTGTTCTTCAAGCTGATTGTTGGAAGGTAACTCTACATGGTGACAAATTGACATCCCGGAAATTGGTCCCGTGATTTTGATGGAGGCATTTAAATTAATTTCAATCTAGTCTACCTAATATCGAGATTTTTGCACATTATGCCCTCCAATCTTTACTCATTTGTCAATGCTTGTGCTTTTCATTTTCTTCGATTTTTAGAATCTTGCTGCAAATCCCTCAATATCTGTACCTTGTACCATGTTGAGGATTCGAAGCTACCATACAACCAACAGCAACAGCAAGATCGCTTAGATAGAAACTTTGGAAAATTTTGAAAGTAATAAGAAGTTAATTACTCTTGGATACAGTAGAAATAAAAGTAAAAATATTAAACTACTAACATTTGTGTAATATATTGTAAATTGGAAATGTTAATGTTAGATAGATAATATCATTACTAAAAAAAAAAAAAAAAAAAAGAAATTGACGGACAATTATGGAAAAATAGATAGATTGTTAAGATTTAATATGTTGTTCATTTGGTGTGTTTACTCAATTCTTTTATATATACTCCACTTGTCCATAGAAAAAGTTTCAATTTCTATTTCTGCCCATCAAAGATACCATTTCAGTTTTTTAGTAATTACTTTTATATTACGAAATATATATAACGTTATTTTTGTTATTTTTACTATAAAAATTAATATCATGTTATGGGACAAAAGTAGTATAATTTTCGATGCAAAAGTCGGGCAATTTGTCGTAAAGTCACGCTAACTTGTCATTTTACATTATACACTGAATATTAAGCAAAATATAAGTAGTAATAATAATAATAAAAAAAAATGTATTAACAAAAATAATTATAGTATAATAATAAATTAAAATTAAGTTAATTAAATAATTTAATTATGCTTAAAAATTATAAAATTAAAAATTTAGTTAAAAGTGTATAATTATGACAAATTATATGGAAGGCTTAATTTTATAAAATTTACAATTTAAATTTAATTGGACAATACTATGACTTTATTCACCCAAAGTTTTTTATGAATTAATTTTTAATGTGGTACCAGAATGAGAATTGTGTCGACAAGATAAATTATATTATCTAATTATGTTTACTAATATATTTTTTAATTATTATTCTAAAATTTATGAGACAAATGAGTTGGGTCGGATAAAATATTATTTTAAATTATTTTTTTTTTTTTTTGTTTTTTTTAATGAGTATTTGAATTTCTTATGACTTTTTGATTTTATTTTATAGAGTATTTATTATTATTATTATTTATAGAGAATGACAGTCCAAAAATTAGCTTAGGCGAACAAATCCTATATTTCAAATTTTGAAAAATAAATTTTAAATAAAAATATCTGTAATTTAGAGTTACATCTGTTCAATTTAGCGCAGCCCATATTTGAAAAAGCCCAATATATATTTGTACGACTGCACGGTTCCTCAGTTAGGGTTTTGCACCTCTGACTCTTACCGGCGGATTCAATTCTTGCGTTGCAACACCTATCCTCCTAGTTCGTGGCATCATCTCTGCTCTGCAATCATGGGGTTTGTAACCTATACGCTGTCTATCTCGAATTCGTGTTTTCTGTTTGTGTATTGTGTAATTGCTTTCTATGTCGCATGAGTTGCCTGTCGTTGAATTTTCGGCGTGCTGCTAGGTTTTCGATTAGTTTGAATTGATTTATGTGGTCCGATTCGTGAAGTGCTGGGGAAATACGCAGATGATTTGGAAATGATTTTCTTCTGAAAATTTGTTTTGCGTGTGTGGTTGTCGCTGCAGAAGATCAACAATGGTAGATTAATTTATTTCATTTAATAAAAGCAGTTTTGCAGTATGCTAGAATTTGAGCCTTGACCAGTAGATACTAGATTCACTCAATTTCGAACGTAGTATGAACTTGTATGGATTCAGTTTAATTTGCAATAATTTTGCTGCAATGCTTGATCTTAATTTGATTTTCTGGTTGTGATGCTACTTATACAGTCTAATAGTGGATATGTTTGCTTGATTATGTGTTGCTTTTGGTGTTTTGGATTTGAAATTTTTTATTTTACTTGATATGTTTAACACCAAAGTATTTGAAAATTGCAACCGAATCCGATGTTTTTGGACAGATTTATTTTTATGTTTTGGTGACTATTGTTAGTGCCAAGAATGTGTCGAAAACGCAAATGAAAATAATAATAAAGCCTATGCCCCATTTGGTTTGATAGTTTGGCATTGAGGGTGGATTTTAAATGAATGAATTTGAATTTCTTCGAATTTGAAACACTTCATGATTGAAAACCATTATTTGGTTGTAGTAAGTATTCGAAATGACATAATATAAATAGGATTTGAAATTTTATCTTTGATGGACTGCAATCCACAACCAACTTTAAAGATTCAAAATTCTATCTAATTATCAGATGAAACTAATGAATTCGATGGAGTCATTTGAAATACATTTAATTATTTGTCATGTCCAATATGTTTAGTATCTTGTAATTCATAAATTCTTGTTATTTAGTATACAAACTTATCTTACCACCTTGCAGGAAGACACATGGTATGGGAGCCGGTCGCAAACTCAAATCCCACCGGAGGAGGCAGAGGTGGGCAGACAAGGCCTACAAAAAATCTCACCTCGGGAATGAGTGGAAGAAACCGTTTGCCGGGTCATCTCACGCCAAAGGGATTGTGCTCGAGAAGATGTAAAACAAAGCCCCAATTATTTCTTGTTTATTAACAACATATCATTCGCCAATTTGGATTACTGACTCGATTCCTACACAGAGGCATAGAAGCTAAGCAGCCAAACTCCGCCATTCGTAAATGTGCTAGGGTTCAGCTCATCAAGAATGGCAAAAAGATAGCTGCCTTTGTTCCCAACGATGGTTGCTTAAATTTCATCGAAGAAAATGTGAGTTCTCTTCACAACAGAGTATTTTATTTCTTGTTCTTTGGATGCCCTTTATTTATATCGATAAAAACATGTGGTTGTATCTTTACTACAGGATGAAGTATTGATTGCTGGATTCGGGCGTAAGGGTCATGCTGTAGGAGATATTCCCGGTGTTAGGTTTAAGGTTGTGAAGGTTTCGGGGGTTTCGCTCCTCGCCCTTTTTAAGGAGAAGAAGGAAAAGCCCAGATCTTAATTGCTTGTCATCTTCAGTGAAATTTTGGGTGAGTTTTTATCTATAGACATTTTTGCGCCTTTAAATTTCTTGCTGTGACAATGTTCAGTTGGATATTTATTGATGCTTCACTCATAAAAATTTGCCACAAATTTGTTATTTTAGAGTTCTATATTGATACATGATGTTGATTATTATTATTATTATTTATCAGCAGGAGGTCTATCTTATTAATGCTGTGGGTAGTAGTTTGGTGGCATGTGAGTATATATAATATATAAATTGAGAAGTTGTTGACTTTTTTACTAATAAAATGATTTTGATTTCAAATAGAAATATCATATTAGAGTTTGTTTACTTTTACAAAAAATAAAAAATAAAAATTATGCATTGTATATATATCAATATATATTTCATATATATATATATATATTGAATTGTTGCTTTTTAGTGAATAAAATATATGCTTTTATATATTTCTTTCGTCTTTTGACAATATATTTATTTTTTTTTAGTAATTGTATTATCTATCTAACTCTACTTTTATATTATGTCATTCTAATAAGGTTAATTTAAATTTTTTTTTATTTCTATTAATTTTAATATAATATTAATATTTTAAAAATTTTGTGCAAAAAACAAATGGATATAGGACGAAAAGAATATTTTAGTTGATATGTGTATATAATATGGTAGTACTTTTTATAATTCTAGTAGGAAAGTGTCGAAAATTATGTGTTTGAAAATATGTTGAGAATTGTCCCACCTAAGGAAAATGTACTACTCCCTCGAAAGATTATCATTTTTCATTTATGTCTGTGCCAAAATAAAGTTATTATTTTTTAATTTAGTACTTAGTAATTGTACTATTTGTTTAACAAAGTAACTTTTCAACTTATTTTTATATTACACCATATTAATAAGAGTATTTTTGTCTTTTTTTACTACAATCTAATATAATACTAATATTCAAAAAAGTTCAAAAAACCAAACGTCATTCTTCTTATGGAATGGGAGAGAGTATATATATATTTTTTCAAAACGTCAAATTTTTTATTTTTATTTTTATATTATAGTAAACATAAATTTATATATAAAATATTACATTAACATCTAAATAATTCTCTCTTTTTTTTATTTTTTTCAAAATTGAAACTTCCAATTAATCATTTTTTTGTACATTGATAATTGCTTAGTGTTCTCTATATCGTCGTTGATGTTAAAATATTTTATTAGATTGTTTTCCGTTGTTGGTTTAAAACTTTGCGTCTGTCTCTGTTTTTATAAATTGCTTTGCATCTTAGAGTGATTTCTGTATTTTTATTTTATTTATTATTTTTTATAACATGTAATTTCTTTATTCAAGAAACACAGGCACTTTCGATGTACTTGAAATAACATTGGCATATTGACATGCAATTTACTTTCGTATTTGTATTTATTTTTTTTATATTAGATTTTTTTTTTAGTAAAAAAAAAAATACAATTATTTTACTAAGATTGTACATGATCGACAACAATTCTAAACAACAATGAGTTACTTATCAGGGTATTAGTTTTGACCGAAAGTTTATTCGGTGTACACTTTCAGCTAATGGCTTGGATTTTCACATCATTAAAAAAATAAAAGAGAACAATTTAGTTATTTATATCATAAAAAAAAAAAAACCAAAAAAAAAAGGCTATATACAAGTAAATGACAACATGCACGTGCTTAGTATCATTGTAAATATATTAAATATTAAATTAAATATATAATTTTTAATATTATACTTAAAAATTAAATTTATATTCAAAATATTATCTCCGTTCATATTATATTCTATAATTATTTATATTTTAACCAAAAAATAAAGATATTTAATGAAATTTAATTAATTTATTAGTAAAATATCAATTTTGATTAATAGATGACAAAATTTGTTTTAAAACAAATATATATATATATACTTATGTGATATAAATAAAATAATAAATAAATAAAAAGAGTGTTACAAGTAAAAACATTGATCATTTAATAAAAAAATAATCAATTTGACATAAAATTTATTTATTCAAAATAAATTAATGATAAATATCGTTTATAATGTTAAATAAGTTGAATAAATATAAATTTATTTTACTAATTAAAATTGGACTATTTTACCATTAATTAGATAATTAAATTAAAAATAATATAATTTTATTTATATTTAAATATTATTTTATATTTTTAATTACATTAAATATTTTAAGAATATCCAAACTAATTTTAATTATAAAATAGATATAATATAAATTTATATTATATAATTGAATATATATATATAATATAATATTAAAGGTATAATAATAATTTTAGAAAATAAAAAATCATACTCCTTTATTTCTCCTTCTAATTGCCTTATTTTAGTGGAGAAACTATATGCTTATTATATTTTCCATAATTTCCCTTTTCCTCCATTCTAAGAAAAGTTAAACCAAACAATGTAATTTAAATTTTTTCTCCATTTTTCTCTCATCAAATCAAACAGGTACTAAGGTTTTATTAGAAAGATTTTGTTATTGAATAACACGATATTTTCGAGTAATTGGTAGACTTTAATTTGATTATACTATCAGAATCATGTTAGATTTATTATTTTATCCAAATTATTTCAATACTACAAATCTTGAACTTAGGATTTAGTACCCGATAAAATCCTAACATATTAAGAAGCATAGTCGATAATTGTTGGGGTGCAATTCCAAATCCCACGTCGAAAGTTTTGAAGAAAATTTTACACCTTATAAGTCTCAAGTGATCTTCAGAGGCCTTTTGGAGGATATCCAAAAATAAATTCGTACGGGCCAAAGCCGACAGTAGACTAGGTGGCATTGGACATTGGTTGTGGTGGTGGGCTCGCCCTCATGACTTGCGGGAAAATCATGGTAATTTAAATTATGATATGATCTTATCAATTATTTTGATTTGAGTCAATCACGTGTGTTTGATAGTGTATAGAGATCTTAATAAAATATATTCTTTTTGCTTATTTTAAAAATATACATTTATGTTTGGAGTGAGATACGATTTTATTATTTAATATGCATAATTAATACTGACTATCAATATATTATACAAATATTATTATTTTTATATTGAGACTATTTTTTTAAGTCGTAAACTAATATAATATTAATATTAAAAGTTTATTGAAAAAACTAAAGTAAATATTACTCTTCTTTCGCACGAGGTAATAATTAGTATGTAATTCTACAAATTAATATAAATGTGAGTGCGCCGAATTATTAACTCATTACATCATTTCCCGCTGAATAGTCCATACCGCGCCTACAATAATAAGTGCGCGAATTTCAATTGCCGGATTCCTCACCGTTGCCATAACCGCCGTCGCCGCCGCCGCCTGGACTCCTCACTGTGACGATGCACGGACACTCGGAGGAAACTAGTATCGGTGCATCAAAATTCCGGTCGACGGCGGCAAGTGATTTGTGGAGCATCTTGACCTTATATTTTCCACAAATGAATGCCGACGATTCGGAGTTCAGGTTCCAGTTAACTTCTGAACTAATTCACTTCTTCTCCTCTCCTCAGGCACAGCAATTCCTTGATCAGGTTTTCCCCTTTCTGTGCGCGTGATAATTCTCTTCTGTTGTCATGCTTCGATATTATGTGTTTAGTGTAGAATACCTTTAGGATATTGTGATTTGTGCATAGCCGAGACATAAAAGAGTACATTACACAGTATAGAAGCTTATAGTTTTTTCTTTTTGTTATTGCACTAAATCGCATTTGGAAGAACTGTGAAGCGGATACTGCTTATGTTCGTGTAGAAAATGTAGCTCAATTTGTTTGTTTTTGTTTAAACTGATTAGTCTTTGTCTTTTCAATGGCATAATTGAGGAAAGTCTCCATTAACTTACCTACAAGTTTCATTGCACTGCCAAAGATGTAATTGAAGTAATCCTCTAAAGCTGGTGATATCCAGAGGCAACTTTTATTTCATCTATATATATATATATATTAAGGATTATGATACTGTACATGAACTTTTCTAGAGATACGATCTAACATCTTCTGCAGGTAAAAGAGGATGATGGATTTTTCATCATACCCCTGGATTTCCAGCAGTTGAGGAAAACTGCTCAAATCCAGAAATTTTATGCAGCATTAGAGGATAAGCCTAAAGATGCTCTTCTGTGCATGCGTGCTGCACTTCACAAGGTAGATAAAATGTTTATCATTCATTTTGGGCAACCTATTCTCGAAAATCTGAAACAATTCATGTGCTGCAAATCTGAGTAGGTCTATTTTTCCAAAGAGCATCATATGGAGGATTCCCCAAGGGTTAATATTCGTCTCCATAACTATCCTCAGTCCATAGTTGCTTTGAAGAACCTTAAGGCTGCATATATTGGTACTTTTGCAATGTTTCTTTGATTTAGCTTTTAACATTTATTGATGCATTAATTTATAAACATTCAACAAATTCTGAAAATGCAATTGGATACTTGTGATCTCAGACAGGCTTGTGTCGATAAAGGGAACTGTAGTAAAAGTTAGCACAGTTCGTCCTTTGGTGATAGAAATGAGTTTTTCTTGCGCAAAGTGTGGGAAAACCATTACCCAGGACTTTCCTGATGGGAAATTTTCTCCACCGACAAAATGTGAAATGCAAGCATGTAAAAGCCGAAACTTCAATCCACTCAGATCTACTGCTCAACAAATAGATTTTCAGAAGATAAGGTATACTTGGCACATCTTTTACCCATACACGAATAATGGGAGTGAAATTTTTATACCAATCTGTTTGATTCACTTTATATTTGTCATTAAACCTTCAGAATTCAGGAGCTGTTAAAATCTGAGCATCATGAAGAAGGCCGGGTGCCTCGGACTGTTGAATGTGAATTGACTGAAGATCTAGTAGATGCATGCATACCTGGTGATGTTGTGACGGTAACTGGAATAATAAGGGTGATTAACAACTATATGGACATTGGAGGAGGTACTAAAGAGCTTGCAAAATACCCATGATATTGGCTATAATCTTACATTGTCAGTTTTTGGTGAACCTTGTTGTCTAGCTAAGAAGTATTCTATTTCTTCTTTGTTTATCATTTCACATTCTTGTTCTTTTATGCGTTTTTTTCTTTTACCATGAAATGGAGAGTTTGCTTATTTAGAATGCTCTTTGTCCATTAACTACAAATGGATAGGGCTTTTATGAAAGATTGATGGGATAACTGTAGACAAATAAACAATTTTTTGTCCGCCTTCACGGAAACTTATTTCCCTTATTTTATTCCCCAAAATGATATATTTCAGAAAGCTCTTGTTACAAAGTACAGTATCAATTTTTATGCACATCGTGTTCTTGCGTAGTCATTGCTATTATCAATAATCTGAGTCTAATGATCATATGCCCTCATATTGTTCTTTTGTCTAAACTAAAACTGCAAAAGGGCTGACACCTTCAACTTTGTATACTTTCTGTTCAATGTTGCTAGTTTAATAATGGATTTGATTTTTATGCCATGAAGCAATTCCTATTTCCACAATTTTCAATCTGAGTTTGCATTTTGAACTATATAAGGTCATCCATTCTTAGATGGGTGCAGTTTGTGCTCAGGAAATTAAATTGCCTTTCTGACAAGAGAAGCCGGAAGAGATTGTTCTGCTCAATGCCATAGTTCTTGTTATATGTATCTATGACATGCTGCTACTACTTATCATTTTTCATATTTACCACTGTTTTCTCTGTGTAAAATAAGAATTAGTCATGTGTGGGCAAACAAAAGAAGATATATACTTGGATTAGGCTATTTAAGTTCTTATGTCGCTGAGTTTAGTATGTTGATATTGTAAAATTCTCGTCATAATCATTTGTCCACGGTCTATCAAATTGGACAGGAAAATCAAAAAGCAAGAATCAAGCATTATACTATTTGTATCTTGAAGTTATCTCAGTAACAAATTCGAAGTCCCAGCCTGTACCAGAGGATGCCGAACATACTGACACCAATGCTAGTGCCACACAGCATAGTGATCTGTACTCATTTTCTCCAAGAAATTTAGAATTCATTGCGAAGTTTCCTGAGGAGCATGGTTCTGATGTATTTAGACAAATTCTGCAGTCGATTTGTCCATCCATCTACGGGCATGAGCTTGTTAAAGGTATATGGTTATACACATGATTATGTCAATGTTTAGCCTTACGAAATCAGATTCAGTTCCTCTCTTTTAGTAAAACCAATCATTATGTTGGTCTAATTGGTAAAGATCAATTTCCCATAATCCACTGGTTTACCCTGTTTCATTTTCTGTTACATAGCTGGAATTACATTATCACTGTTTGGTGGTGTTCGGAAGCATTCTATGGATCAGAACAAGGTACCCGTCAGAGGAGACATCCATATTATTATTGTTGGTATGGTACTATTTTCCCTTCAATCATAAGTTAGCACTGTCTTCATATGCCAATTTCTGATGTCCAAGTTATTATGCAATTAGGTGATCCGGGACTGGGTAAAAGTCAGCTACTTCAAGCAGCAGCTTCTGTTTCGCCACGCGGTATATATGTGTGTGGTAATGCCACAACTAATGCTGGCCTTACTGTTGCAGTGGTGAAGGATTCCATCACAGGCGACTATGCATTCGAGGCTGGTAATTTCTTTTCTGCCACTTCAAAGTTGAACAATGACTATTTACATCAGTGATATTTCCATTTATTTTGGAGGTAGTATTTTGTCTTTATGATTACATGACTTAAATATTATAATTCGTTGGTATGCTGAACCAACATATCAAATAATCAATTCTGTATATTATAGATTGGGTTTCCGTAGTCATGGAACGGAACTGTAAATAAATTTCTTTCATAACATCTACACTTGCACTCTCTCCTTGTACAACTTGATAAAAAAAGTTATTTGAATCAATGTTTTGTCTATGTATTCAATTCTAAAAGACTTAAAAGACCAAATGAGCCTATAAAATCGATTAGACTCTGATTTCCAGCTTTTTTCTTCCTGAAAATCCAAAGAAACCATTCATACTCATAACTCACGTTGTATAACTTCAAATAGCTCAAAGGGAAAATTATGAGTCAATTTCATTTCTTGAAAGGTCTTTACCCCCTTTTGTTTATCTCATTTAAAATTCTATTGCTAAAGTATGATGTCTGTGACATTTTATAGGTGCCATGGTTCTCGCTGACCGTGGATTATGCTGTATTGATGAGTTTGACAAAATGTCAGCAGAACACCAGGTCTTGTCACCAGTCTTGACTTACTCACAGAATATGGTTTTGTGGTCTAAATGACGAACATACTGATTAGTTAATCGTTCATAGGCTCTATTAGAAGCAATGGAACAGCAGTGTGTTTCTGTTGCAAAGGCAGGACTGGTAGCAAGTTTATCGGCTAGAACATCTGTTCTAGCTGCTGCAAACCCGGTTGGCGGTCATTACAAGTAATGCAACTATATATTACTTTAATTTTTGCTGTATTACAACTCTTTCGAATGACAGTAATATCCATACTTAACCCTGATATGCTGCTAATCATTCCAGGATTTTCGAAAGCAATCTTATGTTATTTGTCAAGGGTCTAAAGAAAGACTTTTTATGGAAAACTAGATCATTTATATTCTTTTCTTGTGACGCCTATGTTTTAATTTCATATCTGAATTGCAGTCGTGCTAAAACAGTTAATGAGAATCTGAAAATGAGTGCTGCTCTTCTCTCGCGATTCGATTTGGTTTTCATATTGCTTGATAAACCTGATGAGTTGCTCGATAAGAGACTTTCAGAGCACATAATGTCGGTAAGTCATTTATATTCTCTAAGCTGATGTTTGAGTAGTCATATCTGTGTTTCCTTCTAGGTGCATCAGTATTTCATTCTTTACATGAATAATGCTAAACAATCTGAACAATGACAATTATTTCGAAGATATTTCAACTTTCTTTAGCTAATTGAAATGATCGAACTGGAACCTAAATTTTGCAGCTTCACACCGGCGCCGGACAGGCATCGCCCTCTGGAAAAAGGATATGTAGAGGTTATATTCTGACAATCTCATTATTTACTTTACCACAAGCCTCATTTGATACAACATTCGACTTTTCACATGCAGAATCACGGGACATTCAAGTTGTGGATATGAATGTAAAAAGTGGTTCCCTAGTTGCAAGGCTACGACTTGACCCTAAGAAAGACAAGGACTTTGTTCCATTACCCGGACCCCTTCTGCGTAAATACATTGCCTATGCAAGAACTTATGTATTTCCTAGGTGTTCTCCCACTCTCATTATCAAAAAAATTTTATTCATTACTCACCTTAGTAATAATTGGCCGTCATTTCTTGTATAGGATGACAAAACCAGCCGCGGAAATCCTTCAGAAGTTCTACTTACGTCTAAGAGACCATAATACTTCTGCAGACGGTACTCCAATTACAGCAAGACAGTTAGAAAGCTTGGTAAGGCTGGCTGAAGCTCGAGCTAGAGTGGACTTAAGGGAAGAGATAAGTACTCAAGATGCTTTGGTAAGTTTTCTATATACAATGTCGATATAGAAATAAATGATTTTGAACTATGCATATGCATATATACACATATACATTTATATGATGATTTACTATCCAAATTGTGCAGGATGTGGTTGAAATAATGAAAGAGTCCTTATACGACAAATATGTCGATGAAAATGGCCAGGTTGACTTTGGCCGGAGCGGCGGAATGAGCCAACAGAAAGAAGCTAAGCGATTTTTAAGTGCCTTAAATAAGCAGTCTGAATTGCTGCAAAAGGATTGCTTCTCCATATCTGTAAAATTCTTCAACTGTTCTTCATTTAATTTAGTGATAAAATAACATCCCTCATCTATCCATCGTTTCGATGCAGGAAATATACAGTTTGGCCGATAGGATCAGTTTAAGAGTCCCCGACATCGATACATTTGTGGAGAATTTAAACAGTGTAGGCTATCTTCTAAAGAAGGGCCCAAAAACATATCAGGTAATTGTGCTAAATCATTTCACTCTACCTAGATAATCTTGAATTCGTCGATATCCTTTACTGCCTGTGAATGCAATCTTCTTGCTGTGCTGCAGGTTCTTTCATCCTCTTATTCTCGGAGTCAGTCCTCGTCGAGGTCAAGATGATCTTCGATCTTCAGCCATTGCTCTATATTAGCTACTCAGCATGTTGTGATAAGATGGTTTGTAGCCCTCGTAGGATAAAGACCTTTTCTATGATCACCAGTAATCGTTGCAGGAACACTTCCCGTTCGCAAAGTGATGAAACCTGTTGGAGTCGCGCAGCACGATCTGCCTTCCGACAATCTCCGAGATATACTTGAACGCGGAATGACAGTCCCCGCAAACCCGCAGGTTCTTCATTATCCTTATAGGCAATTCCGACTCCCGGGTAAGGACAAACGCTACGGCGAGCCTCTCGCTGTGATAGGTCAGTACTTCTTCCCTACTCTCGGATTCGAGATCGTACAGTGCATACCGTATCTGCGGAACATATCCCGCCGCCTTCATTTTCCTGTGCAGCTCACCGAGCTTTTCGTATATTGCAACCTTATCCCGATGCAACTTGTCCCCGGCGACGAACATGTGCACGCCGTCTTTCATCGCTACCCAACTCCGACCGGCTTCCTTTCTAGCGGCAGCTGTTTTCATCGCCCGTCTCGCCTTCGCCATATCTTCCCATTTCTCACCCGATGCGTACATATTAGCGGCGAGGACATAGTTTGCGGCGTTCCGAGGTTCCAACTCCGTTAAAACGCGCGCAGCTCGTCGGCCTAAATCCAGCAGCCGACTGTTGGCGCGACCGCAGGCGCCGAGAACAGTCCTCCATATCAGGATATTCGGCTGTATCGGCATTCTGTTGATGAAGTCCTCCAGCTTGTCGAACTCGCCGGCTCTTCCAAGGAGATCAACCATACACGAGTAGTGCTCGACTCGGGGAGTTAGGTTGTACACTCTACTCATCTTCTCGAAGTTGTCGTATCCTTCGCTGATTAATCCCATGTGGCTACAGGCTGATAGAACGCCGACGAAGGTCACATGGTCCGGCGCCTGGCTTTCCCGCTCCATTTGGTCGAACATCTTGAGAGCTCGATGCCCGTCTCCGTGACGCGCGTAACCGGATATCATGGAGTTCCACGAGAACGCGTTGCGACGAGGCATCGACTCGAAGAATCTCGACGCGTAGTCGATCCTCCCGCATTTGGCGTACATGTCGACGAGCGCGCTCCCGATGACCACGTCGTGTACCAAGCACGCCCTGCTTGCCTGCCCGTGGACTTCCATCCCGTGCTCCAACGTCGCGACGGAAGCGCAGGCGCTAAGGACCGTCGCGAGTGTGAAACTGTCCAGTCTTTGGCCGTTTCGCAACATTTGGCTGACTAAGTCCATCGCCTTCGCTAGCTCCTCGCCGTGTATGTAACCCGAGATCATCGAGTTCCAGCTGGCGTCATCCCTTCCCGACATCCGGTCGAATATCCTCTCGCAGTCGCTTATCTCTCCGCATTTCCCGTAGCACGTGAGCAGCGAGTTGTTTACGGAAATCTCATCGGTGAGGCGATGCTTCAAAACTAACGCGTGCGTCTGTCGCGTGAGTTCGATGCAGGGAAGCGCGGCTGCAGCCGTGAGAACGTTTATGAACGTAATGCTGTTGGGGCTCCATCCGGCGCGCGTCATCTCGACAAAATACTCGGCAGCCTCGACTATTGAATCCTCAGATTCGGTAAACGCCCTAAGAATCGAGTTCCACGAAACCCGATCGCGGTCGTGCATGAAGGAGAACAACCTCCGGCATTCGACGACATGTCCGGCGTCGGCGTAGAGCGAAAGAAGCGTGTTCGATACCGAAACGTCACGATTCAGCCCCAACTTAATCACCTCCGAATGTATCTGCTCCCCTGCCGCGATTGACGCGAGGCTGCCGCAAGAGCTCAAGGTACTGATCAACGTGTAATTCGAAGGCGTCAATCCGTTGCGCCTCATCGCCCGAAAGGTCGACAATGCATCTTCGAAACGCCCGTTTTGGTCGAACCCGGATATCATCGAGCTCCACGAAACCGAGTCCTTAACCGCCATTGAGCTGAAGTACAAATAAGCCTTCTCGACTGCGCCGCATTTTGAATACATGTTGATCAAGCTGTTCCCGACGGTGACACTCGAATCATCCGCGCCCATTCGCGCAAGATACGCGTGCACCTCTTCCCCTCTCTTCTTCCCTTCCCGGGGACATGAAAACTCGCCGAAGGCGGTCAAAAGAAGAATGAAACTATCGAGGTTTAGCCGCACCCGGCGCCTCGTCTCTGAAAAAACTTCGACTGCTTCTTCCCCTCGCCCCATCTTCGCCAACGCTACGATCAACCCATTCACCGATACGGCGTTCCGTGAACCCATAAGCTCAAATATTTCCTTCGCCGTGTCAATGGTCCCGACTTTCGCAAAGCTGCTAACTAGAGCGCTCCCAACGTACAAATCTTCTAAAAATCCTGACTTGTTGATCTTCGCCAGAAGCTGTGACAGCAGCGACGAGCTGCAGCCGACGTCTAGAGACTCGCCGGCTGCGGATACTAAGCTCGCGAATGTGTATTCGCTAGGTCTGAAATTGTACCCGAATCCCGCCTTTTGCATATCAGAAAAGAGTTGAAATGCTGATCCTGTGTCGCCTCTCTGGCAGTAAACCGATATGATAGAATTCCATGATATCGAGTTCTTGTCTGCTATTCCGTCGAAGATGCGCCGAGCTGAATCTCCGGTGGCGACACGGCTACCATACATCGATATCAGAGCGTTGCAGACGACGACGTCTAATGTGTACGGAGTTTTCGAAACTAATCCGTGGATTTGTATCCCATGCTGTAACGAGCCTTCGCTTCCGATCCTCTGACAAGCCCTCGAGACTGCGCCGATCGAATAATGATTTGGCGCGAATCCTGCGAGCAACATTCGTCGAAACAGAGAAAATCCTTGAAGAGGTATTTGGCTATGAGCGTGGCCTGAGATCATACACGACCATGTGACGGAATTCTTCAGAGGCATTTCGTCGAACACCTTGTCTGCAGAGTCCAACTGACCATTCCTAACGTAGGTATTGATGAGCGTGTTGGATATGAAGATGTCGCAGGTGAATCCGTACTTGATTGTGTCTGAATGGAACTGCTCGGCTGAGGTAGCAGAGGTGCAGAATCTGTACTTGTCGATTAGCATGTCGAACTTTCTGGAATGTTCGAAATCTGGTGGTGTTTCGGAGGGGTGCTCATTGGTTGTCCAGGTTTGGAATTGATTTGTGTGGCTATGGAAGGTGAGGCTGTGATTCTGAACCCTAACTGATTTTGAGGAGCCATGAAAGGAGGAGGAATAGGTTTGGAATAAACGAGTTGGGGATGGGGATGGTGATGGTAGCGAGTTTCTCCACGAAGCCATTTAGAAGACGACGCCGTTTTGATCATCATAATTTTGGCTAGATGAATGTGAGATCAGAGCTTCATGGTTAACAATGGCGCCTACGTATGAGTATGAGTAACTGTGTGGAGAAATAGGAAGAGTTGAGTGCCTTTGTTATTTGGCGGCGGGCCATGGAGCCTCTGACTGTGACCGGCTACCGCTTCATCCGGTCAGACGAGGAATGTGTATGTATTGGTTGTGTTTGGTTATGTTTACTTCGTCTACTGTGTATGTATTGGTAAAAAACTAGGCCTTTGGATGCATTATGGGTGTTTGTTTGATGGTTTGAATTTTAGACTCCGGATGCATTACGGGTGTGTGTACTCGTGGGGTTTAATTTTAATTTGAAATTTGAATAATATAAATTTGAAATTTGAATAATTGTATAATATAATATAAATAAATAATAATATAACGATTTAAATGTAAAATTAATTTATATTATAATATATAAAAAAATAAATAAATATTTAATTTAATATTTTTGAATTTTCTTTTTGAATAATAAAAATTAAAAAAAGTTTAATAAATGAAATAGTTTATTCAAAACAATATTTTTAAATAATAAAAATAACATATCAAATCTTTATTTTTTTAAGAAATTATTACCTCAAGTACTGATTTTTATTATACTTGCATAGGTACTGAAACGGGTATTTTTTTATGATCAACTTAATAGGCATTTTCTTTTACTGTTGAACAATAGGTACTTAAATTAAAAATATTTGGATATAATCGTAAATTAAGAAAAATAAATATTTTATTAAAAAAATAATAAGAGTAAAAAGAAAAAGTTTGATTTGTGATGTTTAGACCACACTATCCCCAATAAAAATACACTATATAGTACGACACAACATCACATTAAATATTAATTAAATCAAAATTTAAATAAATAATTCCAATCCCAAACAAAGACATAGCCTTGAAACAGGCAAAAACACATGAAAACATACACAGTGTAATTTAAATCTAATCCAAAAATGTGATCTAACACAGGTTCAAGTTTGATCCAACAATTTGTGGGTTAACTTTCTATAGCTCTACCTCCCTCTTAGCCTCAAGGACATAAACTAACATAACCACATACCATTTTTCGAAAGCAAATAGAACACAACACAGCAAATAAAAGAGGCCATCATCGATAAAAAAAAAAAAAAGAAAAAAGAAAAACCATACTGAATTTTAACACACAGTAGACAAGGAAAGAAAGAGTTCAGAATTACCTTATTTCCTCTTCAAGTTTTCTGTTTCTTGTTGCCCGAAAATTTGCCTTTCCGGAAGCCCCGGAAATCGTTAGTAGTCTCGGCCGTGTTCTGCTTTTTCAAACCTTTCCTCCCTCCAAACCCGAATTTCGAATCTCTATGTTCCCTGTCTTTTCTTTTCTTGTTATTCCCCTTTCCACCGAATTGCTTTCCTTTCCCTCCCGAGCGATCGCCGGGGCCCACTCCAGGCCTTTTCTTGCCGGACCTTTGAAATGGCTTCCCGTCTTCGAAAGCCATACTTAGGTCTCCATCATTATCGCCGCTGGCAAAACCGCTCTGCTTCCTTTGCTTTCTCCAGTTTTTAACAGATTCGATGTCGTCTTTCTTCTGTTTAGCTCTTTCTTTAAGTTTCTGTGCCTGAACCTCTTTGGCCAATTTCTTGCTCTCCCTTGCCTTACGTCTCTCCTCGGCCTCCTCGACCTTTCTCTTCTCTGCCAAGAGTCGGCCCTTCACTTTTTCCATGTGGGAATCGGTTTTCACCATCTCAGCATAATAATCGGATGGCCTCAAGAAAGGGAGGTCCATCGATTGGAACTTTGTAAGGGCTTGGCGGGCTCCTTCGAGAGCCTGTGTATAGAAAGCGAGCTCTCGGTTAAGATCATCATTGACATTGATTTCTTGGTCTTGATTGATGTCGAGGGAAAGGGTCTGTATCCATTCCGCATTTTCTGGCCATTTGATGTCTCCAAGCTTGTCAAGTAAGCCAGCCTTGTCGTTTACTGCAGTCTTTGAAGGTTCATTCAGTTTCACGTCATCATCTTCTTCTGAATCAGATTCGGAATCGGAGACTACGGGATCATCATCTTCCATTTCTGCATGGTTCATTGTTGGATCTATTTGCAAAATGTTTTCTACCTTTACAAGAAAATAATTAAAAAAAGAAAACAAAAAATTAATTCTGTCAAAAGAACATACAAACATGGTGATGAAGATTATCGACTGTCTGAAGCAGAATGTATTAATACACAAAAGTTATGCAATTCTACTATCATTATAAGTTAAATGTCACGGTACAGTTGTTTGGAGGTGCACAACAATTTCGGAACCCTAGATCCAACATCTCTTATGGTTAAATTAAAAAACTGAGCCATAGTTGTACAAAGGCATCAAAATAACCAGAAAAATCCTTGACAGTTGATATGGCAAGTTGTAATCATGTCAAAAGAACAACATCATACAAACATGGTAATGAAGATTATCAACTGTCTAAAGCAGAACGTATTAAGTACACAAAGTTTATGAAATTCTACAATCATTAAGAATCAAATGTCACGGCACAGTTGCTTGGAGGTGCGGAACAAGTTTCTAACCCTAGATTTGACGTCTCTTCTAGTTAAATTCAAAAGTGAACCATACTTGTACAAAGGCATCGAAATAACCAGAAAAATCTTTGACAATTGAAATGGCGAGTTGTGTCTACGTAATTCTCTCTTCAAACATAGTTATGCAAACACTCGGACACATAATGCAACTTTTTTAAAGAAACAATCACTGAACACTTTTTCTACAAAAAAACCTATACATCACACAAACAATACATTAGTTATTTCAACGCTATTAATTCGACTTTAACAGTAAAATTGGGACTTAGGGCTCGAGCAATGAATACGAAGATTGCTTCCACAGAGCACATGGACTCTTGAGAGAGTGAAATAACAGATAAGTTCGTGCAATAAACGAAGAATCATTACAAAAACTACGGATAAAAGCGCAAAAACAGATCATAGAAAGCAAGCAACAAAAATCAACGACTGACTAACACAACGGGACCGTAAACTCCATCATTGATATATATCTACTACATTAAACATTCGAACAAATTCGAAAACTTCGAAACACATACCGGTCAGTCAGTCCCGCGGCGGAGCAGCAGGGGGGAGGAGAAGAAGAAAGGAAGAACGGCGCAGGCGGTGTCTGCTGGATGTATGATGTGCTATTAGGGCAAAAGCGTGTATATTTTATAAAAACAAATATATTTATAATTAAAAATAATATTAATATTAATTTTTAATAAAAAATTTTAAATAATTATTTTATCTTTTATAATAACAAAAAATATTAAAATTGCTTTATTTGATTTTTGAGTTAGAACTTTTTAATAGTCAAATTTATTTTTATTTGTTTATTTTAAATTTATTTTGTTATTATATTTGAAAAAGTAAAAGAATTAATATTTCATTTAATTAATCTTATTATTAGTTCAATAGTTATTTATATAGTTAACTTTATTATATTATTTTTTTTTAATTACTAACTATTTTTTAAAAAAAAAAATTTAAATTTTTTTTTTTATTTTTATATTTTTTGAATAAAATAGTATTTAATTTTTTTTTTTTTAAACTCAAGCCAAAAAAAAGGCTAAATATTGCATCTCCAAATGGACTTAAATATTTCGTACTAAGGAGAGTATGATATAAATAGATCTTGATTTAATATCATATAGCTAATTATTTTAATATAATATAAAAAGAATTAATTATTTGATTAAATAGCTTTAAAAGAAAAAAATAAACAGTAAAAAAATCGTAAAAATCCAAAAAACAATGTAACAATATTTTTATTAAATATTTTATTAATATTTAAAATATTTTTATATTTTAATAAAATATATCAAATATGAATATTATTTATAGATAATAAAATTTTAAATATAAATAAATATATTTGCTTATTTAAAAGGGAGATATAAATAAAAAATTAAAAATTAAATTAAATTAATTTATATTTATTAAAAATATTAAAGATGAATTAAATTTGCTAAATATGCTTAAAAAAATCATTTGTGACAAAAAAAGGGAGCATATATTTTTATTTATTTAGAATTTGATTGGTTTTGATTTGAACTTAAAATTTCAAACCCTAAACCCCACGTGGCACCTGCGAAGTTACTTTATCTAATTTTAATTAGGTAAGGTGCGTCGTCGCCATTTGTGTGTTTCTTAACTATCTATAATCCTTTGATCTTTCCGAGAAGAAAAGAAAAACATTCAACACAGAATTTCCACTGCTATTAAAAGAAAAAAAACATGAAATTCCCAGCACCAAAGTAGAATAGAAATTCAGATAAAAAGGTTCAAGAGAGCTAACTGTACATTCTTAGCAAAAGGAAGAACTGACTGAAACTGAAAATCATAAGCCAAAATATATAATTAAATGAGATTGAACAATGACGAAAGAGCATCCTCTTGTGCATATATTCCCAATCAGCTCCTCCATCCGATTCGATTCGACTCGACTGACTACGATACCGTTACGCTACGAGCCCCATCTTATGTACATCAATCACCAGATAATCTAAAATCCGTATTCACATTAATATAAACATCATCTATACCTATTACGAAAGGTGGAACGACCCCTGCCCTTCGGTAATGGCATACATGAGCTTCTCTTCCATAATGTCCTGCAAAAAAGAACCAATTTTTCATTCAGAAACAGCCGTGTCGACGAACTAAAAGAGCAAAGGAAACATGATATTGATATGTCGAGGAGAAAAGAACGGGTGGAACTTTTGAAGAGTAAGGCGGAAGCTTCAAGTAATTCGCGCAGGTCATGACGCTTGGCAAGTCGACATCGATCCCATTGCTACAATGCTGCTTTCAAGAACAAAAACAGGGGAATGAATTCGAATTCAGTCGGGTAATTCAACATTAAATGTTAAGAATTTACATATATATATATATATATTGACCTTGCGAACGATTGTGAGTTTAGGGTTGAGAGAAGCTAAACCACCAGCCGGAAGCCGGGGGGAGCCGGTGACAAACTGCAAGAATGCTCGTTGCTTTGCTGGATCGAACTCTTTCAAGATTGCCAGTAACTGATGTTGAAAATAGATATAAATAAACAGTAAAGCAAGAAAATTTGGATGTAGAATCGAAACCAACTAATTTGTACTCACGTTTATGATCGGAGGGCTGCTGATTGTGTATCCATGGTCGAATTTGATGTGATCCAAGAGCTTGTCCGACTGCAATCAAGAAGGTGAAACAGAATCGAAAATAATTTCAGCTTCAGTTCTTGATCAGATGAGTGATCTAGCAAGCATTTCTATACAACTTTGGATAATTCGACACTTACATTCAACAAGACATGCTCGCCGCATAGCAAACGCTCTAATTCCTCTTCTGTGAAGACCTTGAGATGTCGAATGGGGAAAACCTGAAGCCATTTCCGAAAAAAAAAGGACGTTTATGTATTAGTTATAGAGACGAGAATTCCGAAAAGTGAACACAAAATAGAATTCCTACTTAAAAGTAACCAAACAGACCTTATCAAAACCTGACTTGAATGCTTCCACTTGCTTAGCAATTCCCGAATTTGTCATGGCATCAACCATGAGTGCGACATATTCATCTAAATTAGAAAGATTGACCTATACGAACCCAAAAAAGTATATGAATGCATCAAGAATGTTAATCGATGTCAAACAATGGAAACTAGTAGGAAGACACGAAAAGCTAACCATCTTTGAATCAAACTCGGAAATTAGAGCATAATCTGGATATCCTGGGAGGGTAAAATCGAGACAAAGATCCTCAATTTTTGTGTTCCGCAAGCACACGTCGAGGTTGTCAGAACCGCAAAGAGACCTCAAATACTCCTTCCTCTCAACAACAGCCTGAAACTCTGAAAGAGCCTTACCAAACGCAGGATCAAATGACTGAATGTCGTACAGAGTAAGCACCTAGATAAAGAACAGTTTGAAAAAAGCTGAATCAAATGGACACTTGGGAAATCATAATGTACAAAAAATCGACATCAAAGCCTCACGTACCTTCTCCAGAATGAGTTTATAGAAAGCCCTTGAGAAAGGAAGATCTAAAACTCTACCATCCTGAAGAGCTTTGGCGACTACTTGCCCCAAGAGTGTGAACCTTTTAATCACTTCGGAATATTCCGGGCTACTTGATGTGTTCAGCAACGGCGACCATGGGCGTGGGAAGAGCTCAACAGTAGACACCAATCCTAAATCCTCAGCTTCAGAAACTGCTGTCCCATTAAGAGAGAGAGAGTTGTCTCTCCACATGCACAAGTTGCGTTTCTGAAACTCCCGGCACACCAACGTGTAGAATTCCAATGTCGGACCAAGACCAGTACCCACCTCTTCATTATATTCCACTTCAACGCTTTGACGGGAACTGACTTGCACCATCTGGACGGCAGATTCTAGTATTTTGTCTCGGTGAACCAAAATCTTTCTGCGAGGAGTATTGTTTTGATGATGCCTGCCGTTCGAACCTCCAGAATTACTATGAGACGCTGCATTTGTTTGATTCTGCAGCTGGCCTAATGCTGCCAGATGAAAGTACTTGCACCTAGCTTCGAAACTGAATAAGAACGGGCACCAAGCCATTAATTGGGTGCACCATGCTGGCATAGCCCCAACTGAGACGACCATAGGTACCCGCATTTGCTGTTCTAGTTTTTCTGTTAACTTCTTGTTGACAAATTCAGTTTGGGGGACCTCACACGCCACAACATTTAACCCATCCAGATCATCTGTTTTCCCTTGTGCAAATGCGCAAGTCTTCTCACGAGATACCAGATGGAATCTCGAACGATTTATTTCATCCAAGCATCTCATGAGAGTTAGTATATCATGTGTTGGATCCATTTTCTCGAAGCCGACTTTGGAACCAAACATATGAGAGAAAACTGGAGTGTACCAACCGGATGTGGCTCTCTTATATGAAAGAGAAGATGAAGATGCACCATCACCGTCTTTGGCAAGAGTTGGTTTCGCCGTCACGTGCCTTCTGTATGTTATTTTGTAGATATGATTCCACAAACTAAAATTGGCATTACCATGTTCTATTTGCGCTTTGTGTTTAAGAATAGACTGATATAACGACAATCCACGATTCAGTTGCTGACCATCCAAATAGAATAACAGCCTTGCGGAAGTATCTCCACTATCACTACATTCTTGATAATCGCCATTTGCACCATGGTCACATTGAGAAAGATCATGCTCTTCCTGCGGGGGAGGATCATTTATTAAAACTTGGTAGATTTAAAAAATAAAAATACTAAATGTTCCTCAACCGGCCATCGAACTAACAACGAAGAAGCAATAAACATAAGAGATTAAGAGCGAGTAGTTGTGATAACAATACAAGAAAAAGCGAGTTGAACAGAACATCGTATAAATATAATATTCATGCTAAAATATAACGTATTAGGAACATACTGTTTGAATATCAGTTGCATCAGATGAATCGGTAACATTTTCTGAAGCAAACCATGTCTCTGCAAGAGGTGAAGAATGTACTTCTCTTTCCTGCAAAAATGAAAATGCAGAACCCTTATGCGCTAGTTGTGTTAAGAAAACATCGAGAACAATTCAATTGAATTTTATATTCCAAAAAGCAGCTACGATGGCATAAGTTTGATAAATAGAAAGATTGGGTAATAAAATATAAACCTGCAGCTCATGAGCATCAAGTAGCATCTCTGCAGTTGTGACAGCATCGACAACCTTTTCTTGGGGAATGCTTGAATCTAATGGAGAATGGGAACGCGATCTATCTTTCCCCTTTGAAGCATGTGATTCTGAGATCAATTTCTTGGCTTTTTCCCTGCACAATCTTGGCCAAAGATACCCTTCGATTTCTTCCACAGGAACAAACGGGTCAACACTGACAATATCGTCCATATAATCCGAGCCAGACTCTTCATTTCCCCTCAGAAACTGAACCTTCAGACAGGGGTATGAAGTGCAATGTCCATACGGAACGGTAGCATAAGAATTCCTCCGCTTTGATGTGTTGGAAATAACAGGAAAACTTTCAACCGAGGACAGCGCACTTTGTAGTCGTTGTATTAGGATGAGAAGTGGACATTCTGCACGAGCAGGGTTTGCACCAGACAACAATAGCCGCCCAAAAAGCTCAAACCTTTTCTCCATGACACGCAACTGATTAGGAGCAATATTTTCCTGTCCAAGAAGATGGCCACCGTTTGACAGGTAATTAACTATTGCTTTTATAATTCCACTCTCCACAAACTCGAAACTGGAGATGGAATCCTTTTCATTAAGCGCAGACATTATTTCATTCAGAAGATCATAAATCTCCGCCTCACGATCACCAGATGTTGCATCTTCCACAGACTGATTCACCATAGATGTTAATGTATCAGATAAAGTTCTAAGCTTCTGGAGAACATCAGTCACACCTTTCTCAGGATTCACCGATTCCTTTTCAAAATATGCAGCCCAAATACGCTTTGCAGAATTCTGAATCGTGCGTTCCTCAAGCTTGCATACCCGATTTTCCAGTGACCTTGAAGACTGGTTTGTATCAAATGCAAAGCAGGGGCATCTACATACATCACGAGCAGCAGATCTTTGAGTAACATCATTTTCCAACCTAATGCCATCTAAAACTGGAGAGAGTTTCAAATCTTTATCAGGAGAAAGTAGCCCGTGAATGGAGAAAAGGATGCCTTCTTTAATAAAGGAGTTTATGTAGACATCGGGAAGCTTGAGCATTATATTATCAACAATCTGAAGGACCAAAGATATCACATGATGATCCTTCCTCCAAAACACGCCCGCTAAGAAGCTGTCACACATCCAAATTTAAGTTAGAAGCTAAGAATATCGAAGAAGATTCTTGGGCTCCTAATCAGATAGGAATGAAGACATTTCACCTGGGGAGGTTAGCAGTTTGTAGCAGACTATGGAGTGTGTCGGGTGTGCTGAGATGAATCAACTTATTGATAACAGACAGACAGCCGCAACATATAAACAGATTCACACCAGAATTCACCACCTGCTCGAGGGAGAAAAGTAAAGGTAAAAAACTGTAGTAGAAATATTGCAGACAATAAGTTATGTATGACACGAAAGGCACAAACCTCAATCAAAATAGAAAGTAGATCAACACCAAACTTGTGCAGAACATCGGGATTCTCTACAAGAAATGCTTCTTTTTCTGGCATTTGTTGACCCTCCTGCTTAGCAGTAATTTCTGGGAGAAGCTCATTCAACAACTTCAGGACTTCATGTATCTATCAAATGAAAAAAAACAGTTTGAAGTGACGAATGATTCAAAATTTAAAAGTAGATAAAGTATTTGGCAAATGATCATTGCGGCCAACCTGACTGTGTTGCCACTCCACCACTTGTGTTGATTGCGCTCCTTCTGTCAGAGTGTACGTGGACAGCAAATCTTTTACCGTGCTGCTTATATCAAGCTCAAAAAGACTTCTGAAAGCAACCGTAGAGCCATGAGCAGACTTGGCAAGTAATCCTATCAGTCCCTGTCGATCAAATTATCAATCAGTGATTCAAAGATATTCAAGTTCCAAAACAAGATAGATGAAAAACTATAAGGGGAGTAAGATTTTAAACAATAAAGGGAATATACACAGAACTCTACTTACAATATATGTGGGCTCACAAAGGGTAGTTCGACTATTTAAGCCTATGAGATGTATGGTGTGCTGAACAATCCCGTGCTTACAAATCTCATCCAGCATGTTCGAAGAGCCGTAGGCTTGCTCCCCGATTCTTATAAGGCTAGTGGCAGCACTCTCAACAACCTAACAAAACAAATGATTGATCAATCAACTTCAGAAAGGGGAAATACAAATCCTTCGGCATCTAAAGTTAATTTTGCAGGAGAAATACCTGTTTGTCTTCGTATTGGAGAAGATTACACAAAGTAGGCACTGCCTCCATGAACAGCGCAGGAGAATCAGACGATAGTTTCTTGCATATATTGACCACAGCAGAAAGTGCAACCCTCTGGGAACAAGAAAATAAACAAAAAATCGAAAACATTAACTTTAGCTCCAAATGCCACAGCACACTCTAAGCAAGCATTCCTTAATACAAAAAATACCTGAATACTTGTCGAGAAGAAATCAATATAAGTTAGAATAGCCATTATTGCACCGGCCTGCAAGCAAGCAAGGGGTTGCTCTTGCGAAATTCTCAGTAGTGCTTGCAGACACTGCAAAGGCAAAATAAAAAAGACAATTCTTTTAGCATTCGATGGCCAAGTTTTAATAAGTTTAGAAATTACACGAACTAAGGGCAGCATCTTACTTGCTCTGCCACATCCAAATATTCGATCGCCATTAAAATTTTACAGAGAGCAGGAACTGCATCGTGTCTCACAAGAAAACCCGGCGCTCGTGGATTGATATCGCACATATAAGTTATAGCCCTTATTGACAAGAGCATTATATCCGGACTGGTCTCGTGTCTCGCCAACCGAACAAGTACCGGAGAAAATGAATCAACCATTGCGCTCGGTAACGAACCATCGCTGCTAAAGGACAACAACTCGCAAAGCTCAGTGAGAAGTGCCAATTGCGCCGATTCCTCGGCCTCCTCGGTTAATCTTACGAGCAGTTTCTTAAACTTAGAATGATCGCCCATCGCACGCTGCCGGTAGTAATCATGGATGCTGTAATCAGAATCACATGAACCGTATGCAGATTCTTTCTCGACATCTCCCTCGGATCTAGACCCCGACGTTGAAGATGACGTCTCCATTTCAGCATCCTGAGCTTCTTGAACAGAGTTTTCCGGAATTGGAGCAGATGAAGTCGAAGCACTAGCTCGGAATTCCATTGAATTGCAGGCACGCTTGTCTGCAGGCATTCCATCAACACAGTCTGATCGTTTTTGACCTCGATTCGCCATTGTCAAATGATCCTAAACAATGAATCGAATCAAATCAAATCAATTTCAACAAATTAGTCCTTGCACATAGAACATCAGATTGCCATCACAGTAGTATTCAAGCGATTAAGAACCTGAAAAGTGCTACATAAACATCATCCTAACAATCAAATTTGCTAATGGCCGAAACTTAAAAGGTAACTTCTATGAAAAGAAACTCAATTATAGAGACTATCACAGTTTGCAGTACAGTAAACAAACCATATTACAGTAAACAGAAAGGTTAAAAAACAACAGCACAAAACCCACAATCGCTCGATCACTTCTCAAATAAAAAACGATTAAAACATACAAACCAAAAACAGAATTACTTTTTTTTTTTTTCAACAAAGAGGCGAAGAACAACGCAAAAACACAAAACCCAAATAGAAAGGGGGGCGACGACGACGACGACGTATGAACAAAATCAAACCATAGAAAAACATCAAAACGCCGATGGAAAATCCAAAATTCAATCAACTAAGAAACAAAATCCACCGTATTCTCTCATCTTTTGTTACCTAGAATACTTTGATCCTTCCGGCTACACACACAAATTTTAGGGTTTTTAGAGAATTGCACCTTTCAGTTGCTATTCCCTCGGGAGATTTAACAATCAATCTAGGTAAAAAAACCAAAGATAATCACAGGAGGTGGATATATATATACACACACGAAGGGGATTATAGAGATGGCCAAGGTGAGGGGAAAACAGAGCAGCGAGAAAGAAGAGAGAGAAAGAGAAAGAAAAATAAAAACAGAAAAACAAAAATTAATAAATAAAATCTAATAAAATAAATAACAGTGGATTCTAATATTGCCTTCTAAATATGATTCTGTTGTAAATTGACAAAAATATTAGAAAGTAAAAATAAATAAGGTAGGGCTAAACATGGGGTAACGTTGTAGTTACTTGTTATTATGGAAGCCACCATCGTCTAATTAATGGCGGTCATCGCCGAGAGGACACGTGTACGGCTAGATCTTGCCGAAATTTTTGGCTTGAATAAATATGGGCTTAGTCCGATAATTTTTTATTTTTTATTTTTTCGATTGACGTAGACTTGGTCATTATTTACTATTTTAGTTTAATTTGAAGGGTTAAATAATACTAAATTATTATTATCCAACTATGTAACTTTCATTATTTATTTTTTTATAATTCTTTTCAAAAGTTTATGATTTTATATATATATATATATAAATATATTGTTGAATAATTATGGAAACAAAAGAAGTAGTCTATGATTATTTTAATTTCTTGATTATATTTTAGGAAGGTGAATATGATCATTTTTATTTTTTGATTAACTTATTTGATTTTAGGATATGATTGTGTTTAAACTTTAAATATATCATATAATTATTATAGAAATTATGTTGGTACTAAGATTTGGTAGATGGATACAAATCGTTATTAAGTTGTATATTGATTAATGCAGTTTTATTTTTTTAAAGAATATTTAATTAATGATATATTAGATTATATTAAGATTTTTTCTTAATAAAGTTGTTATTACGGAAAAAATACTTTGAAAACTCATTATTATTATTATTATTATTATTATTATTGTTATTGTTGTTGTTGTTATATATTAAAATATTTTAGGGTTTTATTGGGTCTAGATTCTAACGTTTGAGCCCACGAATAAATCAAAAAAGAAAGTGAGTTTTTAAAGACCTATTGAAGAAAAAGGTCAGCTAGTCGGTAGCTTGGTTGGTCGGTTGGCCAGTCGGTAGCTTGGTCAGTCGATAGCCTACCTGGTCGGCTGTCCAGACGGTAGCCTATCCGGTCGGTTGGCCAATCAGCAGTTCGTCTAGCCGACTAGTTTGTACGCAGCCTGTCTGGTCGGCTGGTCAATCAGTAAACTATTTGGTCGGTTGGTTCGTCCATAGTCTGTCTGGTCCGCTGGTAGCATGGAATGCAACCAAAGAGTGGTTCTTCATACGTTTGCAACCGCGAGGTGGATTATGTCAGTTACAACCGACTGCGCACACGATCTGATAACTGACTTGAATGACATATATCAGGCAATTCGCGTCCGGCAAAAGACATCTTCAATCAACATCAATTTCAGAGAAATTCGCATTGGAGATCGTCTTTTTGTCTTTCGGAATTTGTTGCTTTTATTTTTTTTTGTATTTTGTACGGTATCTAGAGATCTTTAATTCTAGATATTATAATAGTCAAATTCAAATTTATTTTCAAATTTTATTTTTTATTGTTAATTGTAAACAACATCTAACAATAAAAATTATTATTATTATTATTATTATTATTATTATTATTATTATTATTATTGTTGTTGTTATTAGCAAAATATCTCTGTAAGGGAAGAAGGTATTTTACATTGATTGTTGTATTGAATTATATAAAACATTAGGGTGACGCTGATAGAGTACAATATAGAAAGAAACAATATATTATTTTCAATTTTCTTGAATTATATACTTTACTAGAGTGTGGTGCCAATAGAATACGTCCGGATCTAAAAGTCTTATTTATTTTCTGCATATTGATATTTAAATATTAATTATTATATTAAAATATAATATAAATTAAAAAAGAATTGCAAAAGTATTTTCATTAATTTTTTATAATACTAAAAAAAAGATATTTTTACAATAAATTCTACAAATATAATAATATTTTTAATGTTAAATATAATAACGTAAAAAAGTAAATATGACTTTTAGAGTCGAATGGACAAAGAAAATATATATATATATATTTTTAGTTTTATTAAATAACATATTTACTTAAAGTGGTGTAGATAGAATAAAATATAGAAATAAAACAATATACTATTCCAATTTTTTTAAATTACATACTTCACTTGAGTGGTACTGATAGAATACAATATAGAAATAAATACTTTTCAATTTTATTGAATTACATACTTCACTAAGAGGCATGCTGATAGAATACGATATAAAAATAAATAATACTCATATATTTTCGTTTTAATTAAAAGTATTTTTTTATTATTTTGTTCATTCCATTTAAAAATATCAATTTTGTATTATAATAAAAATAATTATAAACTAATACTTAAATATTAGTTAATTTTAATATAAATTATAAATATATAATTAATTTATACATAAAATAAAAAAAAAATTAAAATTATCTTTCACATTTTAACTAACTAAAAAAAATGTTAATATTTATTAATTTACTACAAACTATAAATGACAACTTTAAATTGTAATGGTAGGAGTATAATATATAGATAAATAATGGATACTCTCTCTCTCCGTCTATCTTTAAGGGTTATATTTATCTTTTGCGTGATTGTACTTAACATTAAAAATCTCATTAGATTTTTGTATAAATATTATTCTATTAGTATTATAAGACACTAACGAAAATATTTTTGCAAATTTTTCTTAATTTGTATTACGTTTGGATATAATAATTAATATTCAAATATCAACAAGTAAAAAATTATATGAGACCCTTAGAGCCGGACGAAAGTAGTACATTATACTAGTATTAATATAAATATAAATGCAATACATTAACTCTATGTTATAGAGTCAAACAATGCACCACATAGATTTAACAATATATATATATATTATACTCCTTCCGTTCCATAACTAAGTACCCATTTGCTTTTGCACGTAATTTTAAAAATATTAGTATTATATTAAAATATAGTAGAAATAAAGTATAAATGACTAAAATAACCTTATTAATATTGTGTGATATAAATGTAATGACATTTGTGTAATATATTGTAAATTATAAAGGGTTTTTATAATGTTAGGTAGATAGTACAGTTACTAAAAAAAAATAAATATTTTGTTGTGGGACGGATTAAAATTAAAAAATTAATACTTTGTTATGAGACGAAGTGAGTATTAATATAATACAAATATAATAAATAAATTGAAAATACATGACATTGTTTCATACTATATAGAATATAAAAACAGACTGACACATGATATATAAACATATAACATTGACTGTATATAGCATAATGAGTGACGAAACTAACATCTAAAATTCGGGGGCAAAATATTATAATATATTTAATTTAACTAATAAATTTAAAATAAAAAAAATAATAAAAGAATTATAAATTTAGATAATTTGGGAGAGACAAATTGTATATAAATACATAAAAATTAGTATTTTTAATACTTAAAAAAATTATAAAAAATTGGGCTTGAGGCCCTACTGTAGTTTCGTCGCTATATACAATATATGATATATAAATAAACAACACACGATATAAAGACATATATAAATAATTTTAACATAATATAAATACAACACATAATATAATATAATATTATATAACATATAATAATTAATTTCAACATAATATATATATATATATATTCATATAATATTGTATTAAATAAAACTGTATTGATCAGCTTATTTTATAAGTGTTGACGTTGTGCTGATTTGCCCAATCAATATCATAATTATCTCATTACTCTGCAGTGTAACAATTGTGTTTCTTTGGGAGTTTAAGTTGGGTTTAGAGTTTTAAGAATTAAAAATTTTAATTATAATACTCCATTTGTCCCGCTATGGTATCCATTTTACCTTAAACACAGAAAGTCACGGAGAGTATAATTAGTAAATAATTAAAATATATTAGTGAAAATAATTATTTTATAATAAAAATAATTATAAATTAAAATTAAGATAATTGATTTAATTAAAATTTAGAATGAAATTAAAAGGTATAATTCATTAAAAAAATATGACAAAATCGGTGGGACATAAAAAATTTAAAAATTTGATATGTAAATGGGAAAGAGAAAATAGTTATTTGTTAGTAATATATATTATTATAATAAAAATAAATAAAAAATAAGAGTTTGATTTAATATTTTTTTAGAAAAAAAATTAAAAATTATTTTTTATTTTATTTTAATATTTTCTCCCGTCTCCCAACTGTTGACATGTTTTTTATTTTTTAATATGTCTCACAACAGTTGATGTGTTTTTATTTTTAATATTTTTTTAATTAAATATATTTAATAAATATTAATTAATTTAATTAAATTTATAATATTTTTAGAATCTGTTCAAAAGTATTTTATTTATATCTCTTTAATAAATAAATATTTTTATCAATATTTAAAACTCTCAATTTTCTTCATTTGTTGGAGACATGAGAATTTAGAAAATATATATTTGATAAATAGCAAAAAATAAATTAGTAAAAATAGTAATAATATAATAAAAATAATTATATATTAAAATTAATATAATTAGTTAGTATAATTAAAATAAAAAATTTATATATTTAAAAACTTAAAATGTGTAATTTTTTTTTTAAAAGAATAACATAATATATGGGACAAACAAAGACAAAAACTATAATAGGATACAATTACAGGAGAAATATAAAATTAGCTTATGTTAATCATAAATAAATTAAAAAAAAAATTGTTATTTAAATAATATATTTATATATTCTATTTTTTTAATTATACATATTAACTTTTAATTTAAAAATATCAATATTGCTACTTACATAGAAATAATTTTCGAGCTCGACCTCAGCTCGTTTACTCGACTCACTTGACTCACGAGCAACTCAATTGAGTTCATTTATAATAATATATTTATATTATTTATATAATATATAATTTTTTATATAAAAATTTATATTTATTATAAAAAATTATGAATAAAATTAAATATATTTAATTTATATATTAAAAAAATATATAGAAAATGTATAATATTCAAGTCTGAACTCGAGCGAGCTCGAACTTGAATTTAAGTTTAACGAGTCGAGCTCGAGCCATTATTTTAGTTCGAGTTCTTAAAGAGCCGAGCCAAGTAGTCTCTACAGTTAGCAAGTTCAAGCCGAACTTGTACCGTTAACAAATTTGAATCGAGCTTGAACACCTGATACTCGAATTCGCTTAATTCGTTTAACAACTCTAATTCCAAATAGCTGGAAAGTTCGGATCGAATTCAAATAGTATTTTATGCTATCCGAAATTTCAAATACCCAATTCCAACTACTTGAACTACAAATATCCGATGGATCGATACCCCACCTCTAGATGATATAACAAGAACTGTAGCAGCAAGAAACCAAATACTACATAAAGGCCTTTAGTGCCAAAAATTTCAAAAAAGCAAACACGACTAGAAAACAAGAGTTAGAAAGTCAAGAACAGCACAACCCAAAGTTTCCCTACCAATCATCTCACATTGGACGATCGACATTATGAAAACAACACCAATATGGCCATATTTTTTAATGTTTAATGTCGATCTAGATGATGTCCTGTCTATCAATCATGCAGCCATTAAAGAAAAACAAAATTTCTTGAACCTACAAACCTGTACTAGGGAAAAGAATAGAAGATATCAAACCATTGGAAAGATGCTGAGGCCACTGAACTTTAGAGATCGATTTTTCTAACGGGATGGGAAGGCAACAGCGTCGTCTAAGGAAATGAATGGCTGAATAGTTCTAATCCATTCTCAGAATTTGGAGACCATCACATGTTGTCGAACTGAATAGAATGTAAATTTCATGAAACCAAAAATGAAGATAAGAAATGAAAATATGAGAATTAAACCACTAATAAGCACGTAGGATTGCCACAATTGTATAGATATCGATCGGCTGACACATAAATAATCTTATTCAGGCAGAGCAGTATTAAATGTGTTCATCTGATATTCGAGCTATAGGAGTGTGTCTATTTTGTTTCAGTATTCAGGCATTGAAAAGTCCTCCCTTGAACTTTTGGAATACCAATTCTCCTTTTTCTGGAAGGGTTCAATTTCTAAATATCATTGAATCTTATCCTACATATACTTTACATGTAACACGCAATAAGAATGCTAGACAAATTTCCAAATCTTTATGTATGCATTTTCTTCAAACTAGAGAAATGACAGTTATTATGATGAATTTCACGGCACTATAACACATGATTTATGTTAATATAATATAAATACAATACATAAATTGACAGCACATAACAACACTTTACACAACACATACTATCATTGATCTCACTATACACAATATATCCATACAACACACTAAATGTGAACCATCGTCATATGATATCAATTAAAAAAACATTGTGTTGAATGAAACTATATATTGTGTATCTTTTATCCTTTGATTGGATCTGGTGTGTTTCTTTTTTAGAAAATAAACAATACTACTATTCAACCTGCACGGTTTCTAATAAAAATATATTATTTTGTCTAACAAAATATCACATCATAAATACTATTAAACCAAAACTCAAATCAACACTCCATTTCAAATCAGTTTTAAACCACAACCAAACAAACCCGCACCATACTAATTTTCACCAATCAACACTATAACCTCTCGGATGAAAGAAATATTGATAACCACCATTTTTTATTATTTTCTTTAACTCTACACTTTATGTCTTCCTACCATATCAAAGAGTAAATGAAATCCAAATTAATATAGTTAACAATACTTTAACAACAACATTTCATAATTATATAATAATGTACAATAAGAAATTTTACAAAATTACATTTCGCAGGTGGGCTGTAACTAAGAAGACATACAAGTAAAGAAGATAGCTATAAAAGAGAGCTGTAGGCATAAACATGAAATATATTTTGACGGATGTTAGAAACTACAGAACTTCACTAACTATATTGTGCAAATAATCACACAATTCCCATCACATAATCTGGGAAGAACGTGAATATATACAAATAGATGGGACAAACATGTACACAAACACGCGCACCCAAAAAAACAAACAAACCAAACTGGACTAAGAAATGAAATATCAAGGTATAATTTCACCTTAGAATCTCCAAAATTCGTGCCTTGTAAAAAAGATCTCTGGTTGTGAAGCTAAGAAAATTGCAGCAATGATAATGAAATGAATAATAATAATATGAAATAAAGTCTTGAGCTACAATTTTACCTGAGAACCTCCATCATTTGTGTTTTGTGAAGAAGATCCCAGGTCATGAAGCTGAGAAAATTGCAAGAAATGATTTCAGAATGAAGACTATGAAATGGAATCTTGAGGTACAATTTCACCTGAGAACCTCCATAACTTGTGCCTTGTGATATAGATCCTTGGTCGTGAAGCTAAGAGAAGTGCAAGAAATGATTTTAGAATGCCACTGATTGAATTACAAAGATTATTAAAATTGCAACAACAAGATTAACAAGCAAAAGTATGCATATTATACCTGAGTACCCAAAATTGATTGTTCTGCTCCGTCAAACTGGGAAAATTGCTATAATCAGATCATCACACAAAAATATGCACAAGAGAATTACGCAAATTATACTTGAGTATCCGAAATTGATTATTGTAATGTTCCTTGTAAGAAAGATCCTTGGTCATGAATCTAAGAAAATTGCAAGCAATGATTACAATATGCCACTTACTGAAATACTGAGGTACATTAATATTGCAAAACTAAGATCAATAAGCAAAAATATGCACTTATGCAGATTAAATTATACCTGAGTACCCGAAACTGATTGTTGTTTTCCATAATCTGTGCTGTGCGAAAAAGATCCCTGGTTGTAAAGTATTGGAATATTGCAAGCAATGTCAGAATGCGATTGACTGAATTATGAAGACATATTAACATTGCAATAATAAGGTCAACAAGAAAAAATATGCACAAAAAAAGTATGCATATAATACCTGAGTACCCGAAATTGATTCTTGTACTCCAAAATTTGTGCCTTGTGAAGATCCCTGGTTGTGAAGCTGAGAAAATTGCCCAGTAATTAAATTACTAAAATTATTGTTTCAATAATAAGATCAACAAGCAAAAATATACATTAAGAGAATTATGCAAATTATACCTAAGTACCCGAAATTGATTGTTGTACACCTCAATCTAGGTCATGTAAGAAAGATCAAGCAAAGATATGCACAAGAAGGTTATAGAGATTATACCTGAGTACCCAAAGCTAGTTGTTGTACTCCACAATCCATACTTGGTGAAAAAGATCCCTAGTCGTGAAGATTGGAAAATTGCCAGCATGTTAGAATGCTACTGACTGACTTACGAAGGTATATTAACATTGCAATAATAAGGTCAACAAGAAAATATATGCACAGGAAACTATGCATATAGTACCTGAGTACCCGAAACTGAGTCTTGTACTTCAAAATTCGTGCCTTGTGAAAAAGATCCCTGATTGTGAAGTTGAGAAAATTGTAAGCAGTGATCTCAGAATGTCATTAACTGAATTACTAAAGTACATTATTATTTCAATAATAAGGTCAAAAAGCAAAAAATATACACAAGAGAATTATGCGGATTGATTGTAGTAGTTCATAATCCGAATCTTCTAGAAAAGATTCTTCGTTATGAAGCTAAGAAAAATTGCAAGCAATGATTTTATAATATCACTAAATGAATTACTAAGGCACACTAACATTGCAATAATAAGATCAAAAAGAAAAAATATGCACAAGAGAATTATACAGATATGATACCTGAGTACCCGAAATTGATTGTTGTATTCCATGACCCATGCCTTGTAAAAAAGATCCCTGGCTGTGAAGCTGTAAAAATTGCAAATAATGATTCAGAAGGCCACTAATTGAAATATTGAAGTACACTAACATTGCAATAATAAGATCAACAAACAAAAATATGCACAAGAGAATTATGTATATTATACCTGAGTATCCGAAATTGATTGTTGTAAAAAAGATCCTTGATCGTAAAGCTGAGACAATTGCAGGCAATAATTTCAAAATACCACTAACTGAATTACCGAGGTACATTAATATTGCAACATTAAGTTAAACAAGCAAAAATTACAAGAAAATTATGTAGATTATACCTGAGTATCCGAAATTGATGGTTGTACTCCATGATCTGTGCCTAGTGAAAAAAATCCATGGTCGTGATGCTAGGAAAATTGCAAGTAATGTTTGTAAAAATATCACTACCAGAATTACGGTACATTAATATTGCAATAATAAGATCAAGAAGCAAAGATATGCACAAGAAGATTATGCATATTATACCTTATTACCCGAAGTTGATGGTTGTACTCCTAAATGTGTACCTTGTAGAAAAGATCCTTGATTGTAAAGCTGAGAAAATTGCAACCAATGATTTCAAAATGGCATTAACTGAATCACTAAGGTACATTAACATTGCAATAACAAAATCTACAAGAAAAAATATGCTCACGAGAAGATTATACCTTAGTACCCGACGTTGATGGTTGTACTCCATAATCCGTACCTTGAAAAGATCCTCGGTCGTGAAGCTGAGAAAATTGTAAGCAATGATTTCAGAATGCCACTAATTGAATCACTAAAGTGCATTAACATTGTAATAATAAAATCAACAAGCAAAATATGGACAAGAGAATTATGCATATTATACCTTAGTATCCGAAGTTGATGGTCGTACTCCATAATCCGTGTCTACCGGAAGAGATCTCTGGTCGTGAATTTGAGAAAATTACGAGCAATAATTTTAGAATTCCACTGATTGAATTACGAAGATACATTAACATTGCAATAATATGATCGATAAGCAAAAATATGCACAAGAAGATTATGCATATTATGCAACAGCGTCGTCGAAGGAAATGGACGGCTGATTAGTTCTAATTCATGCTTGGGATTTGGACCATTATATGTTGTCGAACTGATTATAATGTAATTTCATGAAACCAAGAAATGAAGATATGAGAAATTAAACCATGAATAAGCACAAAAGATCGCCACAATTGTATAGATATCAATCCGATGACACATGAATAATCATATTCATTTGATATTCGAGCTATAAGAGTGCCTATTTTGTTGGCAGTTGTTATTGAGCTGACTATAATTAATCAGTGTTATGCTAACAACAACCAGACGATATACTGGCAGGACATGAAATATAAATCAATACATATATATTTATATAATATAAAAATACATGAACTGAAAGTACATGACATTAGTTCATGCAACACATACTAAAATTCATCTCATCACACAGGTGTACACAACACACATATAAAATAGAGCAGAAAACAAAAACTAACAATTTATAGAACATTTTTGTTCTATTTTCATGTATTGTCTCTTATATTTTTTATGTGCGGTAATCCTCAATATGTTGATTAACCCCAATAAACAATATAACCATTCCCCTATTTTGTTTCATACTCAAGAACTACAAAGTTCTCCATTGAAATTTCATAATACCAATTATCCTTTTTGCGGCAGCGTTCAATGTCTAAATATTATTGAATCTTAACCTTTATATATTCATATGTAACACACAGTAAGAATGCTAGACAAAATTTCTAAGTCTCTGTTGATGAATTTTCTCCGGAAAAGAAAATTTGATGACTTCCCACCAAATCAAGGAGTATAATCAAGGTAATCCAAATCCAGGGTGCTGATATACTTACTAATATGCCAACATTTTATAATGAGATTATAATGATTTTGTTCTTTGTGATTTCAAACTGAAATCAGTACCATTCACTATGCAGAGTTTTCAATAAAAATATACAGTTTATTCTCACAAAACATCACATCAAAATATTATTTAAACAAAACTTCAAATTGACAATCTATTTCAAATCAATTTCAATTACAATATTTCATTTCACCGGTGACTAGAAAAAGATATAATTTAAGATCTAAAAGATAATTGCAAGGCATAAACATGAAATAAAATTTAATGGAGGTTAGTACTACAAAACTTCACTCATTATATTGTGCAAATAATCACACAATTCCCATCACATAATCTAGGAAGAACGTGAAATGTATATATACAAATAAGTGGGACAAACATCCACACAAACAAACACCCCCCCCCCCCCTCCCCCCTCACAAAAAAAAATAAAAAGATTACTACTATAAAATAAAATCTTCAGGTACAATTTCACCTGAAAACTTCCAGAATTCATGTCTTATGAAAAAGTTCTTTGGTCGTGAAACTTAGAAAATTGCAATCTATGATTTAAGAATGAAATTGAAAAAAAAAAAAAAATGCAAACAGGACTATGAAACGAAATCTTGAGGTACAATTTTACCTGAGAACCTACAGAGTTCGTGTCTGGTGAAAAAGATCCCTGGATGTGAAGCTGTGAAAAATTGCAAGCAATAATTTTAGAAAAAAAAATAAAAAATATATATATAGACAGGACTATGAAATGATCTTGTAGTACAATTTCACTTGAGAACCTCCATAATTCGTGCCTTGTGAAAAAATTCATGAAGCTGAGAAAATTGCAATAATAAGATCAACAAGAAACATTATGCACAAGAGAATTATGAAGATTATACCTGAGTACCCGAAATATATTCTTGTACTTCACTATTCGTGCCTCGTAAAACAGATTCCAGGTTGTGAAGCTGAATGCCATAAATTGAATTACTTAGGTATATTAACATTGTAATAATAAGACCAACAAGCAAACATATGCACAATAGAATTCTGCAGATTATACCTGAGTATCCGAAATTAATTCTTCTTCACTATCCGATGCTAGTAAATAAGATTCCATGTCGCGAAGCTGAGAAATTGAAAGCAAATAATTTCAGAATGCCACAAATTGAATTTCTAAGGTATATTAACATTGTAATAATAAGACCAACAAGCAAACATATGCACAATAGAATTATGCAAATTATACCCGAGTATCCGAAATTAATTCTTCTTCACTATCTGAGGCTAGTAAATAAGATTCTATGTCGCGAAGCTGAGAAATTGAAAGCAAATCATTTCAGAATGCCACAAATTGAATTACTAAGGTATATTAACATTATAATAATAAGATCAACAAGCAAAAATATGCACAAGAGAATTATGCAAATTATACTTGGGTACTCAAAGTTGATTGTTGTGCTCCCATGCCTTTAAAAAAAGATCCTTGGTCGTGAAGCTGAGACAATTGCAGGCAATGATTTCAGAATTCCACTAAACTGAATTACTAAGGCACAATAACATTGCAATAATAAGTTCAACAAGTAAAATTTTGCACAAGAATATTATGATGATTATGCCTAAGTAGCCAAAATTGATCGTTGTTCTCCATAACTTGTGTCTTGTAAAAAAGATTGTAGGCCATCAAGCAGAGAAAATTGCAATAATAAGATCTACAAGAAAAAAATATGCACAAGAGAAGATTATACCTTAGTACCCGAAGTTGATGGTTGTACTCCATAATCCGTACCTTGAAAAGATCCTCGGTCGTGACGCTGAGAAAATTGTAAGCAATGATTTCAGAATGCCACTAATTGAATCACTAAAGTACATTAACATTGTAATAATAAGATCAACAAGCAAAATATGGACAAGAGAATTATGCATATTATACCTTAGTACCCGAAGTTGATGGTTGTACTCCATAATCCGTGCCTAGTGGAAGAGGTCTCTGGCCGTGAATTTGAGAAAATTACAAGCAATGATTTTAGAATGCCACTAACTGAATTACTAAAGTACATTAACATTGTAATAATAAGATCATCAAGCAAAATATGGACAAGAGAATTATGCATATTATACCTTAGTACCCGAAGTTGATGGTTGTACTCCATAATCCGTGCCTGGTGGAAGAGATCTCTGATTGTGAAATTGAGAAAATTACAAGCAATGATTTTAGAATTCCGCTAACTGAATCACTAAAGTACATTAACATTGTAATAATAAAATCAAGCAAAATATGGAAAAGAGAATTATGCATATTATACCTTAGTACCCGAAGTTAATGGCTGTTTTCCATCCTTCTTTGAAGATGAAGATCCACTGGGTTCACTCATCTGTCGAAGACGAATAAAGGTCCACAATTTTAAAAATCTTTACATGCATCTCTGTACGTGCACTAGCAGAAAAGCAACTAACAGATGCAAACTAACCTCTGACTGCAACACAAACAGCATTCCAAGAAATGCAAGCACAATAAACATCGTTAGCGCCAACCAATAGCATCACCAAGTGATCATTTCAAGCAAATCTTAGAAGAAAGAAACCAACAGAAATCAACAATTACCTGTCTGTACCTATTCAGATACACTTGAAGAGGGTCTATATAGTTTGTAAAACCTAATAAAGCCATACACCATAGCAAATCATTTGCAGTGACTTTCCTTCCATTTTCGCGTTTGCACTTTTCAGCAGCCCTTAAATTGCCAATACCAAGAAAATACATTTTAAGTTTCTGGTTTCAAACAAATCACCCATTCTGAAATCTTGATAGATATGGTAAATCAATGAACATACTCGCTAGTGACGAAGCTAATAAACTCAGACGCGCATATTTGTACCATCTCCTTGGCGTCCATGGAAACACATGCGTCCGGAGGCAGTGCCTTCCTCATAAGCTGGGTAACATTCCCGCGCGGTAACAACTTATCCGAATCAAAAACATGGGCGTTGGGGTCAGGGCTACCGCCTGCTCTCTGCGACGGCTGTCCGTCGGCCATTCGATCAAAAAAAACCTGAACAAATTCGACCAACACTAGGTCAAGATAATCCATGGAAATGCACATCCGAGCCAGAGCGAATCCAGAGATTTTTGAGGAAGGGGATCTTACCGGATATTGATGCGTGGGGATTTCGCGGAATTTGTAATTCTGAGCGCGCGAGAGGATGATCGAAGGGTGGAGAAGTGGTGATGGAGAAGACGACTGAACCGTTGGTTAGTTTTGCCAATTTTATTTATTTATTTTGTAGTAGGCGGGCTGGATTGCTCTCTTCTTATTGGGCCACGTGTCCTTCAACTGCCTACTCTTTCGCTATCTATACGACGTCGTCTAGCATTTGCCAATATATATTCATTGGATAAATCGATATTATTACTACTAATATTGGTATTGTTTAATTGAATTTTAAAGCATTTCCCTATGTTAAATTATTTTACACTCATTTTGTTTTGATTTATTTGTTAGTTTACTTTTGTTATGGTATTTTAAATGGTATAAGTTGGATAGTCTTTTTTACAATTTTGTAATTAAATTTTTATTTTTTATTTTTGGTTTCATTCTATAAAATGCATTTTAAAATAGAAAATGGAGAATATTTTGAATAAATTTTTTAAAAATATATTCAAAAATAAATAAATAAAAATACTCCATATCTAAAATAATAATTAAATAAAATATTTAGGATAGAATAAAATAATCAAATATAAATATCAATGCAACATTAATAAACACTACTTCCCCGTCTCAGCTTTTTCGAATACCCAAATTCGACTAAAATTTGTTGAGGATGTCCCTATAAGAACTTCCCCTCCAAAAAAAAAGCTTATGCTGCTTAGATACAACAAACACACGGTATTCTTTAGTAAAAGGCGAAAGAATAATTCGCTGTGTGCTTACTGCGCAGCTGCGTGATTATCTCCCGATCAAGAGCTCTCTTTTTATACATTTCGTTACCTCTGTTTTCTTTAATTGCCCGATGTGGGACACAGATAATTTAAAAAATCAAATACACTGCATACACACAACCTTACCAAATCCTCTAGCTTCTTTAATTACCCGATGTGGGACACAGACACTAAAAAAAATCAAAGACACTGCATACATAACACAACCTTACCAAATCCTCTAGTTACCTATACTCTCATCAAATATCAAAATGTACCATTCTTTGTACACGGAATCGAAGCACGCAAATTTTTGGAATGTACAAAATAAGCATCAAGAATAGAGACTAAAAAAAAAAACCCAAATTCGAAACAAAAAATCGACGAAAAAAGCGTCGAAAGAATGGTTAGAGAGCATCACTAGTGTACGAAGTTTCTACCGAGGCGTCGGCTGGTTTACGTAATCTTCTACCGACAAATGCTGCAGCTCGACGGCAGGCAAATTTAAAGAAGAAGAATGGGCAGAATGTCGGGATACCTCGCCCGAACTGATTTCCGCGCCCTTCTCGACGGCGATGGCGTCTTGGATCTCCTTAGCCACTTCCGAAATCGGCGGTCGAGCGCTCCCGTTTGCGTGCACACACATCAAAGCTTTCTCGGCTATTTTCCACATCGACTGGCTTTCGTAGCTCTGCAATGTCGGGTCGATGATACTCCGTATGTCGCCGTTACCCATGTGCATCTTCGCCTAAAAACGAGTTTGATATAAATAATCGAAAAAAAAATAAATTAATTTTGCCATAATCGCGATTGCCTTACCCATTGGACGATGTTTCTGCAGTTGCTGCCGAAGCTTTCGTTCGAGATAGCTTCCCGACCAGATATTAGCTCGAGAAGAATGACTCCGAAGCTGTAGACGTCGCTTTTGTCGGTTAACTGCTGGGAGATGTAATACCTGCAACGGTGCCGAGATCGGTTAAATCGGAGACGGGTTTAGAAAAATAAATCGGGATTTTTCGGATTGAAGCTTACTCGGGATCGAGATAGCCGACGGTTCCTCGAACGACGCTGGACACGTGGGACACTCCATCGACGGCGATTTTCGAAAGACCAAAATCTCCAACCTTAGCTCTCATGTTCTTGTCGAGAAGGATATTGCTCGTCTTCAAATCTCTATGGATGATCGATGGCACGCAGCCGACGTGAAGGTACTCGATTCCTGAAACACGTAGCGAATGATGTTTATTTTTTCCGATCTTTTTTTTTTTTTGAGCTGATTTGATCGATAGATATCGAACCTTTCGCGGCGTCGTGGGCAATCTCGAGGCGCTTGATCCAATCAATACCTTGTCCGCGATCAAATGTCCCTGTCGATATATCCGTATTCAGCTCAGACAACCTTAACCAAATCACAGGAATGTAACCACGATGTTCTTACCGTAAAGGTGCTCCCGAAGAGTCCCGTTATGCATGAACTCGTACACAAGAATGCTCTTTCCCGATTCCTGACAGTACCCGAGGAACTGTACTAAGTTTCGATGGTGTATCCGCGAAAGAAGCGAAACCTGTTTCAGTTGTAATATTAAGACATACGGAAACGAGCAATATCGAAACTTCGACGGCAAGGAATTCAAGATAACGACCTCATTCGAGAACTCCCGTTTCCCCTGAAAAGTATCGTTTATCAAGACTTTGACGGCAATTTCCTTCCCGTCCTTAAATCTCCCGTAGTAGACAACCCCGAAACCTCCCGATCCAATTTTCCTCTCGAAGTTGTTTGTGGCCTCCGCAATTTCGGATAAAGCGAAACAATGTGCAGATTCCGCTGCGGGATCGGCCAGCGACGACGGAGAGCGTTCAGGGAGCAAACCATCGGAAGATTTTTCTACGTAAAGATACGATAAATTAGTACTATCGATTCAACAAAATCACCATCGAAAGATTTTTCTACGTAAAGATATGATAAATTAGTACTATCGATTCAACAAAATCACCATCGGAAGATTTTTCTAGGTAAAAATTCGATAAATTACTACTATCGATTCAACAAAATCGTCTTCGACGTATAGGCTACACCCATCTCACCTTGAGAACAAAGCTTACGAAGAATCCTCTTTAGCGTCGGCAGCAGAAAGAAAGAAGTAATACCGACAATAAGTAGAACACTTCCTCCGGCCAATAATCCGACAAAAATTTTCTTGCGGTTTCCACGATTGTCTCCTTCATGAAGGTCGGGATTTCCTGTGTAGCTGATAGCAAACAGAAAGAAAAAAAGAACATTAGAAAACAAAATTTCCGAGATCAAACATTTCGATGTAAAACATACTCACTTCAAGATCAGATCTTTGGTAAGAAGACGAGGCGGGACTTCTCCAGACAACATATTATTCTGAACGTACCTGCATCGAAGGTAATTCAGACAACACGAAAATTATTAGTCGATAAGTAAGAAATATATATGCTACTAAAAGTTTCTTCAAAATTTTTCAGCAGCATTAACGTAGGATCGTAGCTTAGCTTTTCGAACTTACAGTTCTCTCAAATTCGGAAGATCTGCCAAAGAAGGAGGTAGGCCACCGGTTAAAAGATTATTCTCGATGTGTCTGCCGCATGTAACAAGCCATCATCAGTTGCTCGAAGAAAATAACAGCAGTAAAAACAAGCAAAAAAAGGGATCAGATTAAACTTTACATTATTTTCAAATTAGGACATCCGGAAAAGTCCGGAATCGAACCAGCGAGCGAGTTATTGTTGAGCCATCTGCAGTCAAGATAACTATACACCTTAGCATCACATCTTAATACATCAACAATGGAGGAATCTGCAACTTACAGCTCGACTAGGCCGCCCAACTTCGCAAACTCCCTCGGAATATCTCCGGTCAGATTCTTTCCAGACAGTTTACTACAGATTACAACAAAAGGTTATGATACAGAGATATGAACATATATATATAGTTTGATTTCGAAAAAAAAAAAAAAAAAAACAAAAAACAAAAAGTTTTGTACATGGATGTTATTCTTGGCTGCATATCCGAGCTGCATCGAACCCAAGTCCACGGCGCCGGTACGCACGGGTCTCCGCCTTCCTGCGCCCAATCGAACGATGGATAAGTCACGGCTAAAGCCGCAAGAACCAGACCTGCAACGTGAACGTGTTATTTTTACATCAACAGGTAAAAAAAAAAATTAATCTTTCCACACTTTTAAGATATTTATCGATCAATTCTCACCATCTGCGGAGCCGTAACTTTTTTCAATATACTTATTTATCTCCATGGCATTCAGTAGAGGCCCCTCACTCGAATCAGCTGTCTTCCCGAATCTGAACGACAGAACGAACGGCAGGGAGATGTTGTAATATCCCGGCTCGTATAATCGGTACTTCCCTTGCGCATTCTCTTGGATGTTAACGACAGCCTTGCTGACGTCGGGATTCCCGGGAAGAACAAGTCGAAATTTTCTAGTGCTAGCCGGGGATAGATCTTCGATCTCGGCTAAGTAGGTAAATGCCCAACCGAAACTCGGGAAGCCGTCGAGATTCAACCGATAAGTCAGTGACCCATTCCTACCTACGACTGCTGTCTGCATCACCTTCTGGGGCGGCCATTCGTCTCTCATGACGTCGATCATTTTTACGGTCGATATCTTTTCCGTCCCCGGAGCAACGTCGACGAGGTAGTTTGCTTTCTTGATGGAGTCAGACTGCCATATTCTGTCGAACGGATCGTCGGGATATCTGACGGGAGCATCGCTTTCTGCGCCAAAGTTTATTCGAGCCGAGACACTGAGGAAGAAATCGTTCTCGTACTGATTCATGTAAATCGAACCGTTGAATTGTCGGAGCTCGAGGGTGGATATGAAGGGCTGCCCAGTCGAGGCATTCGACAAACAAACACTGACGGAAGGATCGGTGGCCAGAAAAATCAACTCCTGCGTCTCGATCGTGGTAGAGTCGGAAACGACTATCGTAGCCCAATGTGTCGCTCCGAAGGAAACGTCGAACTTGGGGTAGACATTGTTGTCGTCGAAGTTTCCGTACAAGAAAGTCGATCGTACGAGGTACCGCGTCCTTCTGACGACACTTAGTGTATAGCAATATTTGTTGTCGTCAGCCGGGAAGTATCTCAGCGTCGTGTACTGTCTTCTTGTCTCGTTGGCGACCGAAATCGTTGCAATTTGTCCTCTCGACATGTAGTTATCCGAACTCCATTCGATGCCTAGCTCATCTGTGTGATTATCTGTACCTCCACAGTCGAGACTTACGAAACCTGTGAAGCATCGATTAGATTTAGACATCGAAAGAAGTAAAATTATTCAAGAAATCAATCTCGTTAGACTTCGAATATAATTGAGAAAAAAATGATCGTGAGCTTGGTAAGATGTTTTCTATAAAGCGTTGGAACGGATTTCTTTGCGTTCTTCAATATATTATACCGAACATCTATTTTTTCATTTAAAATATTAAGCGAAAGAATCTACTCTAAAAATTTTACTATTTACATAACAAGATCAAGATTCGAACACTAGAACCTATAATTTCGCTCACAAAGTGACGTCGAAATTACTACATGAGAAATTTTTACTGGCCGTATTGTTATATGTTAACTCAGAAAGTTAACTAACAGAATTTAACCAGACATATAAGATTGAACGAAATAATTATGTAAATAGCCAAAAAATCCAAATCTCTTACAAATTTACGAGAGAGGTTCATAACATAATAGTTGGTTGCCATGAGATCGACCAAGTTACTATAGTCAATACCGTAACACCAACAATCGTTCACGTTACAACTTTTACTGCATCCCGTAAAAACTACCATCCTTCATCGTAGGACATCAATCGTCGTAAAAGAAAATTTTACATAAATGTTAGTATTTTTCTCTAAAGGAAGTTTTACGAATGTAATCCTTCGATATTTTATCATTTTGAATCGTTCATAATCAATATATCAATTTACTAATTAAATTCATTCGCATTTTACCTAAAATTACTAATGTACTACTAATTTATTTTTACCTAAAATTACTAAATTTAATCAATATACTTCTCCAATCTACTTATAAATACTAATACTACTTAATCTAGGTAACAAAAATAAATGAAATACATATATAATTATGTAACCATTAATTATAACATACATTCTTCGGAAAAATATATATATTTTCTTTTAAAATATTATTTAAATAAAAATTCAAACAAGGAAAAATGCCTTAACTCATCGAGATCTAACATTACCAAATCTGCTTATGCATAGATTAAATTACAGTAGCTTCAGCTCAACAAGGTACAGTTAATTCTTAAACCCTTTTTTTTTTCACCATTTTCCAACCACTTAACTTTCTTCAAGAAATTAATGCTTTGCTTAAATTGAAGTAAATTCAGTACGGAATCAAGAAATCAACAAGCATTCGAATCTCAAGAAACACCAAAACACAGAGAAAAAAATATAATGAATAAATAAATAAAAATCAACCTGGAATCTGAGCCATTGATGAATCGACGAGAAGAAGACAGAGTAAATTCGAAAGCGACAGAAACAGCAGTAGAGATCTTGTAGCCCCCATTGTTTTTGTTCCTTCCACTTGGCAATCGACTTCTCCTCTTCTTCAATTGCTTCGAAGAACACCACCACAGCTAAGCATTGGAACGATCCATGTGCTCAGAAAGAGGGGAGAGAGAGAGAGGAGCACCAAAAGTGGAAAAACACAAACATATTAGAGAATATCTGGATAGGTTAAAGATTCTTCTTCTTCTTCTTCGTTATTGTTCGATTTGATTTGATTTGATAATTTGAGGTTGGTTGAATTAGTAAATGGGTGAAAGCGATAAAGAGGGTTTAGGGAATGGCTTTTTCGCTGGAGTTAAAGAAAGCGTGGGAAGGGAAGAAAGGACGCTCTGTCTGCACTGGCACTCGGCAGCTCACCCCCCACTCCCTCTCTCTCTCCCTGCATATATATATATATATATAGAGAGAGAGAGAGGGGGGGTTGTTTGATTTTTTATTTGAAATCTTATTATATAAAAAATAATAATAATAATAATAATAATAATTTAAATAATATTATTGTGTGATAGTATTTTATAATAAAAATAAGTATATTTTAAAAATAAGTTATATAAATTGAGTAATAGTATTATTTAAACATAAATTATTATCTATATTAAATTTGTATTATATTAATTGTTGTGAGCAGTTTTTTTCTTTCATCTATTTTCATTAATAAAACAGAAATATACTATTTCTTCAATGAATATTTTGTCCATTTTAGGGAAGATTAATATAATTGAGTATAATTAAAATTAAAAAAAATTGAAATAAACAAAAATAAAAAAATAAACGTGAGAAATTGACGGAGAAATATAAAAGAAGAAGAATATTAGAATAGTGGTAAAAGTTAAATTTTAAATTTTTTAAATTATGTATTAACTAAAGTAAATTCTTACTACATAGATGTTTTTTTTAAAAAAAAATAACAAAAAATAAAAGTTAATCCTATATCAGAGTTTATTAATTTTTATTCAATTAATTTTTTATTCAATTTTTTTATTATATTAATTTATAATAAAAATTAATTATTTTTAAAATATATTACATTCAAAACTTATTTAAATATAATTTTAGAGTTAAAATATTATGCCAAATGTTTGAAGTTACTTACATTCAAATATATTACTCCCTCCGTCCCATAAATATAGTATTAAATGAATTGGGCACGAGATTTGAGAAATATTGATATTATATTGGTAGTTGGTAAAAGTATCGATAAAAGATTTTTTTGCCTTTGTGAGTATATTAGTGTAAAAAGTAATGGCAATTGTGTAATAAAAATGAAAAAGTAGGAATAGTTTTACGGTGATATGGTTATTTATGAAAATAAGACTATTTTTTTTTAGACAGATAAAAATTATAAACAAGACTATTGTATTGAACGAAAGGAGTATTATTTAAACATAATTTCATAGTTAAAATATTATGTGAAATATTTAAAGTTACTTTAGTCCTTTTTTTTAGTTATTACAAATACAAATAAAACAACATCCATTATTTTGATTAGGACTTATTAATGATTTTGTATTTGTCTTGTTAAGGGTTTGTTTGTTTTTGTTTGTTTGAAAGGTTTTGGTGGACTTTTACTATTTATTTTATTTTTTTTTTCCTTAAAAATATCAAATTAAATATTTATTTTTTATTTTTATATTATACTAAAAATCAATTTTACATTAAAACATCACATAACCTATTTATATCACATCATACAACTATTCAAATTTAAAATTTTTACTATTCAAATTCCAACTCAAAATCCAAACCCCAAAGCAAACACACCCGAAGAGAAATAAGAGCATTCGTTACAGTCGCATTTTTCATTACATTTATCGTTATCTTTTCAATTTTTAGTATAACAAAACTCATTTCCTTTAATAAGAAAACACAGTTATCAAATTGTATTACATTTATCAAGAACTCATTACTTTCAAAAAATTAAAATTAAAATTAAAAGCTATCCAAAAAAAAATTTAATTTCAAAAATTGAAAGTTTAAAATTAACATAATTATTTATAAATATATTTAAATTTTATTAACTAGTTCTCTATTTTTTCATATTCAATTAAATTAAATGATTAGTAAAAATATTAATCTTTTCAATTGTGCTTAAAATTAAATTATTGGACACAATATTTTATACATGTAATTTATATTACGATTTTTTATATTATTTTTAATTCATATATATATATATATATATCGATTTATTTTTAATAATTTCAATTATTAAAATTTATATAGATTGATAATCAAATAAGCATGTATGTATATACTATAAATATTAAATTAATAAGTACGAATATAAAAAATTTAAAAACTACGACTTGACATATCAATTAATCTTCGACTTTTTTAGAAAGTATCACTGTATCACCAGCTTCTCATCTCTCTTCTTAAATCCCAAATTTTGATCTTCATATCAGCCTAAAATTAATTGTCTTTTCCAATTTATCTTCCTTCGGAATTTTGACAATTTTTTGTACCTCAAATCAATTTTTTTTTTTCCTTCAAATCAAAATACAAACATCCACACCCCAAAATTTTTATTATTTTGCACAAGCATATATATATATATTCTTATTTTACACTATATTATAATAAAGAATTTTATACACCTAATAATATATCACTATTTTTATTAAATTTTCAATAAATCTCCTAGGTAATAAATAACTTTAAAATACAAAAATTTAAAAACTTAAGCATTGTTGGGGAGTTCCCAAAAAGAAAACCACCCTCCAAAAATAGGCGTATGCCGCTTGAATGTGACAAGCACACGGTATTCTTTAGTAAAAGGCGAAAGAATAGTTCGCTTTGTGCTTATCACGCGGCTGCATGCTTTTTCATTGGAAATGGGCGTCTGTATTTATAGCTGCTTCTGACCTCCGCTCTGGCTTCTCAACCGATGTGGGACAAAAGATTTGCATCTCAATATTGTGTATTTTAATAGACTAATATTATCAGTTAATCGCTAGTAAGGTTGGTACGGACTGCGTTGTGTAAAAAGGCCCAGGCCCACCTCAACAATTCAATTTATTTATTTATTAATTATATATATATATAATAAATTATAATTTGGATTGTATTTATAGAATCAATTTTGTAATTTTTAACTTTAAAAGAGTTGTAAGAAATTAGAGATACATATTCAATTTTTATTTTTATTTATAAACTACAATGTTTGAAAGTCAATTTAAGTGATAATACTCCCTCCACCTCGTTGGAAGGGTGGCGTTTTGTTTTTTGCATGTAAATTTTTTAAGATTAGTATTATATTGGATTATAGTGAAAAAATACAATAAATATCCCTATTAGTATGGTGTAATATAAAAGTAATGATATTTGTGTCATATATTGTAAGTTAAAAATGTATTTATTATGTTAACTAGGTAGTACAATTACTAAATTAGAAAATTGTAACCTTGTTTTAAGACGGACAAAAAAATGAAAAATGGTAACCTTTCAATGGGACTGAGTGATTATTAATTTTAAGTAAGGGTATGTTTCTTTAGGGGAGTTTGGGGAAGTTGGGATTGGGTTTGGTTTTTATTTGAATTTTGAGATGAGTTTGGATTTTGTTGTTTCTTTTGTGTTTGTGTTTGGGTTTGGTCGGGGTTTAGGGAGTTTTGATGTGTATTGATTTGATGGATAATGAATAAAATAATATAAATGTGTATTAATTTTAATTGATAAAATTTATATTGTACGATTTTATTATGAATTTATATTATACCCAACATATATATATTTAAATTTTTATTTATTTGTATTATAAAAAAATTTATTATTTACAAAATGACATATATATTGTATATATATTTTTTCATTTAATTATAATAAATATTAAATAAAATTTTAATAATAATAAAAAAAAAACAGGGGCCAAATACCCTTGGAGTAACATGCCCTAAAATAAGATTGTATTTTATTTTGGATTGAGTTTAAATTTTTTTATTTTAAATTTAATTTAAATAATATTTTGATTTGATATTTTAAAAAAAATAATAATAATATATTTTTATTAAAATCATATAAATTTGAATTTAAAATAAAAAAATCAAACAAACTCTAATTCTAATTGTTAGTATGTAATAATTATACACACATATACAAATATATGTTCCATTGAGTCCGACAGTATGATAAATAAAATAAAAAAATAAAAAAAAAACTATTATGTATTTAGATATGTTTTTTTTAAAAAAGAAAAAGAAATACTAAAAACTAATCATACAATAGAAAGCAAATAAAAATTATTTTTTATTTTACAATTCCTACTCCCGGCCAAGTGCATGATTTTGTATTTGGAACTTTTATAAAAAAAACTTTGAATGTAATATAGTTGAAAATACTCTTAAATTATTAAAATTACTCAAAATAACATTAAGTTAATATAAAAATATTTTTCTATAAAATTTTTATAATTTATTTTTCATTTTTATTAATTATATTTAAAGATTTTAAATTATATTATAAAAAATATATTTTTAAATTTTAGTTATTTATATTTTAAAATTTTAATTTAAGGATAATATATAAAATAAAAATAAAATTTACAGTCCAATATTAAATTATCTGTATTTTGAAATTTTATACATTACATTAATAATTTTAGTATAACTAAAAAATTTATATGCTCTTATTTAAATTTTGTATCTTGATTATAATTTTAAAATTTAATTAAAATAATATATAAATTAAATATAATATTAATAATAATTTTTTTATTAAAATATATATATTTATATTATATATAAATTAATTTTTTATATTATATTATTGTTATTATTATTAAGGATAAAATAATAGTTTCAAATTAAAAGTGTTTTTGTTTATCTCATCTCAGAAGCTACTATGAAAATGATTATAAAAAAAATATTTTTCAACTTAAAAAATTGCTTCTGGTTTTAGACATAAGTCAATGCAAATAGGTAAAAAATATTTTTTTGTAGAAACAGAAGCCGAAACTCTTGCCAAAGCCCATCCAAACGAGGTTTATATGTTTGACTTATTTCATTACCTATAATTTCTACTTTATGTGATTTCTTTTATATAGAAGCGAGAAACTGATTTATTTATATTTTGATTTAAAATAACATATTAATTTAAATATTTGCTTAACTAATATTTTGATCTGATATTTTTTTCCAAAAGAATAATATATTAAAAATAAATAATACTATTAAATTTGATTTGAAGTTGCGAAAAAAGACAAACCCAAATAGTTCTCTACATTTTCCACTCCTTGTTATTTCTTTTAAATACTTGGACATATCTTCCCCCAATACAATTGATGCATTTTAGTATTTTATAAATAATAATACAATAAAATATTAAAAAACAGTTCTTAAACATATTTTTTTAAAAAAATTAATATATTACAGTCATTTTTTATTTTTATATTACTTACACGTATCTCACATAAAAAAATATATATATATTTTTCAAACAATCCCACTTAACAAACATATTCTTATTTTTTTAATGATTTTATTTGTAACAATAAAATATAAAAGTATTTTTTATTAAAATAAAATAAAATAAAATAAAAAAACACAAAGAAAAAAAATAGGAAGTAAGTAAGTACATCCATATCGTTGTTATATATCTTATGATCACTAAGGTATGTTTCTTAGATTAGGATTGACAAAATTTGACTGAAAATCTATATTCAACTCATATTTGATTGTGTGTTTTATAAAATATACTTGCTCGGAATGTAATCATTTGTAGATGAAACAATACTTAAACTAGGAATGACAAATTAATTCCAACTAAACCTAACATGTAATAATTAGGTTTGACTTGAGATTTTTTACTCCTTGGGTCAAACACATCTTACAAAATTAAGATTAAAGAAAAGAAAGGGTTATTATTTTATGAAATTGTTGAAAACGAATTTTTTTTTCAATAAAAAGTATAAGAAATCTATAACAAAAAAATTTATGTAAACTATAAGAAATCTATTAGAAATAGTGAATGTATTTAGTATATTAATTTTTTACAAAAAAAAAAAAAAAAAAAACGTGTGAAAATATATTCGTGTTTGTATTGTATATTGTTGTGTAGTATTTATATAGTCATATTAGTTTCATAATATGAATAAATAATTTTTGTTTTAATATATATTATTCATTTCAAAATTTTGTTAGTAAAAATTGTAATTTTAAACTTAAACAAGTTAATATGAATAAGATTGCAACTATTAACCCATTTATTAAATAAGTTAACTTCGGATCAAAGATTTTCTAACCCGTATATAGATGACCCAAAACCCAAACCCGAACCCAACCTACTTCATTTGCCAGCCCTACTTTAAACACACAAAATCCAAACTTGAAAACCTTTAAATAGAGCTGGCCAAAATCTAACACACCACAAAAACCCAACACAAAATCATTGAACTTGAGCCAAGAATTTCCACACAATTATGTATCCAGGTTCATATATATACTTATAAAGCACACAAGTGTGTACAGCTTATTATTACCCTTTCGAGAATCATATTCAAAAAATTAAATTAAATTAAAGTACATGTTCATTTTTAAATCATCTGCATATTACCATTTCTTAATTTCATGCTTTCACACGAAGTATTATATACTTCTTTAATAAAATAGCAGTGTACGATGAATATACCAGTTCAAAGCGTGCCAAAATAATTCCACCAAACCATGTGACAGAATTATCAAAACAAAATTGTAACACACAAGATTATAGGCCTAATGCAGAAGAAATCCACACAACTTATAACAAAGTCACATCAGAAAGCAATGGGCCAAACAAATCAATCAAAATGCAAAAGGAAAAAATATAATATTTTAAAATAAAGTCTCAACAATTCTGTTTTAAAACTAACACCACAGTCGAGCAGCAACAAAACCAGAATGCAAGTGCAGTAAACTCCCACATAACAGATGATTGTAAAGGTGTCTAAAACATCAACACTCCAAAAACAAAATTTAAATATGAAGGTTCTAAAATGCATGAATATTAAAAGACAGTTTATTGGGAGACACCTAACCACTTGGAGAAATTTTCAAACTCGGTGTAGTCGCTGTCGGATATCATCGTCTTGTACCATGCTTTTCCGGCAGTTTGAATTGCTGAAGCCTCTTCCTGCAAACATATCAAGAATTGGAATGATCAAAATGCTGTCGAATTTGAAACATCTTCCATGAAAAAATTCAGAAGACCATAACCAAATGTTACATATCAAACAAATTCAACAATCGCACTGAAACAATTTTAACTAATTGTCAAAACAAGAAAGATTACAGCAATCACTTTAAATGAAACCTAAAGGTCGTCACGATCCTAACAAACAATTTTTGCAACATACCAAACAAGAATTGCATTGGGAATTAACTATATATCAAAGTCAAATAATATTAGACAAGCCTGGATGAATCACAAACACTTTTCATCCCATTTTTTTCCGCCAAAAACATCAAATCTAACACCTATTTTTCATTTTTTATATTATACTAAAAATCAATTTTACATTCAAAACATCACATCAACACCTATTTATATCACATCATAGAACTATTCAAATTCAAAATATTTACTATTCAAATTCCAACTCAAAATCCAAACCTCCACACAAACACACCCTTGATCAAATCAAAAGATCGTAACCAGATGTTACATAGTCCACACAATTCCAACAAACAATGTATGCTACAGATACCAAACAAGAAAGATCAGATTATCCTAAACACATTATAATTTGCAGTACAATTCATATCTCGGTGAAAGGAAGCTAATTAAATATCATAACATAATGTAAACAAGATTAAACAATACTGATGAATCACAAACACTGTAAAGGCCCAATTTGGGTTGTTAAATCTGGATTTGAGATTGAATTTTAAATTAACATATTTGAATGACTTCAGATTTAAGATAATATGGTTTGGCTGCAAAAAAGTGTCCCAAAATAATGAAGAGTTTGACTTTGAAATCAAAGAAACTAATGGATTTAAAATTCATTTATCCCAAGTCCCTCAATGCAAACGGGGCCTGAATAGAAATGGCTAACAGATGGACAGCAAAATTTGATTAAGCAGTAAAATCATAAGCACCATTCACATAAAATTGTGCAATAATAATATGAAATATATGTATAACAGATTATACCAACATCAATAATATGTAAAAATTTAAAGATCACCAATACCTTGCTGAGTTTCTTCCTCTTGCTATCAAGCTTCTCCTTCTTGGCCTTAACCCTCTGTGCCTCAGCCAATAGAGCCATCCTCTTAGCAGCCTGGGCGTACGGATTCAGCTTCATCATAACATTCAAATTCTTCAGAGGATTCTTCTTCAGAGGCGCCCTCTTAATCTCCTTCTTAATCGGCTTCACCACAGACTGGACCTCATCGGAATTGATAATTCTCGCAAGATCGGCATTAACCATTTTGGTCCTCGGCAGGAGGTATCCCTTCTTCTTCTCAGAAGGCTTGTCGAATGTGCCGTAAATCTCATCCAACTTCTCGAAAGCAGATTTTGTCCAGATTATGAACCTTCCGAGATGGCCTCCCGGAGCAAGCTTGAGCAGATTCAGGCGAGAAACATGAGTGATGTCCACGCCGGGGATGTTGCGGAAAGCTTTCACCAATTTCGCACCCTCGGTTCCGTACACGATGAGTGGACCTTTCCTGGAAATGTATCGGCGGTTACGCATCTTACCTTTGCCAGGGCGGATGGAATGGCTGTCCTTCGCCTTCTCGGCGTCGGTGAAAGCTCCGATTTGCTTGAGGATTTTCAGAGCAGCGTTAGTTTTCTCGACAGCCTCAGCAGAATCGGAGACAACCAGAGGCAACTCCGGGACCTCCTCGATCTTGTGTCCACGAGCAAGGACTATCGAAGGAACAGCAGAGGCGGCGATCGCCGACACGACGGCGTGGCGCTTCTGAGTGACGTTGACGCGTCTGTGCCAGCGGCGCCAGATCTTAGTCGGCGCAAACATCCTTCCACCACGGCACATGTTACCGAAGGCTCCCTGCCCTGCGCGGTGCGTACCGCCGCCGGGAACTCTGGGGATACGAGACACGGCGCGTCCGGTACCCCAGGACTCGGCGGAGGTCTGGTGGCCGGCGCGCTTCGAAACTGCGTACGGCTGACGCGCGTTCTTCGAGATCTGACCATGGACAAAGGTAACCAGGTCGGGGCGGATGCCTGCCTTCAGGACATCGGGAAGAGGTACGGTGTTTCCGGCGGCGCCTCCATCAGTGGCCATGTCATTCTCCAGCGGTTGCACGGTGACCAGAGGACGGGCGGCGGCGGCCATTTCTTCGGGCTGGGAGGTGAGGGGACGATTCGCTAGGGTTTTGGGTTGATCTAAATTAGGGTTACGTTAAACGGTGTATATATATGTGATGCCCTAATGGTATTGTGGGCTTAAAATGGGCCGTTTGCTATAAGGCCCGGCTGAAGCCTATAAGATACGCCGCTGAGATAATTTTATTCAATATTTTTAATTAAATCACAGATTTGCCATTTATTCAACTTGTAACAACAAAACATTCTTCGGTCCAATTTGGATTAATAAAACTTGCATATCAATTAAAAGCTAGTTTCATCTTACTTTCTCTTATAAGCATAGCAACCAATCAAATATACCACTAAATATTACTCCCTCCAGTGAAAATAATAATTATTTAAGAAAAATATTTTTAAATTAAAATTAATATAACTAGTTACTATAATTAAAATTTAAAAAAATTAAATTAAAAATTTTAAGATTAAAGTTATAATACTTTTGAAAAAAAGTGACAGAATATTTGTATAAAACACTATATATTCTATAAAATACTACTCCCTCCGTCACTAATTATAAGAATATATTAGTAAAAATAATTATTTTATAATATAAATAATTATAAATTAAGATAAAGATAACTAATTAATTTAATAAAAATTAAAAAAAATACAAAATTTAAAAATTTAAAATGAGATTAAACTGTGTAATCATTTTCCAAAAAAAAATTGACATGGTATGTGAGACGGACAAAAACGGCAACGTGGACATGGTATCTAGGATGGAGGGAATATATAATACATAATTCTTACATAATTCAGCAAAGTAACCACGATATATATAATACCACTCATTTTTACATTATTGTCAAATTAGCTTCCACATCAAGCCATAATACATGTAAAACGAGAATCCTTCCAAAAAAACAAACACATGCTAATGTAAATACAGAAATTTATTTTGAATCAAGTAGATTTAAAAGTACACAAGCGAACAAACCATCTTCGACATATTACTATCTACAGAGCATTATAACACAGCAGTAACGGAAAGGAATGTAGTCACAAATTAGCTACAAAAACTAGCTTCACTATAGTACACTCTCTCCCGAACAAAATTGAAACGCGATGCCGGAAAATGCAGGCGCGTCGCTAAAACATCCAAACCTAAAGCATAACATTACAATCATGTCGAGGAAGAAGAGGAAGAAGAAGGCGGACATTATGACAGGGATGAGACAGAGGAATGACGACGAATCATATGTCTGAGCAAGGACTAGAAGAAATTAGTCAACTACCTGTCCGAGTAACCTGAGGAGCCTCTTTGAGCTGCTGCAAGTTCTGTCTCATATATACATACACATATACATACATATATGTATTTCATGGCGACTGAGTGTTCAAGCTAGGAGATTGATGTGAAGCACATTTATGGAGGTGTAGTTATAATTACAGGTTTCATGAAGAATTTGGCGAATAACTAATCGTTATTCAGCGCTGATGGCTGTTCCGGGAGACGACACCATCGTTTTGGGACTGACATCATATGACGATAGAACTTTCCTCTGCAGGAAAACAAGGAGACATCATTTGTTAGTGAAAAAAAAGTATTGTCAAAAATGTTACCAAATAGGGAGAGGTGGGAAAGAACCTAAAAGGCTCTGTTTACTGGAGTTTGGCTTCGGTTTCCTTAAAATATATACTATTTTCGTCCGGCTCTAAGGGTTCTATTTACCTTTTGCGTGTTGATTTTTTAATATTAATTATTATATAAAAACGTAGTACAAATTAAGAGAAAAATGACAAAAATACTTCCATTAGTGTCTTATAATACTATTATAAGGACATTTGTACAAAAAATTATAAGTATAAAGATATTTTTAATGTTAAGTATAATGACGCAAAAGGTAAATGAGACCCTTAGAGCCGGACGGAGGGGGTACTATTTTCTTTCACAAAATATTGCATCTAAACTACTATTCGAATCAAAATCCCAAAAACCAGACCCCAAACAAACCTTTAGATTCACTTGAAATTCGAACGAGCTGAGAATGCGCATTAAGTAAAAGTAGATAGATAGATGAATTGAAGACATGAAACAGTGAAATAATTTTGACATGATCATTCATGTGCATGTCTTTTTTACTTTTTCTTTTTTTTTGCACATTAATGTAAACTAATTTAATGTTGAACGATATGAGAAATTAATTTCTACTGCTTGCAAAAATTCTTAGGCAATGCCAGTAAAAAAAATCCATATGGACAAAAGCCTGGATATCAGGTAAAGGAGAATGCTTACAATTGGATCGAAATCGGGGCTTGACAAATTGATGGTAAGGTTTCTCATCAATAGCAGGACCTGCATTTCGGAAGAAATCAAACTCAATGCATACATTTTGCCACAAAGATAAAAGCTTAAAATTCCAGATCAGACTGCTAATCTGCAGAAAAGGCAAGAAACCAAACTCAAGTAAATCTCCGTAGGACTAAACGAACATCAAACAGGCTTGTACTTCATCCTCACCCATACCCCACACCCTGTGAAATTCCATTATATATACAGTTGGTTGCGTATCTTCTCAATTATGCTATATTGTATTTCCTCCGTCCGTCAAAATTTTGCAGTTTTGTGTGAGAACGAAGACTAATAAATAATGATATTATATATAAAAATGAGCATGTAAAAAGTAAGTTAGGGTATATGGAAGTGAGAGTGAGTATGGTTCAATTTGTGGTGGCAACAATAAAATCGTGGTTACGTAAAATTTTGTACTATAAATGAATTATTTATAAGTTTAGCGGACAACAAAAAAAAAAAAAATTCCGAACGGAGTAAAGAGGCTAGACTTAAATAGTGTAGTTCAAAAAGGTGTTATAGTTGTCAAACGTACCCTATTTTTAAAGAAAAGTGTGCATTTTCCGTCAGAAACCAATCAATGTCAATTGAATTAAAACTCACTGTTTCAAAACTAATGGGATCCATCTCCTTGAGTTTTTGCACATGATCTTTACTCTCCGGGTCAAAGACACTTCCAATGAAGCTATATACTTCAGCAAAATTAGGAATACCTGATAAGACATTATACGAATCAGTACAAACTCCATCTATCATATAATTGTATGCAAGTCCTATTGATAATTTGCATTCAAAGCCATTTGCATATATCTTTTTCATAGATAACACATAAAGTAAAGATAAAATGAGTATAGCTACAGATCCTCAATCACAGAAGAAACCCGATTGAAGACAACATGTGCACTGCACTTCTATGTTCAGAATGAAGATGCTTTAGAAGTACCATGGCCGAAGATGCTAAGTTCCATACTGGAGTGCAAGAGCAAGTCGATGCTGTTTTTTTAAAAAAAAAAAAGAAAAAAAAAGTGTACAAATTCCCTATGCAATGACATATATGTGTACTCTTTTTAGCATGAAGGAAAGAATGTGAAAGACAAGAGCAACCACTAGAAGGTTTCCATCCCGGCATAAAATAAGCCTATGTGAGTCAGTGCCCAACAATGCCGTGCTAATTTGAAGGCGATAATGGGAAGACAATAAAAATAAAAAACAAAGATGAATAAATGTAGGTACTTAACCAAAATGCTTAAGTTTACCATGAGGTGTAGAAGCTTGCTTGCCCTGTTTTGAAAACTCCAAACTTGGCAATGCTCTTGGCGAACTTCCAAAGCCACTTACACTGCAGTTACTAATCCTTGATGATCCCTTTGATCCAATATCAGCTGAATCAGTAACGCTTTTATGTCATAATAAGAGTAGAAAAGATCCCTTTTTTGACAAGTAAATTTCTGGGTTGGGCTTAAGATAAGCAAACAAGTAAATATATATGCATTCTCTGAGTTTTACACTGCACTTATGCAAAATTAGGATAGAGAAATTATATATATATATATATATATGTAAATATACCTTCAACTCCTAGAAAATTGTATTCGTTTTCAGAGAGCATGGGCCCAGAGGATATGTTATTTATAAGCATTGATGCATCATCCCAAGCCGGATACCCAGCTGCAAGGGAATTTACGGATGAAGAAGGATAAGCTGCTGATGCTTGTAGTGGAACCATAACCGACACTAACAGCAATGAGAAGCAGTAAGTTTTAGTTTACATAGGCACATACATATATGGCAATCATCAAAATCGTTTCACCCAGCTTATAGGAGACAAACCATTTTTGGGAGCCTTCTGTGGATATGGATGAGAAGCTTTACGCTTTGGGCGAGGTGGAGGAACATGAGCCACTGTTCCATTCTTCTGAACCTTTAAAAAGTACTTCTGCGCATGACTTCGGATCTACAATTAAAAATTTTGTAACATTATTATCTTACATTGTTTTTTGGTGAATTTTAAGAAATGAAAATCTTATGAAATACTCCATGAAAACAAAAGGCAGTGCCATGAATAAGCATAAATTGCATGATAGACCCTAATGTTTTATAAAAAATATACAAATTACTCTATATTTTATTTATTATATGAAATCCATTTGTGTTGCTATATAATCTGGCATAGGAAACCCCAAAATAACAATGGGTAATAAGTCTATGATTCTTAGTCGTCATTATGAAATGGGTATTTTATGCATACTTTATGTTAACACAAGAGGATTCTATATACTCCATTTGTCTCCTAAAATTGTGCTTACTTTTATTCTTTATTTGTCTGCTAAAAATGTTATCATTTTCATATTTAAATTAAAATCATAACACTTTCTGTATTGTTTTTATAAAAAAGGAAAAAATAACAAAAGGTACACACAAATTACATAACACTTTCTGTATTGTTTTTATAAAAAAGGAAAAAATAACAAAAGGTACACACAAATTAAAACTGTGTCCAAAAATTTGGACACAATTTTAAGAGACGAATGACGTAATAAATAAAGTATAGAGTGCTCCGTGTTTTTAACAAAACACATGGGTGAGTAAGATAGTTTACCCGTAAATAAATAATCAAACAAAGTCTCATTTACTATTCAACCAATCTTGGTCGCCATATATAAGGTTTGTCCATCCAATAATTTTCTCACTAACACAATTACTCTTAAATATTACCAAAAAATATAATATATATACAAAATTTACACAATATATTTAATATATATTGATATATATTCTATCTATTCACAAGAACTCAAATATTTAACACAAAATATTGTTTTTCATATTATGTACATTATTCCCCATAACTAAGACAAAAAAATACATTCATACAAATAAAACTCAAAATGAATAGACCCATAATTTTGAGGCTCCTGACTTATATCCTTGATCTGTCAACAAATTTTCTGTCAATTCAAGTTCCAGGGCCCCAGTTCCATACAGTGCAATGCAGCCAAATAGTTCACTACTTCTCTATACAAGGAGAATACCCAACTCAAAATACTCTTTTTATCGTATACTAATACCAAAATACCCTTTAACTATTATTTAAATTACAAAATATCATTATAGTATTACACGTACAATTATATACCCTTTAACTTTTACTTAAATTACAAACGTATCATTACACATACAATTAGTTTATACATAAAATCAAAGACAAAAATGCCAAAATTTATGACTAATCAATAAAATACTATTATTTTTTAGTCTATTACAAAACCCCAAATGACTCATATGGATTGAGGCAGAGGGAGTATTATCTTTTAACAGTAAGGATTTCCACTCACTATCAGTATACAAGTATCAGATAGTTTAAATTGCTGAAAAACATAGTCAACATTCAGTAAGAAGGTATGAGAATATGAGCTCACCTGAATCACTGTCTTCGAGCCTACAAAATCTTCAATTTTCTTCCAATCACGATCAAACCTGAAGTTCATATCACAAACAGAGTAAAGAGCTGCACAAACACACCCCTGATTCAAAAAAGATAAAAATGCAAACACCATTAAGTTTCAGAAAGTGCCAGAAGAAAACTATCAATTATGTTCTTCCTCCATAATCACAAACTCATAAAACTCACCGCATCATAATTTTTATCCAATGTTCTTACACCGAAATTAATCTCTCGTCACTAGTTGCCATGAAATTGAAAAAATAAAATAAGAATTCAATCCATCAGAAATCATTTTCAGCTTCTAAGTATTTTCTCTAAGCCTGAACATCCAGTAACCAGATCCTAAACCGGCGCGAGACTGACAAAAACTTCCAGAAACCTGAAACTACAGCAAATTCGATGTTCGGAAGACCAAAACAAGCGCTGGATCGATCAAATTATACAATAACGCTAACCAACCAATTAGAACCGTACATCCGACAGTGGAAGTAAAAATGGAGAGACTTAACAGTTGTAGTGCTTCGAGGAACTTGTCATGCTCTTCTTCCGTCCAGCTCTCTCTGGACTTGGTAATGGTGTATGGCTTGCGGACCTTCTTGCCAGAGGCGTCGGCCGGCTGCGGCGGGGGAGGCGGAGCAGGCGGAGGATTGGATGAGGTCGGATTCATGTATGGCGGAGGAGATCGGGAGGGAAGGAGGAGGTTCGTGTGGTCGTTAAGATGCGGTTTTGACAATAGCACTAGCTGGCTTCATTTTGGGCCTTTCAAAATTTTCAATTAATCGTGCCTCGTAGGTGAGGACAGTGTCGGAGAAGGGGAAATTATTGGGTGCGACGCATGTAATTTGAGTTTATTTCCATTTCCCGTGGTTCTGACACGTGTAATTTTAAAATTAATAAATAAATAATACTATTTCCAACTTTAAAGGTTTTATTTTTTTGCATATTAATTTTTTAATATTAATTATTACATCAAAATATAATATATCAAAGACATGTGTAAAAAAAAATATATATATAAATATAAGAATATTTTTAATGTTAAGTTCAATGAAAATGAAAGATAAATATGACCCTTAAAAACGAGGCAGATGAAAAAGTATACTTTTTCAGTTCAGGGTCATGATTCAATTTTTTACGTGGTGTTGTTAATTAGTAAATTATTAATAATAAATTATGATATTAATTTATTTATTTTTATTTGAATAATTTTGCTGGTATTTTAAATATTTTTAGTATTACATTTCACCAAAATATAAAATATGGATATTATTTTATAATTAATAAAATTTTATATAATACAAATAAATAAAAAATTTATATTTATTATTTATTATTAATTTAAAATTAATTTTGTGAAAAAATAAAATAAAATTTTAAATATAACTAAAAATATTTATATATTGAAAAGAGATATATACATAAATAAATTTTGAATGGATCACTTATATGGGACAAGCTAAAAAAGAGGTCATCTATGGTTGCACGAATGAATATTTTATACTTCTTCCGTAGCTAAGTAGTCATTTATTTTTTCCGTATTGATCTTTGAATATTAATTATTATTTCAAAATGTATTACAAATCAATGGAAAATGATAAAAATATTTTTATTAGTATCTTATAATACTAATATAACAACATTTGTACAAAAATTGTACAAATATAAAGATATTTTTAATATTAAATATAATTATATAAATATTAAGTAGATACTTTGTCATGGTAACGAGGGATTACTTGAAAAAAAAAAATTTGTTCATCCAACAACAAAATGTTTTTAGTGAGGTTTGAGTGTGTTCTGTTTTAAATACATATTTTCTAAAATTTATATTTTTTTCAAAAAATTAATACAATTATTTTTATGTTATTTAAAACAATTCTCTGTTTATCATATATATATATATAAAAATAGTATTTCTTTAAACCATTTTATTTGTCAAGCAAATTTTTAGTTTTGAAATTAAATTTTAAATAGATTTAATTATTTAATGTGATATAAATATGTTATAATATAACTTTAAATAAAATTTAATCTCATGATATTATAACGAATAAAAATAATTATCTAATTTAATTTTCTTATAAAAAATATAAAATAATATTATTTCCGTATGATTTTAAGGATCTTATTTACTTTTGCATATTAATATTGAAATATTAATTATTATATTAAAATATAGTACAAATTAAGAAAAAATTACAAATCCACAAGGTTAAAACAGTAAATATAATTATATTGAATCCACGTGTATGTGAGCTCGGGTACAGTGGATCGCGCCCCTACCCGCCAAAGAAAAGAGTGGGACCCACTAGCATTTGGTCATGATGTGAACGTGTATGTGTCACCAATCCACAACTTTCTTACGGCGGCCCCCACATCGTACCCACGGTCGGATCGTCGTAGATCGGACGGACGAGAATGACTGCGGCAACATGTGGTTTTGCGATGGTATCGCCATGTGACAGAACCTACGCGAGGCGGGACCCGAATGCCCGGTTCAATTGACACATGGTGACATTAGGTCCTCTCAAACATGGGCCGTTAATGGGCCTTCAAAAATGGGCCTCGGGCTTTTATTGAGGCCCAAATGATGGCACGATCATACATAGCAGTCTATGGTCATTATGTCCTCTCAGACATGGGCCGTCAAAACGGGCCTCAGGCTTTAAATGGAGGCCCAATTAAGGAGACGCTTATACACAACAGTCTATGGTTATAATGGGTTTGTTTACTTAGGGTGTGTTTGTTTGGAAGATTAGATTTTCAATTCACTATTTATCCTATTTTTTTCTCCCAAAAATATCAAATTAAACACATATTTTTTATTTTTTATATTATACTAAAAATCAATTTTACATTCAAAACATCACATCAACACCTATTTATATCACATCATACAACTATTTAAATTTAAAATTTTTACCATTCAAATTCTAACTCAAAATCCTAACCCCCAAACAAATACACCCTTAGTGATTTTTTGATTAATTTATTTTTTATTTAGTTATAGATAATCATGTCGGTAATATAAAAAATACTTATTGAAAAGTTGATTTTTGTGAGTGAATGATATATACTCCCTCCGTCCAATTTTTATTGTACTAAATATATGTGTACGGTTTTTTTAGGTAATTGTTTATTTGGCATGAAGTGAAAAATTTATCATTTGTGATAAAGTAGAGATTAAATGTGATAAATAAATGAATGATAAAAAAAAAAAAGAAATTCTATTTTAAAAAAAAATATGACAATAGTTATTAGACGTTTCAAATAATAAAATAAAACGTTAGTTTATGAACGAAAAAAAGCATATATTATATATAATGTATTAATATATGTATATATTATATTTTTTAAATAATATTTATAGAGAATTATAACGATAAAAAATGCAATGTCAACAAAATGAATGTCCTCTCAATCTTGGACCACTAATGGGCCTTCCAAATGGACCACTAAACATTTTTTTTTTTTAAGGTTGCTTTGTGTAGGGAGTTTTTTTATACTTTTTTTTTTAAAAAAATAAATTTATTAAATCAAATGTTTATTATTTATTAAAATATTGTATTAATATTTATTAACGTTATGTAAAATGATAATTTAAATTCAAATGATAATATTGTATTAATATCTAAATGGTAAAAAAAATATTTCTTCCATTCCTTAACAAATTATCTATCTGTTATTCTATTTTGGTTAGTCTCATGTCAAAATATTTATTTCATTTCTTTAGTAATTGTAATATATACATAACATTACAAATTATTTTACAACTTACAGTATATTACACAAATGTCATTATCTTTATATCACACAATAATAATAAAATTATCTTAATCATTTCTACTTTATTTCTAGTACATTATAATATAATACTAATATTTCTAAAACCTCCTGTGAAAAACAAACGTATACATAGATATAAAATATAGGGAGTATTTTTAGTTGTAACAGTGAAGTTATAAATTTCAAAATAAAATAATTCTAAAAACTCAATTTATTAAAAAGTAATGATATAATATATTTTTTATATCCACATTTTCAAAATATAAATTAATTTAATTTAATTTAAATTTTTGAATATTTGTGACATTTGAAATATAGTCATATTACTTATAATACTATTTCCCTCTTATAAAAAGATCACTACTTAACATCAAAAATATTTTATATTTATATAATTTATTTTAAAAACATTATTATATTATAATTTATTTATTCATATTATTATTATTATGTTTTCTTAAGGTTTGGTAAAATTTTGGTTTGAATTTGATATTAAAATAAAGTTTGATGGAATATTTTGTGAGAAGAAAAAATTTAAATAGTAAAATTTGAAAAATTTGGGTCAAAGAAACATAGCCATATACTCACCCCGTCCCAGATACCATGTCCACGTTGTCGTTTCTGTCCGTCTCACATACCATATCACTTTCCTTTTTTAAAAAATGATTACACACTTTATCTCATTTTAAATTTTTAAATTTTATTTTTTTAATTTTAATTAAACTAATTAGTTATTTTAATCTTAATGTATAATTATTTATATTATAAAATATTTTTTTTCACTAATATATTTTTAATTATCTACTAATTACAACTATCCTAAAATATCGTGTCTACAGTATGTCAGACAGTATCTGGAACGGAGAGAGTATTATTTTTAATGTTGGGTGGCACGTGGTGTGCAATAACTTCACCTACCATTCTTTATTTTTAAGGTTAAAATCTAATTAAGTCAGAAAAATAGAAAGCGACCCCTCCCACAAAATAGAAAAGATATGGATAGTGGGGTCCACTAGGCATTAAAATAAATGCGAGTAATAACAACTTTCTTCATTCAACTATCATTTTTTTTTTATTGCAATCTTTTAAAATAATAATAATAAAAAATATTAAAAAAAGTAAAAAATAAATCAAATATTCATTATAAAAAGTAAAAAAATATTAACAAATAATATATTCAATTGAAAATAATATTTAGTCTGTCTCAAAACTATAATCTTATTTAAGGTTTGACATGGGATTTAAAGTATATTGATATTATATTTATATTGGTGATCTGTAAAAAATATGAATAAAAGATTTTTTTGCCTTTGTGAGTGTATTAGTATAAAAAGTAGTGACATTTGTGTAATAATAATGAAAAAGTAAGGATAATTTTATGGTGATATGAATATTTATGGAAATAAGAGACTATTATTTTGGGACGGACACAAATAGCAAATAAGACTATTGTATTGGGACGAAGGGAGTATACTAATCTGCCATCTTCTAAAGGTTTCATTTATTTATTATTATTATTGTTTTAATATTTGAATATCAATTATTATATAAAAACGTAGTACAAATTATAAAAAATGACAAAAATATTTCTATTACTGTCTCATAATATTATTATAATGATATTTTTGCAAAAAATATACAAATATAAAAATATTTTTAATGATAAGTACAGTAATGTAAAAGATAAATAAAATTTTTAGAGCAAGACAGAATAAATATTTTATATTTTTAATATAATTTTTCGTAAAACACAAAATTTTTTTATCTAAAAATACTGTAGCATATTAATATAGTATAACAAATACTCCTTCCGTCCCAGATATCGTATCTGTTACACTGTAGATACGGTATTTTAAAAGAGGTGTAATTAGTAGATAATTAAAAATGTATTAGTGAAAATAATTATTCTATAATATAAATAATTATAAATTAAGATTAAGATAACTAATTAGTTTAATTAAAATTAAAAAATAAAATTTAAAAATTTAAAATAAGATTAAAGTGAGTAATTATTTTTCAAAAAAGAAAAGTAACATAGTATGTGGGACGGACAGAAACGGCAACGTGGACATGGTATATAGGACGGAGAGAGTATTAAATTTAATATATAAAAATATACTTTAACGACCAAACGCCCTGGTTCATTCCTTGCTCACCCAATCACGGTTTTTTAATATATATATATGCGTTTGTTTTGTTTTTGGTGTGAACGTATATTTTGTTTAATATATTGAGATCATATTTATCAATATAAAAACCATCATTTTATAGTTTTCTATTATTTTATTAAATTATTATATTAAGATCGTATTTATTATTTTGAATATAATTGTTGAATGATAAAAAAAAATATATTTATAGCAAGTATAATTATTCATTAAAATTCATATTTATATATTTTTCATCCAAAAAAATGATAGAAATAGCTGAATATTATTAAAAATTGATTAAAAAGCGATAAGAAATAAGAAAAAAAAATGATAAATTAATTACTCCCTTGATCTTACTCTAAAGAGTCATTTGGATGGTTTTGTACTTAAATAATAAATAATACTCCCTCTGTCAACTTAGAAGGTTGACATTTACTTTTGGCGCTGAACAGTTAAAAATAGTGTAATGATATTTTTGCCTTTACTTTTTTTTTTGTGTAAAAGTAACGATGTTGTTGATGTATTTTTTCAACAAAAATAAAGTAAAATTCAAAGACATAGAAAATATCCTTAAACTTGATTAATTAGTGCCTGAGATTAGGAATCTCTAAACACTGTAACGTACAGAAACTAAACTGGAAAATAAAATACTGAAATTTAAAGTGGTGATCCCCAAATCTGACTTTGCTTTGTTGAAGTTGATTGAAGATGCCTTGCCAAATGATGATCCAAATCCTTAAATATTCCCTGGGAAACCGTACTGAAAACCGTCACCCGAACGGTTACAACGTCTCCTTCTCAACCGTCTTCCAACCTTTCTTATGCTGACACGTGTCCCCAGCAGACCAAAAATCCCTATATTTCACTCCTTGAGCCAACTACAGACCTTCCGCTCTTTTGGCCCGACTTCGTCCTTCGTCCGACCTACTTCTTCGCCCGACCCCACTTGGGCCGACCTCCATATCAACCGCCCCCTATATTTGATCAAAGGCCTCCGTGTTTGTCCGACTCCTCCTTCTATCCGACCTACAGTTTACCCGACCTGCGGATATCCCATCTCAACGACTTTCTGTCTCGAGGATCTCCCGACTTGAAAACCTTCCGACTTGAGGTCTTTCCGTCTTGCGGACCTCCCGACCTGAAGACCTTCCGACTTGAGGTCTTTCCGTCTTGCGGACCTCCCGACCTGAAGACCTTCCGACTTGAGGTCTTTCATCTTGAGGGCCTCCCGACCTGAAGACCTTCCGACTTGAGGTCTTCCCGTCTGGCGGACCTCCCGACCTGAAAACCTTCCGACCTGAGGTCTTTCCGTCCTGAGGACCTACCGACCTGAGGTCCTTCCGTCCTGTATTTTCCTTAGAAATAAATAAATAAATTTATTTTCCTTGATTTCCTCACGGTGTCCTTCAGCCAGTTCAATCAACCCTATTGTCAGGCCCATTCTTCTTTTTACCTTGGGCTTTTAACCTAATTCTAAATTTCGTACGTAACAACTTGCCCGCCGCCAAGGGACTTTCAAACGCCATTTAGCAATCAATGTTTGGAAGTTCATAAATCACTACCCTCTTGAAAAACTCCCTTAGCAACTGCACCAGTTACTGCAACACTCCTGATAAACTTCCTTCTTCGCAATACAAGCCTGTGTGAATCACAATCCCAAAACATTCTAACTATGGCGAATCAATACATGCCTGCCCTTCCTTTCGACGGAACCCTTCCAGAAGGTCCATTTTCAGCTTCGAAAGTACTAACTCCGACGATCCGTCCATATTGCACTACTCCTGAAGATTCAAATCGGATGAGGGAAGTTTTGGAATCTCGCAACCCCTTGGCTATCAACAATCCCAACTACCAAGCAGTTCGCATCCGGGACAGCATCAAGACCCATCTCACAGACCCAAAAGATCTGTATCGCGCTTGGTATCGACGAGTAGCAGAACACTTCCAGACCCAATGGCGTTCCCAAAAAATCGACCAAGCAATATTGCTGTCCACCATGCCTATCAACCTGCATGAGAAGGTGTTGTTGGCCATGTCTGCCTTCTGGAATGCGGAAAATGGGACTTTCCTCTTCCCATCAGGCCCCTTTGGCCCAACTCTTATGGACGTGGCCATGATCGCACATCTCCCAATCGTGGGTGAAGACCCTGTAATGGGAGCCCTAGATGGGCAGGAGCCATCAGAAGACCATCCGGGATGGTCCTTACAAAGTGTGAAGGAATGGGGTTGGACAAAGTTCGCAACCGACCAGCAAGGGGCTCCAGGGACTCCTGTAACCGACCGGGAGCATACTGCCTTTATTCTGTTCTGGCTTTGTAGGTACATCATTGTTTCTCCTTCCAAAAGTGTTCTTCCTTCCCACCTCGACCTGGCCATTCATATTGCGTCAGGTCGGTTCTTCTCCCTTGGTACTCTATTTTTAGCCAATCTGTTCGAAGGACTCACCAGGGTTAGCCTTCGTTTAACAGATAACGATAATAGGAAATTAGACACTGCCGCGTCGGGTCCTTTTTGGTTTTTAGAACTTTGGTCCCGTCTTTACTTTCCCAACGCGTTTAACTTAGGATCTCCGCCCACTATGCCAACGTCTGAAAAACATTTAGGATTAGTCCTCAACCGACTCTGCTCAGGACGCAATAAACTCCAATCATCCGACCCAATAATAACTGCCATTTTAACAGATACCCGCAGTAACTCTCGATTTTCTATGTATAAAAAATATGCGGGTTATGCTCCCGACCATTTTTGGCCCTTTCCAGTACCAAACCCACTTCCGACTCCTGAGCCTTGTCCTCATCCCACCTATCCTTTCGCCTGGGACGTCGCCCTCAAACCCAGGTCTCTTTTTAGTAGCAAGAAACTTGATAAAAAAGGGCAGAAAACTTTTTACACTTTTAACTATGAACCTCAATTCATGGCGCGCCAGTTCGGCTGTTGCCAAGGTATCCCTGGACCCGTCGCGTGTCCCCAAATAATTTTTCAAAGCCCCGACCGACGAGTCCTTCCTAATTCAATCCCTTCTTATATCTCCCAGCTCACCACGTATATAATTTCCAATTCTTATATTCCTTTCCGCTCCAACCCTGAGATCGTAGATACTTTCAATGAATGGTGGTCGGTCGTATGGTCCCTGATATCCCCTGATGAGAGTCGGTTGCTGAACGTCCTCCTCCCTCCCCAAGGACTGGTTCTAGGGACGGCGATACATACTAGCACCCAAAAACATACAACCGCCCCGGGAATCGGATCTGGTGGTCCCACGCGCAAAAGAAAAACTTCCCAATTGCAAACACCCCCGACCTCGGAGACCGACCAACAAACACTAGCAGACCTTGGAATAAATAGGACGTCAGCAAGGACCCGACCCCGAATTGGTAATGTTTCTTAACACCGTGAACCAATTCACTAAATCGTAACTTTGATTCTACTCATTTCATTCCCCAGAACCGACCTTGGTGACACCGACCAAGCAACCGACGCCAGCACCAACCGACCATTCAATCGGGCCTTTGGTCCAGACCAATTTGCCAATGAGCAATCGGGCGGAGGACCCGACGCGGAGGCAAACTCTTCCTCCCGCACCGAGGAGTGGTCGGGCCAGGCCCCCGACCAGGAGACAATCTTTACCAGCAGTACCTACAGAAACAGTAAGTTCTCTCACCAGCACTCCTTAGTATTCTAATGATCAACCTTGATATAGTTAACAACAAACATCTTCATGATTTTTCCACAGACACCTTCACCCATCCCATCAGCAGCAGGGGTCTCTTCTGACAGCGAGGGGACTACTTCCCAGATGGGTCGGCCGCCATACATGGCATCAGACTCATCTATATCAAAGGAAGAACCAGCCGCCCTCGCCGAAACTGACCTTCAAAACGACATCCCTGATGCTGCTGATCCCGAAATCGAAGGTGCCCCAGAGATCCTGGCTGCAGTGGCTCTAGAGGTAGCCGTCCAACCTGCAGCCGCCCTACCAGCAGCGGCACTCCCTCTAGCCATCGAATGGCAGGCAGAAGAACCACCCGTGGCAGCCCAACCTCCAGAAATGGGAGAAATGTCTTCATCCGATTCGGAGACTTCTGTGAATTTGGTAAGATTAAACCAATCCAGGTCATAACTTTTCTTTCGAAAAACACTAACTGTTTCCAATACTACTTTCTATAGGGACCCAGGTCGGCACCTCAGCGACCATTCGCAGCAGCCGACGAGTCGGCTGCTATTATACCAGCTGTCTGCCCAACTCGACCGACCTCATTGCTGCCCCCCTCACTGACAGCAGTCCGCCCAGAGGTACCACATATTTTCTCCGAACAAATTTGCAACTCCCTTGGAATATGTATTGACATTGTAGGACTTGCAGGGGCCTTCGGACTTAGCTGTCCTATCGACTGTTCCGGTTCCAGCGGAGGCCCAGACTGTGTTCACTGAGGCCATTAACCGTCCCCTGTCCGAACTAAGGTCCGACTTATTGGACAAACTCATTCAGACGGTTGGTGGCCTTCTTTTTTACACTCCAACGGAATCACCAGCCGTCCCCATTCTGCATCGGCTGATGGAAAGACTTACAGAGCTCAAGACTGAAGTGGTAGTCATTGGCCTTCTGTCAGCCGAAACCCCCCAGCCCGACTTCGATCAAACAACGCTGGAGAATTCTTTGACCAAGACTCGAGAATCCCTTCAGCAAACTACTGGAAGACTGGGTGGTCTCCTTAGCACGAAAGCTCTGGTTGATGATGCCATTCAGAAAAAGGAGGCAGAATTGCGGGAGCTGAGGAAAGAACAGTCTACCCTGGATAAGCAAATTACCAATGAACAGCATCTGCTTGAGAAGTATACCAAAAATGAGGCTGAATTGGATCAAGAGCTGAAAACCCAAGCCCGATCCCAATTCATCAGAAGATATCAGACGGCTGCCAATACCAGAAGGCTATCCAGGGATGAAAACAAATGGACACAGATAAAAACTGCCCTAGGGGCACTATTGTAATATTTCCCCCTTTGTAACAACAACTGACTTAGTAATCCATTTTTTCTTTCTTCTCTCAAAACAAGGATCACCTTTCAATTCCCAGCTTTATAGGAAACGAACCAAACTCCTTCTTTAAAAGAACATTGTTTCTCACATTTCAAGAAACACATTCCCAGGCACACTGAAAGTGTTAACAAACATGGCGAATGACCGACCTCATGTTCCATCAAGCAACTGGGAGGGTGTTCTTCAACCCTTCTTTGTAGGTAATCACCCTATTGGAGGCCATGCAGAAGACTTGTTACATATACTCAAGCAACTAGACTTCAAATTCCGATTCTCCCAACGAGGTAGAAGAACTATTCATCGCGTCATCCGCCTGATGGAAAAAGTCATTGAGGGGTATGAACCTCTTCATGACATCCTCAGCCGAATCCCTGATCTCCATCATCACATGGAAATGATCGAAAATCACGCAGCAAACATACTTCCAGATCTTGGTTGGGATAACCTATTTTCCAACCAACGAAAAGTCTTTTCAAGATTGCGGACCATCGTTGATCGTGAACATCAAGCCCTAACAGACATGCAAGCACGTACCCACCAAGATCTAGATGACATGCAAAGCCAATGGGAAAGGTACCGACCAGACTTGGAAGATCTTATTGAAGAAGAACCAGAGCTAATATCCACTCACTGGGATGAAAAGTCTGATTCAGAGACAGAAAAGTTCTCACAACCACACGATGACTAACAGAAATGAACCTTCCAGTAGGTTCGAAACCCCATAAATGGGTTCTGAATAATATGTGGTTTCAGGCAGTTTTGTTATCTGAAAAGGCAGGATAATACCTCTTCAGATATTTAGCATTAATACAATCATGTACTCTTCTACCTTCATGATTTACAATAATGAACGCGCCATTTCCAATATCTTTTTGAACAATGTATGGTCCTTCCCAATTCGGTGACCACTTTCCCAATTGATCAGTTTTCTTATATGTAGGAAGAATGGTCTTCCAGACTAGGTCTCCTTTTTGGAATGTCCTGTGAAGAACTTTCTTTCCGTAACTCCTTGCTCTGATTTCACTCTGTTTCACACTTCGATCTATTGCATGGAGACGGTTAACATCCAAATCTTCTAACTGCTGCAACATAAGTTGTTGGTATTCCTTTGTAAGATCACTATCAGTAAATTCTGTTCGGCCGGATGATGCCCGAATTTCGGCTGGTAAAACAGCATCTTGGCCAAACGTAAGTTGGTACGGCGAGAACCCTGTGGCCGTATTTCTGGTATTTCTATGTGCCCATAAAGCCTGAGACAATAACAAATGCCACTTTCTTGGGTTCCCTTCAATCATCTTCTTTATAATCCCAATGATAATCTTATTTGCTGCTTCCGCCTGTCCATTGGCTTGGGGATAATAAGGTGAAGAATGATGTAACCGAACACCGAATTCTGCCAAGAAATTAGAGAACTTTTCCCCTGTAAAGACCAAGCCTTGGTCGGTTGTTATAGACTGAGGAATACCATATCTGTAAATAATTTGGTTCAAAACGAAGTCTATCACTTCTTTCTGATCCACATTTTTCAAAGCAACTGCTTCTACCCATTTGGTAAAGTAATCAGTCGCGACCAATATGAAACAATGATGTTTCGATGAAGCAGGATGTATCTTACCAATAATATCCATAGCCCATGATTTAAAAGGCCATGGTTTTGCCAAGAATTGCAATTCGGTTACTGGCAAATGGTTTAAGTTTCCATGTCTCTGACATTCCTGGCAGCCTTTGGCAAATTGTATGCAGTCTTCAAAAATCTTTGGCCAGAAAAACCCCAAGCGATGAATGGCCCATCTCATATTGAGACCTGCCCGATGAGCTCCACATATCCCACCATGTACTTCTGTCATCACTTCTAGAGCTTCTTTAGATCCCAAGCATTTCAAAAGTAAACCTTCAAATGATCTCTTATACAAAATTCCATTTATCAATTGAAAACGTAAAGCCTTCAATCGTGTCGCAATTGAAACACTCGCACCAGGATTCTGTAAATACAGGATAAGCTCTGTTCTCCAATCGGGCACTGTTTCGCAGTCGGGCTCCTGTCCGACAGTCTCCTGCTCGACCAGAACTTCGCAGTCGGGATCCTGTCCAATAGCCTCTTGCCCGACCGTAACTTTGCAGTCGGGATCCTGTCCAATAGCCTCTTGCCCGACCGTAACTTTGCAGTCGGGATCCTGTCCAATAGCCTCTTGCCCGACCGTTTGGTCATATATTGGGTCTGTCTTTTCTTCTATGCCCGACTTGATCTCCGACCACATATCCTCCAGAATTCCTTTACAAGCCCTTTGAGCCAACTCATCGGCACGTTGGTTTTCTTTCCTCGGAATGAACTCAATTATTACTTCTGAGATTTTCGTCAGTAACCGACCCACAATGTCCCTGTATCTACGGAGATGAGGGTAATTACAAACATATTGGTTGTTTACCTGGTTGATTACTAGTTGAGAATCCCCTCTTATGATTACAGACTGGACCTTCCTGGCTATTAAAGCCTCCAGACCCAAAATTAAAGCCTCATATTCTGCCGAATTATGGGTCATGGCTTCCAATCGTAATTGTAAGTTGATCTTTTGACCATCAGGTCCTTGCAAAAAGACCCCTGCCCCTGATTTGTTTCCAGAGGTAGAACCATCAAAGAACATCAACCATGTTCTGGTACTTATATATGGCACACATCCGACCTGTAGATTATCCAGATATGATGAGCAACTAAATGGTCGGACACTATCACAAAGAGAATACCCGACTTGTGAGAATTCTGCCAAGAAGTCGGCTACTGCTTGTCCCTTAATTGCCCTCAGCGGGGAATGTTGAAGATCGAAAGGAGCCAATTTGATGGCCCATTTCATGAGTCTGCCCTTCATAGTAGGTCTCTGTAAAATCAATTTGATGAGATCCACCTTTGATATGACCTCAACTCTTCTGGGCAGCAAATAATGCTCGAGTTTAGTGCAAGCGAAGACCAATGAATAACACATTTTTTCTGGCATAGTGTAATTCAATTCTGGTCCTGTAAGGGTTTTACTGAGATAGTAAATTGCCCTTTCCTTCCCGTCATCACCATCCTGCGCCAATAAACAACTAACCACTTCATATGTATTTGCCAAATAAAGTTTGAGTGGCCGACCTTGTTTGGGAGGCATCAAGACTGGAGGGTGAACCAATGCCTGCTTGATAGCATCTAAAGCCGTTTGTTGGTCGGGCCCCCATTCAAAGGCAATCTTTCCAGCTTTCAACAATTTAGTAATAGGTCTGACCTTGCCAGCAGCATTAGAAATGAAACGCCTCAAATAATTCACCTTACCCAACAGACTCTGGATTTCTGTAACCGTCTTGGGTGGCCGACTATCAAGAATGGCTTTAGCCTTGTTGGCATCAATTTCAATTCCTCTCTCATGAACTAAGAATCCTAGAAAGCTCCCGGCTGATATTCCAAAAGCACATTTGGTTGGATTCATCTTCAACTTGTACTTCTTCATTCTTTCAAATGCCTCTTCAAGATCCCTCAAATGTTCGTCAAAACTGGCAGATTTAACTATAACATCATCAATATACACTTCCATAGATCTGCCAATTAAATCATGAAAGATTGAATTCATGGCTCTTTGGTAAGTTGCCCCTGCATTCTTTAACCCAAATGGCATGACTGTCCATTCATAAATACCCAAAGCCCCTGGGCATCT